AATTACTGATGTAATGCATTTTTTAGAAAGCATCTTTTGTATATTCAGGTATGCATAATTGTATTTTGATTTTCATTTATTTTTCAAATATGATATCCATGAAAAATGTGGCTAGTTCAGTGCAACTGTAGTGTTTTTCTGTGAAGTGTCCATCATAGTTTTATTTAATGTCTCATATGTGCTTACCATATTAAAATACAGATACTAAAAATAACTACTGAAATATCAAGATTTGATCAAATTGACTACTTTGTGAAGAAATAAAGTCATTACAGTTTAGAAAGGAGGAAATAGATTATTGCTCTTGATGAGAGTATTTATGGCCATTCCTTTTAACCCACCACTAGTTTCTTTCTTTCTAAAACAACAGTAAAAATAAAGATACCTTCTAAAAGATCAAACAAAGTCTAGAGATGTAGCTCAGTTGGTAGAGTACTGGCTTAGCATTTTGCACATCATAAAAATCAAACAATTTTGAAAAAGAAAACATCATTCTTGGGGGATAATTAAAATCCTGCTATATTTTGCTTCATTGCAAAACTTTTTTTTTAGTGATGAAAGTGAAAAAATTAAATAATAATATGGAAAAAGAAAAATGAGAACTGTTATAACTTCAGATTATTTTCCTATCATTATCCAAATGATGTTTGAATCTTTTTACTTAAAACCTTATTTCTAAAAGCATGAGTGTTATTTAGACCCTCTTTAAAACAAGTATTAAACTGCCTGAGCACACGTTTTAATGCAGTATGCTTATTAGATAGATTTTAAGAGAAATGACATTTCTTGTATAGTTTCAGGAAGAATTGGAGTCTTCATAGATAAAATTTGGAATGAAGACGCAAACATAAAATAACCTGCCAACTGGCCATTCACTTAACTTGACGAGATTGTGCTGGATCTTGTCATTTAATTCACTGTAATAATAGCATTGCTCTGGGTAGATTAGTGATCATCTACACATAGCTTCCTAAATATTAAAAAGGAAAAGTCAAGAGTCTTACATACTCTGTAATTCGTTTCCTTCTTTAGGCGCTAAGTGTTCTTTGCCTTCCATCTTGAGTTTCACAAGCTGATAATTTTAAGACAAATATGCTTCTGAAGCTCTACACTTGTACTTAAATAGGGGCAGGTGCAGAGACTTCACATACTGATTATGTAGGATAAGTCCTTAAACATTCTTACATTAAGGCATTTGTTTCTAAATTTAGTACACTTACCTTTTTTATGTATCAGTTTATGATAACAACTGCTTTAAGGAGTATTACAGATTCTGGATTCTAGACCATTATCTGCTCTGCCATTCAGTAACTCCTACCTTTGAAAAGAAAGTTACTTGAATATTTTAACTGGACTATGGACTTCGGAGTAATTTTATAGGATATTTAACAGAGAAATTATGGAAGACATCTTGTCACTTTACTGTTGCCATCACCTACATCTTAAATGCTCAGTAAATATTTGAATGAATAAAAAGAAAGTTAATAGATAATGGGAATTGTGCTTGTTATATGTGAAAGCATTTCCTTTTTTTCATAGCCTGCTGTTTTACTTTGTATTTAATTTAGTTCAGGAACTATGTGCTACTTTATGTCCGAAGTAGTCTCATCACATTAAGATAATCCCCTTTGAATGTGCAACTCAATTTCTTTAATTAGCTTTAAAAATAACAATAATTAAATCAGAGTACCACCATCAATTGCTGTGCAAGGGTTTGCCTGTTCAATAATGCATCAGAACTGTGCTGTACTCTGTATTTCACTGAAAGATTTATAGAAAAGGAGACCTCCTAAGACTCCAGACTGAAATGGAGTCTTATTATGTTTTTTTTTTTGTTTGTTTGTTTTCTTTTTGTCAGTCGTGGGGCCTGAACTCTGGGCCTGGGCGCTGTCCCTCAGCTCTTCAGCTCAAGGCTAGCGCTCCACCACATGAGCCAGAGCACCACTTCCGGCTTTTTCTGCTTAGGTGGTGCTGAGGAATTGAACCCAGGGCCTCATGCATACAAGGCAAGCATTCTACCATTGAGCCACCTTCCCAAACCTATGTTTAATTTTTTTCCCTATGATTGCTACTGTTTAAAATGATATATTTCATGGAATACTTGCAGAATTCTATTTGTCTTTAAATTTCACATTTGGGATCAATTCCAGAAAGTGTTTCACAGCATTCGTAAATTCACAAGAAAGTAGGCACATTTTTTTTTCTCTGAAAAAAAAAAAAGACAAGGTGCAGTTTAAAAAAAAAAAAAAAAGGTCCTCATTTCTAATAGGTGTACCTGTTATGGCAAATTCCTCAGATAATGCTTACTTTTTGTCATTGTTAAGCGGTAACAAAAATTTAGCAATACAGGTTTATAAACATACATATATGAGTATATTCATATATGATTAAATGTATTTTTTAAGTTTAAGTAAAGTACTTAGGTTATATATCCGTTATTTTAGAATTATTTGGTTAACTAAATCAATTACTGGTTCTGACTGAATATAAGAGGGTTTCTTCTATACTTGTAAATACTGAGAGGTTGTTAAACTCTGCTGTTTCACAGGAAACTTGCTGCACATTTTTACCTACTTTGGTGTTTTAAGATAGGGTATTGCTAATTAGTTCAGGTTGTCCTGGAACTGACTATATTGCTTAAGCTAGCATCAGACTCACAATCTTCTGGGCAGCACAGACTGCTCGGGCCACCATGACAGTGATGAGCAAATTATTTTTTTCTGAGTAATTTGTATCATCTTCAGTTAAGGTCTATTTTAAGTAATAGCACTAATTGCAATCTATAAATCAACTTAATATGTGTTTATTTATTAAGCACATAGAAGTTCTTTCTATACTGAAATTCTCAGCCAAGAGCTAAACAGAGAGCAGATAATTATTTGGTGACTTTTAGTCATTGACTAACAACTTCTATAAATTATACAGATTGTTTATTTACATATAAAAATTACCAGATATTTGTGTTTTATTTGGTTTACATTCTGCAAACTATGAGTGGGAGTCAAGTTCTTTTTATTAAACATTTATAGCATATTTGCTGTGAACAGACCTAGGAAGGCAAATAATATTCATTCCTGTTTTTGAAGAGATTTTAGTTCACAAATCTATTTTAATAAATAGGCTCAGTAGAATCAAGAAACATTTTTGTGCTTTTTCCTAGGAATATTAGTTTTCAGTTTTAAAAACAAGATTATCAATGGTATCAAAAGACAGTAATAGAATAAATGACTTGTAACTATTACATTTACATTTATGTAAGATCTAAATAGCAGAAAGGAAGAAGAGCCCCTGACCTTTGATGGCTCTTTAATAAATGAGAAGATAATGGATATCAAGTAATTGTATATGGCATTCATATTGTAAGTTTGTACTTGTTCTAATCCTACTACCTTTACTCTTGGACTACCTTTGAGGTGGTCTTCCACAGCATCAGAGCTCCTACTTTTATCGTTATTTTCTTATCAATAGACTCGTAGAACAAGCTTTGTTCTTTCTTGCTTACCATAGCAGAAGTCCAATTTTTTTTTTGCTATGCAAATATACCATAGGAATTAGGTCCTGGTGTGTGGGATCTTCAGCCTGTCACAAATTTTATTATGCCATCTGCTTCAACCTGAGCTGTATATCTTCTGGCAGACTTTGCTGAAGTTGCTGTAGCTCAGGGGGAAAAAAGTGTAGTCTTGGCATACGATGCTTGCTTTTGAAAAAATAATAATTGATCATGCCTGCTGCCAATTGTAAAATGAGTGTTTAAAAGGGTTCCCACAAACCTTTTCTCAACACACTGATCACTTTTTCATCTATGTTTATAGGTAGTCAATTAAATGGTTGAATTTTTGTTAACTTTGGCAACTTAATGAGTTTGCTGCTTTACTTTTAAGGATATGTAACAAACTCTTGTAATTGGATTAGTAATTCATTTATGAATTATTTGATCACTTGGTCACTTTCACAAGTGGATCCTCTTTATCTCCTGTCATTATCCAGAAGTGACATTGCAAATGATTTTGTGCTCTGTGAATAAAATAGCACATGTGATAGGAGCACCATTGTGAAAGAGTCCAGATTACAAACTATTCTTTAGGTATGTGGTTATACAGTCTTATCAGTAAGATGGAGATACTTACGCTCAAAAGAGTTAATTGGGAGGAGATCAGTCAGAGTAAGTCCTCAAAAATGGATGCATGTTTATTCTGCAAATGTATATTGAAGGGCTGCGCGGTTCAAGACTCTCTTCTAGAGAATAGAGACCTAGAAGAAAATAAAATATTCAGATTCTGACCCTGGAAAACTGTACATTGCAGTCTACCTCCACTGACAGGGGTGAGAGCCACATGAGGGCTAATTATATATCAGGTCCTGAAATGGCAAGCATGGTCTAGCTAGCTCATGTAGCAAGGTATGGTGGGTTCTGTGTGGACAGCTTTGTGAGGAAGGGCTTGTTTTGCTCAAGGTATGCTTTTTAGAGCAGACCTGAATACAGTAGAGAAGAATGTATGTGTACATTTGGAGGAGGGTGTATATGGCTGGTAGAGCAAGCTGATTGACACTTTGAGGTTCAGTGAGGAGGTCAGTGTAGCTGGAGCTAAGTATGATCTAAGTGTATCAGTTATGTAATCAATCTGACACATACTTTCAGTCACATTCCTAATAGCTTATAGAAATATCAAAATAGGACTGATGCTTCATGTATCTGCTGTTTTGTCATCTAACTTGAAGCTTTTAATAAGTCACCCATGAATAATTGTAAGTTATTTTGTTGTTAATTATTCCTTTGTGCCAGGAGTTAGCCAGCCTGCAAAGTGTGAGAGCATAGTCCATCAGAATGCTTACTGTAACAGCAGTTCTGACACCAACTGCAAGGGGCTAGGGTCTAGTGACCAAGTTAAAGAGAAGAGTACCCCTTTGATTACTCTCACTCAAATACTAATGCAGACCACTTCGACAATTTGATAATTGATGAGAAAGTATGCTCTTGTTAATAATTTCTGTATTCTTAGGTAAACATTGCAACTCCAGCAACTTCAACTGTTGAACAAACCCACATTCCTCATCTTAATTCTGCTGTGATTCCGACTCTACCAAATGAATCCTTCTTATTATCTGCTAATAATGGGAATCTGGAAGCACTTACAGGGCATGGTACTCCACACATCAATGGGAAACCAGCTTGTGATGAGCTGGATCAGCTGATCAAAAATATGGCTCAGGTAAGAATACTTTTTGCTGTTAGGACAGGAATGGATCTTAAAAGGATAATCAACTTCTGAGTAATCAAAGAACACAGTGGCATTTATAGTATCTGAAAATATGGGAATTAAAGTGAAGTTGATTTTGTGAAAGCTTGAATGGCTCAGAGATTTTCCTGTTACATTTTCCTTTTTCTTTTGTTACCACACTTTATTTACCTTTTTATGCTGGTCCTGAGGTTTGAACTCAGGGCCTGGATGCTATTCCTGAGATTTTTGTTTTCAAGGCTAATGTTCTACCACTTGAGCCACAGCTCCCCTTCCAGTTCTTTGTTTTTTTTTTTTTTTCTTTTTTTTTTTGGAGTTTAATCTGAGATTCGAGTCTCAGAGACTTTCCTGATTGGGTTAGCTTCGAACCATGATTCTCATATCCTAGCCTCCTGCAATCACAAGATTACAGGCATGAGGCTATTATTCCTTGTGCCTAGCTTATTATCACATTTTAAATAATTATTGCATGTTTCATTACAGAAAAATTTTTGGAAAAGTAGAATGCTTCGTTCTAGGTAGAGTACTACAAGTGATCTGAGGACAGGTTTTCCAGGTTGGGTACCTGTGGTTCTCACTTATGATCCTTGTTATTTAGTAGGCTGAAATTTGAGGATTGAGGTTCAAGGCCAGCCCAAACAGAAGCTTATCTCCAAGTAGCCAGAAAAAAAAATCAGAAGTAGAATTGTGGCTCCACTGGTAAAGCACTAGCCTTGAGAAAAAGAAAATGCTAAGCAAGAGTGGGAGGCTCTGAGTTCAAGTCCTACTATCAGCACATGCACATGCACACACGCACATACACCCATGCACAGAATTTTTTAATCTAAATTCTTACTTTGTATTTTGTACATCGAGTAATGCCAATAATAAGATGATGATTAACTGTAGCAATTAGCATCTGTAATTTGTTTGAGGCTAGGTTATAGCCCGAGCTGGCCTTGATGTCACTAAGTAGCCCAGGCTCACTTGGATCACACAGTGCATGCAGCCTAGGCTGGCTTGGAGCATATGATCCTTCTGCCTCAGCCTCCTTAGTCTGGGATTAAAGAGTTCATCACTATACCTGACTACTCTTGGCTTCTCATTTTATTTCTTGCTTTGTTTCTGGAACAGGGTCGCCATGTGGAAGTTTTTGAGCTCCTCAAACCTCCATGTGGAGGCCTTGGGTTTAGTGTTGTGGGGCTCAGGAGTGGAAACAGGGGAGAGCTGGGAATATTTGTGCAAGAGATCCAAGAGGGCAGTGTGGCTCACAGGTGAGATTGTCATAGCACCTTCTCTGTCTTGACCCTAGTCAGAGAGTTTTGATTACTTTAGGGGAACTTAGAAAAACATGAACTGAATGGAAACAAAACAAAACGGAACATCACCAATTATTAACTGATATTTTAAAAGTCATTAACATTTAAAATTTTTTTCATGTATTTCATCTGCCCATATTCAGTCATTAACATTTTTTGTGATAGAAAAGAAAGTTTTTGGATGTGGAAGTACCTTTTAAGCACATGTAATTTCATTATATTTTAGGAAAGAAAATGTTTGAGTATAACTTTACCTTTATTGATATTATATGGGCTCTTGATTAGGCTTTGAAATCTACTACCATAGAAATATCACATGATCATTTGAACTAAATTTCATTACTGTACCCAAAGAAACAAGGCAATGTATATTTTCATTTTTAAAAGCGAGGATGATAAGAACCATAGGTGAGTTCCATGAGTAGTTGAAAAACAAGTCTTTTAAATAAGAGAGATTGGTGAGAGGCAGCAATAGAATTCCTTTAAGGAAGTTGATCCCATGGAGGTAAATCATATACTTTTAAAGGAGAACTGCAGGAAAAGCTTAAACAATGTGCAACGTAGAAAACAGCATTAACAGTGACCTGAGCATGTTTGCTAAGGAAACTGTTACTTCCTTGAGAACTCTGTGTCCTTTATCACCCCATTTCCATCCTTGACAGAGATGGAAGACTGAAGGAAAACGATCAGATCCTTGCTATCAATGGACAAGTTCTTGATCAGACAATTACACACCAGCAGGCTATCAATATCCTACAGAAGGCTAAAGAGACTGTCCAGCTAGTTATTGCCAGAGGCTCCTTGCCCCAGGTCATCAGCCCCCGAGTGTCCCGGTCTCCATCTGCTGCCAGCACCGTCTCTGCTCACTCGAATCCGGTGGGTGCTGAGGAGTTTCAGAAGCAACAGAATAAGCATCTCTGTTTCTTCAGGTTTCTCGTCTTTCTAGGTTGTTTCTGCTTGTTGAGATTTTTGTCTTTTTATTATTTGATCATTTCCTTACTCTGCAATATTTGTCGCTAAGTTTCGATTTAAGTTTCTAGCTTCTAAAACTGAGTTTGCTTTCTTTGTGTGGTTTTAGGACAGAATTCCTGCAAATAAAATGTAGTCCTTTAATAAAATTGGCTCTGTCTGGAGACAAATACAATTTTGGCTTTCTTGATAAATTCTATAATTTTTTTGGGGGGGAGTTTCAGTCGTGGGGCCTGAACTCTGGGCCTGGGCTCTGTCCCTCGGCTCTTCAGCTCAAGGCTAGCGCTCTACCACTTGAGCCACAGTGCTACTTCTGGCTTTTTTCTTTTTGCTTATGTGGTGCTGAGGGATCGAACACAGGGCCTCAGGCATGCAAGGCAAGCACTCTACCACTGAGCCACCTTCCCAGCCCTCTATAATTTTTTTTAACAATTAGTTTTTGGTGACATTAAGCAGTCATCTAACATGTAATGAGAGTTTTTCTCCTTTAAATTTTCCTTCCTTCCTTCCTTCCTTCCTTTTTTAAAAAAAGTTCTACAAATATCTTCTGCATTGGTGAAATTCAGTCATTAATGATGGATTGATTATTTTAAAAAGGATCTATCACTAGTAGAACAGTTTGTTGAGAAGGTTGTACGGTGAAGGAAAGGGACATTGTTAGGGCTCATTAGTCTGTCTGAACTCAGTTACTTCCTACCAATAAAATAATCATCATAAAAACTGTAGTTTTTGCAGATTTATACAAATTATACAAGAGCTTTATGTTTAGGTTCACTGGCAGCATGTGGAAACAATTGAACTGGTGAATGATGGATCCGGTCTGGGTTTTGGCATCATTGGTGGTAAAGCAACTGGTGTGATAGTCAAAACTATCCTGCCTGGAGGAGTAGCTGATCAGGTAAGACACTTCAATTTGCCTTCAGTGCTATTTTATCCAGTAGCATGTCTTCATTCTTTAAAGTTTGTTTTTTGTTTTTTAATTGGCAGTATTGAGTCTTGTATTTGATAGGCAGGTGCTCTATCACTGAGCCACACCTCTGTCCGTTTTATACACTAGTTATTTTGTTACAGGACCTTGCTTTTTACCTGGGCCCAGGCCTTTACTGTAATCATCATACTTGGTGCTTCCTGCCATAGTTGAAATGGTAGATGAGCACTACTATACCAACTTCTGCTGTTGAAATGGAGACTTACAAAAGTTTCTTCCTGGTCTGGTTTGGAACCATGAACCTCTTGATCTCAGTTCCCTGTAGTTATTGTTTGTGAAAGGAGTTTTGGAACTTTTTGCTTGGGCTAGCCTCATGGTCCTTGTGGTTTTAGCCTCCTGAATAGTAATTATTCCCCCCCCCATTGCCATTTTATTAGTGTGTATGAATTTTATAAAGTAATAACCTTCATTATGACACCTTCATGTATGTTTAATTATACTCACCCACCTTCTTTTTTACCCTTTTTTCTTTCCTACTGACCCCCCTTTCCTAATATTCTCCCTTCTACTTTCATGTAGTATTTCTGAAAATTATACATAATTCTTCATTCAAGAAAGTATGGGGTATTTTGTCTTTATGAGTCTCTTAGTTTACTAAACAGTAAGATCTCTACCTTCATCCAGGTTTTACAAATGACTTATGTCTGAATTATATATATTAATGGTGCTGATTCTGGAGATTGAACTCAGGACACGGTGCTGTCCTTGTTTCTTTGGCCCAAGCCTAGTAGTGCTCTACCACTTGAACCGTGGCTCTGCTTCCCACAACTCCACTTCTCGTTTTTTGGTGTTACTTGGAGATAAGAGTCTCACAGACTTCCCTGCCCACACTGGCTTCGAACTGCGAACCCTCGTATATCAGCCTCCAAAGTAGCTAGAATTCAGGGTTGAGCCACCAGTACCTAGTTTAATTGGGAAGTACATACTGTTTATATTTAAGGTTATGGCTAAGGGTTTGTACCAGCTTCTCCCTCTTTGATTAGAGGTTTGCTGGCATGTTGAATTATGCTTGATTCTTCCCTTCTCATTTGTTTAACTCTTAGTCAAGTGATAGTTTTTTTTTTTTTTCCATGCTCTTTTGGTGGCATATCTTTCTTCCTCTTATCTTTGTGGCGTCTTCTGCTATATTGGCTTAGGAGTTATGAATTGCCTTAATTTATATTTATCATGGAAGGTTTTTATTTCCCCATCAATTTAATAAAATAACCTTACTGGATATAGAAGTCTTATTTGGACATTATTTTGTTTCAGTTACTTAACCATTTAATCACTAAACCTGCATTGCTAGGAGGCTTAAAGATTGCTTTTCATTTCCCTCATCTGTGCACATTTCATCTCACTATGATTTTTTTTTAAAAAATTTATTTTATTTTATTTGAGAACATACTGTACAGAGGGGTTACAATTACATGGGCAGGATAATGCATACATTTCTTACCAAGCATTGCAGCCTCCTCCTTTGTTTACCCTTCACCTCCCTTCCCACCCTCCCCCCTCCCCCCCACCCAATCATACCCCGCCCCCCACTCCGACGTTGTAAAGCTGGTTTTGACATGACATTTTGTACTTCTCATTGTTGCAACAGGTCCACCTGAATCCTTAAACGACTTGTTTGTCCCCGTCTCCTCCACATGTTATACTGACATCAAATATAGTGAAAGCGGGGGTTACACTGTGGGGGAGGGACATACAAAGCAACAAAGAAATAATCTTATGAATTCGTTAGAAACACATGCATGAAAGAAACAAAAACATTAAAATACATATTTGAGGGTTCGTTTTCCTAACATCACATTCTCTGACTTTTTCCGCTTGACTCATACCTATACTAGATATTGCAAATAAGGGAAACCATGGGACCTATGTTTCTTTGGGCCTGGCTTACTTCACTTAATATAATTTTTTCCAAGCCTTTCCATTTCCTAACAAATGGGGAAATGTCATTCTTTCTGATGGAGGCATAGAATTCCATTGTGTATATATACCACATTTTCTTGATCCATTCATCTACTGAGGGGCATCTGGGTTGGTTCCATATCTTAGCTATGGTAAATAATGCTGCAATAAACATAGTTGTGCTGGTAGCTTTCTCACTATGATTTTTGTATATGTTTCTCTTCTTTTGAGGTACTTATGATTGACAGAACTAGATAACTAGATATTTTGTGGTTCTTAGCATATTTTAAGTAATAGTTATTGCATGTTTGCTAAATAGTATTTTTTCTTTGAACTCTCAACAAAGTGAAACACAAAAAGACATTTTTTCCCTTTTATATATCAAAATGAAAAATTTATATCAACTACTGACTTTATGAATATTTGTCAATTTTATTTGCGTTATATTGCATTAAATGATACTACAGTGATTCAGAAGACAATACTACAAATAACATATGTCATGTCTGAGGATTGGCATAAAGTCTCATCACTGCCATTTTTTATTATTCCCTTCCCACATTTAAGATTTGTCTAAAGCATTTACAATAACATTATTCAACTTCTCTTTTTTCATTCAGCATGGGAGGTTATGCAGTGGAGACCACATTCTCAAGATTGGTGACACAGATCTGGCAGGAATGAGCAGTGAACAAGTAGCACAAGTCCTTAGACAGTGTGGAAATAGAGTTAAGTTGATGATTGCAAGAGGTGCCGTGGAGGAAACAACAGCACCCACCACTGTGGGAATCTCTTCCTCCCCGTCTTCTGCTCCAGATATGCGGGTAAGTGATAAAACAAATCACAGGAAAGTGAGAGGGAAAGGCTCTCAGATGACAATGATGGATGTTCAATCTAGTTTACCAGTGTTCATATATCAATGTGAACCAGTGGAATAAATTTCTAATGTTAAGAATGTTGCAGCAATAATCATTTGTTATCAAAACATCCAAAATAATTTGCTAAAACTTCTAGGTGGTCATTTTCTCAAAGCATTGCATTTATAAGGATAGTACTTAGAACTATGGATGAAATGTTAAAGAATTATTTTCTTTCAGTATCTGCATGTTTAATAATTCATTGAATCTGGATGCTCTCTGTAAGTGGGGTCATAGTTACAATCCTTCCCATTCTACAAGTGTCTTCTTACTGTCTTTTTGTTGTTCTGGATGTGTGGAGGTTGGGAGCCCGGAGCAGGGTTGGTAGGAGTGAATAAGTCTTAAAAACTTCTCAGTGTTGTGCTGTTTTAAGGTATGTCTCAGCATTATTAGATTTATAAGGAATCCTCAATTCTTAAAATTTTTGAAGTCTTTTTTTTTTTTTTGTCAGTTGTGGGGCTTGAACTCTGGGCTTGGGTGCTGTCCCTCAGCTCTTCAACTCAAGGCAAGCACTCTACCGCTTGAGCCACAGTGCCAATTAAGGTTTTTTTAGTGGTTTATTGGAGATAAGAGTCTCATGGAGTTTCCTGCTCAGGCTGGCTTTGAACTGCGATCCTCAGATCTTAGCCTCCTGAGTAGCTAGGATTACAGGTGTGAGTCACTGGCACCCAGCTTAAATAAAAATTTTATTAGTCAAAAACTAAAACATTTTTATGTTGTAAGAAAACCTTTATTCAAGAGCAAAACCTTCTATCTTTGTCTTTAATTTGATATGGAAAATTCTAAACTGGAAGACAGTAACCGCTGCAGCTGGTTTACAGGTCACAAGACTACATTGGATAAAATATTAACTAAATAATTTTATCTAGAAATCTCTTTAATATTTAAGGAAAGATTATATTCAGTTTCTAGATAATGTTTAGATGAGATAGAAGTCCTCCATTCCTTTTCCATAGATATAAAAGTTTTTCTTCTGTTCAAGTTGTTTATAACCAATTGTTACAAATTCTTTTCTAATATCCTAGCCTCCTCCATAAGCCTTTTAAAGTTTTATTAGAACACTTGAAATTTCCATGATTGTGTTGTTTTTAGGATTGAATTTGGTTGCTATTTTTTGCAGAGAAAAAGAAGTAAGAAAGAGAGCTTGTTTATGAAAGTGTTTAAATGGCATTCTTTTGTGGTAAACAAAACATTTTATTCAGCAATATATAAATGAATGCAATACCGAAAACCACTTGATGTAATTGAAAGCTTAGAAAAATATCTATTCTGTGCATATCATCATTTCTGAAGCTTGTGCCCTGTTTAAAACCATTCGATAGTCAAATTGCCACCCTCTAAAATAGCACTCGCATAAGTCTTATTAAAAATAGAAAACACATTTGTTTCAATTGAAGCAGATTTCATCCTGTCATTTTCTTGTAATTATCTAAACTTTAAACTTTTGCTAAGTTTGCACAGATAATTATGTTCAATGAAAAAAATAAAACCAAACTTTATTGTAAAGTTATCTTATTTAGGTAGACCATTAGTGATATATAGTAGAGTTGCCATTAGATCCCATAGTCTTCCCTTTGTCATGTATTTTCCAGGATTGTCTGTTGATTCTGCTGACATCAGTACCAATGGCTTATGGTGACATATTGAGCTAGTCCATGAATGCTTCATTTACAAAATCATACCCTTTGGTCAAATAGACAATTAATAACAGTTCTACATGTTGGAGAAGGCTGTTTCTGAGAACCCTGCTTCTTGCTAGCATTCTGGAAAGATGTTAAGGCATACTTTTCTTATCTTCATAGTAAAGTTATAATGTACAGAACAAAAACAAGGACAATTTAAGAGACTTCATTGGTACCTTTCACTGGTTTTCAAAATAAGACCTATTTATGATAGAGGTTAGGATAGAGTAACTCATGTGCATTGTCTTATAATTAACTATAAATTTTAGGTAGCAATAGAAACTAACATATGGGCACTATGGCCACTACATTCTACTAAATGGTTTTTCGTTTTTTTTGGTCGGTCGTGGGGCTTTAACTCTGGGCCTGGGCGCTGTCCCTGTGCTCTTCAGCTCAAGGTGAGCACTCTAATGCTTGAGCCACAGCACCACTTTCTCTACTAAATGTTTTATGTACTGTATATCATTTAGGAGCAGAAACTTATACGGAGATTATCTGGGTTGAAATTCTACTTTTACTAGATGTTAGATGTTTAGAAAAGTTATGGTGTCAGAGAATTTCTCCAAAGAAAGCTTGCTGCAATAATGGTACCTAGCTCATTGATTTGTAAGGAACATAAGGAATTTTATACTGTTATAAAAAGTAATAAATTGAGATATAACAAGTACCTCTTACATAGAAACTGCTTATTAGTTGAATGGCCGAACTGATGATTTTCGTTCTTTTCCTGGAAGACAGTTATGTTATGTTATGTTACTTATTTATTTCAGGTTGATGCCTCTACTCAAAAAAGTGAAGAAAGTGAGACCTTTGATGTGGAACTCACTAAAAATGTCCAAGGATTAGGAATTACAATTGCTGGTTATATTGGAGACAAAAAATTAGGTAATTTAAAAACCTAAGTAATTTTCAAAGCTTTGTAATTACTTCTATTATCTGGATCTATGAAATACTGAATCAATGCATTATGTTTCAAATTGTTGGATAAAGTAGTTGAAAACTTCTTAGAAACAATTTAATATCATATGCTGACACACGGACCAAACAATTGCCTCCTCTTCCTCTTAGTGGTTTTGTTTGTGTGCATTGTGGATAACTGTTCATTTGCAATTGGGGCTATTGATTTGGAGACTAGAGATGTGTGCTTTGAAAATTTGGAGACTAGAGATGTGTGCTTTGAGTGTGCTTTGAAAATAATGATAAATATCCTTTTTCTAATCTTAGAACCTTCAGGAATCTTTGTAAAGAGCATTACAAAAAGCAGTGCTGTTGAACATGACGGAAGAATCCACATTGGAGACCAGATCATAGCAGTGAGTTTGACATTCAATAATACCTGTGGTTGAGAAGGGTATTCTCTTAATTGGGTTATAGTGGAATTTCAGTGAGGTCTACTAATTTAAATTTTCTTGTAGAAACAAAATAGATCATTAGATTACAATGCTTTACTAATTTTAATTGAATGGTAAGACTTTTGTATAATTTCTGGTATTTTTGATTTCTCATTATCATGAATTTGTTACATTAATATTGCAGTTAGATTTGTATAAACTTCAAAATAAAGCCCAGATATCATGACCTTTAGGGGATCCAATTCAGAATTTGAGATGAAGTTTTTCTTTTAAATTTTAAATCGTCAGAACTCTGCTGTTACTATTAACTGTATGGCCAGAGTTCTGTTTCTGCTGTAAGAAAATACAGGAAAGAAGTAGATGGAGATCCTTGATTATATCACTTTGCATAGGATTTAAGCATACTGCAGATTCAGGCAGAGCATATGAGGAAATCCAGCCTTCGGTTCAGCTCTAGGGGCTACTAGATCTCCCAAACTGCTCCCAGAAACAGAAACTCAGAAAACTTCACTAGGGGCTTCCTGGCTAAAATTGGGTTAAGAGACTTACTATAATTATATATATTACAACATAGATGAATCCTGAGGACATTATGCTAAATGAAATAAACCCGTCATTTAAAAAAGATAGGAACAGTAGGTAGAATGATGATCTCTCTAATATGAAGTTTGTTTACTCAATAGAATTGTGATACATTTTACAAAATGAGACCTGTTACATGGCATTCTAAGTGTACTTAACACTAGTAAATTGTACCTTTAAAAATGGTAATTTTAGCTGGGCACTGGTGGCTATTACCTATAATCTTAGCTACTCAGGAAGCTGAGATCTTAGGATCCCAATTTAAAACCAGCCCTGGCAGAAAAGTTCCTGTGAGACTCTTATCCCCAATAAACTCCTCAGAAAAGCCAGAAGTGGGGCTGTCTCAAGTGGCAGAGTACTAGCCTTGCGCATAGAGAGGCTCAGGGACAGAGACCAGGCCCTGAATTCAAGTCCCAGGACCAGAAAAAAAAAAGTAATTTTTCCAGGCACCACTGGCTCATGCCTGTAATCTTCGCTACTCAGGAAGCTGAGATCTGAGGATCACAGTTGAAAGACAACCCAGGCAGAAAAGTTCCCATGAGACTATCTCCAATTAACCACTCAAAAACCAGAAGTGGCACTATGGCTCAAGAGGTAGAACCTAGCCTTGAGCACATGGAGGCTCCAGGGTAGTTGCCTAGGCCCTGAGTTCAGGCCCCACAATGGATTAAAAAAAAAAAAAAAAAGGTAATTTTGCTAGGCACTGATGGGTCATGCTTGTAATCCTAGCCACTCAGGTAGTAATATCTGAGGATTATGGGTTGAAGCCAGCCTAGTCAGGAAAGTCCATGGGACTCTTACCTCTCAACTAATCAACAGAAAAAAGCTAGAAGTAGAGCTTTAAGTGGCACTATGGCTCAAGCGGTAGAACCTAGCCTTGAGCAAAAAGGCTCAGGGACAGCAACCAGGCCCTGAGTTCCAGCTCCAAAATTGGCATGCGCACATACACAATCCACACACACACAAAAGGTAATTTTGCCAACTATAGTAGTCCACACATAATCTCAGCTACATGGAATATAGAGATTGGGAGGATCATGATTCCAGGCCAGCTTGGGCAAAACGAATTAGTGAGACCTTATCTCTACAAACAGCTGTGTGTGATGGGTCATGCTTGTAATCTTGTTATCTCAGCTATGTGGGAAGTGTAGGTGGGAGGATCATGGTCAGGTAGGGCAAAAATATGAGACCATATAGGGCTCTAAGCTAGGCTGTGATATCAAAACCAGCATTTTTTCCCAAAAAAGTAATTTTATGTTATGTGTTTTCTGTTTTTTTTTTTATTAGATAGACAAAAGACTCCTTTTGGCTTTGCCTTTTGAGCCTATAATACATATAGTATTCTAGAGTTCATTGCTGTGAATATCCACACTCATTCACTCATTATTTTTATTTTTCACATTTATTTATTTATTTATTTTAGTTTTTATTTTTGTCAGTCTGGGTCTGGGCGCTGTCCCTGTGCACTTCAGCTCAAGGCAAGCACTCTATCGTTTGAGCCACAGCACCACTTCCAGTTTTCTAGAGTCTCACGGAGTTTTCTGCCTGGGCTGGCTTTGAACTGCAATCCTCAGATCTCAGCCTCCTGAGTAGCTAGGATTACAGGCATGAGTCACTGGTGCTGGTTCACTTTATTTTTATTTTTTTTAATTATCTTAAGTACTTGTACAGAAAGTGTTATTGAACAGTCAATTTAGGAGTGCAGTTAAATTAGCTTGCCACCTAATTTGGCTGTGTACTGCAAAAACCTCTTCAGTGGACCTTTGTTTTACCATGAATTAACTGTTATTCATTTTTTTTTATTTTGAGAGAGGGAGAGAGAGAGAGAGAGAGAGCGGGAAAGAGAATGACTAGAGACTGGGGATGGTAGCTCATGCTACTTCTAGCTACTCAAGAGGTAGAGATCAGAGGATCATGCTCAGAGGGCAAAATGTTAGGAAGACTCCATCTCCACAAATAAGCTGAGTATGATGGTTCACACCTGTGGTCCCTACTACATGTGAGAACCTTATATGTATAGGTGGATCATGGTCTAGATCAGCCCTGAGAGACCCTATCTAATATATATAAACTTACAAAGCAGAAAGGGCTGGAGATAGGGCCGAAGAGCAACAGTATTTGAAGCCCTGAATGCAAAACCCAGTACCACCAAAAAAAGAAAAGCAAAAAAAAAAGAGCAAGAATGAATAGATGTAGTCTTTATTTCACATATGATGCTGAATTAAAAATTGAAAATTCAAACTTACTTAATCTTTGTCCTTCTTTGAGTGGATTACTTCAATAGATTTTAAAAATCAGCTTTATTGAGATACAATCAACATAGTATATATAATTTTTTCCGTTTAAAGTATCTGATTCAACATAGTGTCTAGTGAGTATCTTTGCTGCATTTGTTTACCCTTTGTTCCTCCCCATTTCTGTGCCTACCCTCATACTCTCAAAGACATACAGACAAACAAAGCAAAAAGAAAAGAAAATGGCAAAAATGAAAAAGAACTATACAACTTGTGGGTGGGATGGGAGGGAAAAACAGGGAGAGAGCAAGCGAAAGGACATTGTCCAAAAGGATTGTACTCTTGTCTGACTCATCCAACTGTAATACTTCTGGTTTTAGCATTTTCAAATAAAAATAATTAATATAAAAAGGTAAGTATTCAGTGGCTTTTAATATCTTTTTAGAGTTGAGCATTCATTGCCATTTCAAACTATTTTCATTACTGTAAGAAGAGATCCCAAACTCATTACCAGTCATTCCTAATCCCACTGAGTTCTAGTCCTAGGCAGCCACCAAGCTTTCTGTCTCTGTAGCTTTGCCTTCCCTGGGATATCTAGTGTAGATGGAACTGTTTTAGAATTTGGTTCTTTGTGACTGACATTTTACTTAGCAGAATGTTTTTGAGGTTCATCTATTATAGCATGAGTTAATTCTTCATGTCCTCTATTAAGAGTATAGTACACCAGAATTACCCACATTCACCATGTTTGAACAAAGAGAGCTGGTTTTGCACTGTTGCTATTTTGGATAATGCTGCAATGAACCTGGATGTACAAAGTCATATATGCAAACACATGTTTTCACTTCCCTGGTGTTTATGAAGGTTGCTCCATCTTGGGAAAGTTCTGTGTCACAAGTTTTGTTTCAGTTTCTTTGCCTACAAAGTGGAGATGTAGAAGCTTCCATTGCTTGATTTTTATTTTTAGGAGAGCCAAATGAGACTTTTATTTAATAGCTGGCATGACATTTAGCTCATAAGTTCATTTTAATTATTTATGAGGTTTACTAAGGGCCTGAAATTACCTATTTGCTTCCCTCTAAACCTATCATTGTTTCCATTCTTCTGTAAGGGAATCTTAGATGTCATTCCTTTAACTGCTGACTCACAAAGTGCAAATATTCTTTCTTAATAGTTGTTTCCTGCTCTCACAACAAATCCCTTATCTATGTCTTTTTAGCAACATCATCTTCAAAGTTAGCAGCACCTAAACTCTTGGAGTATATCCTGTAATGCTTCAGTCTTGTAAACTTTGTGCAATATATTGTCACTAACTTGTGGATGGTTGATCTACTGGTAGTGAAGTCCTTCACACCTCCTTACATTTTCACAACTGTGGTCTTTTAGCTTGTTTGTTCTATTTTTGTTTTGGCAGCTGCTATTGGAGCTAGATCTATTCTTATTTGTTGGCATGCTGAGAAGATTAAGAAATTATTTCTTACTATTTTGAGCAAGTGTTATTTTGGAACGTAACACTATTGTGCTGTAAGATTCCTATCACACACACTGCATACTGTGGACCCCTAGTGTTTCACTATGGGCATTACAGGAGTAGGAACAGATCAAATGGGTTCACCACTCACCCTACCTAGGTTGGTATTCCATGTAACAATTATTTGACAAAAGGACTTTTAATTGTTTTGTGTTGTTTTTTAAGTAGCCTAAGCTTGTTGCATGAAAAATCATACTTTTAATTTGGAGTTTAGTAATCCATGCTAAAGGCAGTATGAATTCTGATGGGTGAAAATTATTAGGCAAGCCTATAAATAATGAAGCGTGTCAAGTATTACTTTTCTTAGTAGGTTCACATTTTCTGTCAACAGATACAGGCAGTATTGAAGGAGGCCTTGGCAAGCTATAACTGCGTGTGCTGGGTGTTAGGTTTTGTGAGCTGTATTTCTTCCCTGTAACTGATTCTTTTGGTTTTGGTGTCAGCACTGGACATTATGAGGATGCTGATGTCTTTTCACAGGGAAAAATTGCTACTATTGAACCTGCACTCTTGGATTGTGTCACCGTATTGCAGTCTTTCGCATCATTGAGTTTGATCTGACTCTTAACTCTTCCTGTGAACAGGTGGAGCCAGAGGATCAAAGATTCCGGCCTCTGTGTCTCATATGTGACTTGGTTATGAATTATCATCCCCACGAAGCCTTGGGTTTCATATGTTTATTACTAAATTCTTCCTACTATAACTAGTGACAGTTTCTGGCTCTTCTGGTACAAAGTGCTGGATTAATCTCTCATCAATAGAATGTTATAAGAAAATGTGTTGGTAGATTGTAGGATAATGAGCTATTTGTTTTCACATTGCTGTAAGGTGGCCTTGTGCTAGGTGATCCTGGCAGATAATTAGAAATGACTGTCTCCTTGGCCTCCTTCTTAGAAGTTGCTAGGAGGTCCATTTTTGCTGTCCATTCCAAAAGTTCATTTCCAAAGAAATCTTAGACATATGATGTAATGTCTTTATACTCCTATTTGGGATGAATGTCTTTTATAGACAACACTATGATTTAGTGACATTGTTGTATGCAGAAAATTCATAGAGCCTGCCTTTGGAGCAAACAGATATAAATCATTATGGAGGAGAAAATACTAACAAGTTTTATGATGGAAAATGGGTACAAGTGGGTTTTGACTGGAGTCAAGGTATATGGAAATAACTTCTGGATATAGAGCCAAAAGGATTATAAATGTTTCTTAAGCGAGGTGAAGAGAAAGATCATACGATGGCTATAGTCGGCTGTCTAAGGTCCCTGTGTTGAGTAGGGTACTGCAAGTGCGAGGTCTGGACAGGAGTCCCCGGTGGCTTGAGGGCAGGGGACAGTGGCAGTCCCAGGCAGGCCGACGGTGGTGCTGGGTAGTGGCACTGCTGAGAGAAAGGGACAATTGGGCAGGCCATTGTAAGCCATGTTAGGGATGGAGTCTGGTGTTCAGGATTAATCTACAGAAGGCATGATTAGGGTAGTTGGATGTCTTACCAATGCTTAGAAAAGATGGCAGGGGCTGAGTCAACTGTTTTGTCACTTTTGAATTTAAAAAGAGGGTAAGGTTGTATTTATTTGGAATATAAAACCAATGGGATTTCAATTTTATAGTTTTCTAAAGGCAGTGTAAATTAATGATATTTGGAAGACCATGAGTGCTTTTTTACTTCTATGTCTATATTTTTGCAACGCTGCTTCTGAAACTTAGCCTTGCAACGGATCATCCTAGGAACATAAAATAATATTTGAAAAGGCATAGAAGCCTGGTCCCTCCTCCGAACTATTGGCTCATAATTTCTAGAAGTGTTACCCCCAAGTCTGTCTTAAACCAAGCTCTTAAAGGATTTCTAGCACTGCTACTGAGGGGTTTCTAATGTTGGTCACTAAATGTGTATAAATACTCATTCCTTCCCCTCTCACATTAGTAAGTAGTAATTACATGTTTTGTGAATTCTCAGTGTAAATGTGAGTTTTATTTTTTGTCATCCACTTTTTTTTTATTAGCATCACTTAGTTGTACAAAGAAGTTCATTCTGACAGGTCCATCGATGCACACAATTTACCTCGATTAAATTCAGTCCTTTCATTGCCCTTTTCACCTTCCCCAAACCATCTCCACAGGAGTCATTGTTCCATGTTCATCCCATTTATGAAGGGTTTGGACATATCCATCCTCTTTCATTCTCTGTCACAGGTGGATGGCACAAGCCTTCAGGGATTTACTAATCAACAGGCAGTTGAGGTGTTGCGACACACCGGGCACACCGTACGCCTGACACTAATGAGGAGAGGGATGAGGGAGGACGCAGAGACCACACCAAGGGAGGACATCACAGCAGACCCTGAAATGTCTCTGGCAGTAGCCAGCGTAAGCAAAGGTAATGCTATATGCACCTGGTTGTCAGTTGGGCCTTTATATTACTTAGATTTTTTATATTTAAATTTTTTTAAGTAATTTACTTAAGAAATGTTTTTCACCCTGGAGTGTTCATGATGAACCAAGTAGAGAAAGGAAGCTAACAGGAAGCATCTACCTGTCTGTAAGCTTCAGAATGGGGCTCTGAGTAAAGGAGGTTTCTTTTCAGCCATGCTTGTTTCTATTCAGTCATCCTTAGTCACCGTTGCCCAGCTGGAGATGTGTAACCATCTACCTCCCTGTCCCCGCTTTACTGTTGGGTATCTTCACAATAGTCTTCCTTATGGAAGACCATCTGTCTGGATGGTTTACGTGAGACCCTGGTGATTTTAAATGCCCAGTCTTTCTTTGAAGAAATTAACTCTAATCCCACTGTTAGAAATGCCATTCATAAACTGTTGTTGCATGAATATCTGCACTTTTACTGAAATCCCTGTGTAGCTTACTGAGAGGAAGGTGTTGTCTGGAAAGCGCTGGTTGACTACTGACTGCCAACATTTCTGGTACTTAGGCAGTACTTTTGGTGGTTGGAGGCAGGGTGCAAGGGGAACACTGTGTGTTACTGAGCACTTTCTAAAAGTGCATATAGTCATGAAAGAGTATATCTCCAACAAACAGACTCTTCATGAAGACATTCAAACAAGTACAGTAAATTTAGAGAAATTCACTGCTGGGTTATGTTATAGATATAACTACTAAACTATTTCTTATCTTTAAGAAAACTATGAAAAAGATGAAGATTCCTTATCATCGAAGAGGAACACCAGCATATTACCAATTGAAGAAGAAGGTAAACATTTAGAGCCAGGATATGATATACATCATTGTAGTTTTAGAGAAGTAGTTTTTACAAATGAGATGAAGACTTTATAGTATAAATTTTCAAAACTTTATGGATTTACTGTATGTTACTAAAAAAAATCCAAAAAAGATGGGCCTTGTAAAACAGTGTTTATAGATGATTAATTGCTTTGCTAGATTAAAGCAGTTCCTTTCTGGTTCTCACTTTTTTGTGGTTAACTGAAGATAAGGGTCTCACAGACTTTCCTGCTTGGGCTGGATTTGAACTCTGATCCTCAGATCTCAGCCTCCTGTGTAGCTAGAATTACAGGAGTGAGCCATTGGTGCCTAGTATGTATGTTACTTATTAATTGCTTTTGTTTTTGTTAAGTAATAGCATATCCCACCTGCCAGTTCCAACCAGTGGAGGCCAGGGCAATGAACAAGGAAATGCCCGTGCAGTGGTGTCTCTGAATATTGTTGATTAACTAATTGATATTCTGTTTACCACCATGAGGTGGGGAATGAGTTTGACCGACAGATTAAGATGTCTCTCCCAACCTCCACTATTATAGGTTTAAAATGGCCGAGGGCTAACTGAAGAGAGTTACAGGAAAATAGACAAAATTGAGGTAGATGACAAAAAAAAATCAGTAGGATCCAGGAGTTTCTCACTAAGATAAGTACATACAGGGTCTTCTGTCTTTTAACAGGGATTAGTGCAAAAGTTCAAACACTCATAATTCTGCCTTTAGGCATAGGACAAATAATCTTACAACCAGGGTTTTCCATATTATACACATTCCAAGCACACTATCAAATCTCCTGCAGCCATTCCTCACAGTGAACTAGGGTTCCCCATCCCCCACCATTCCCAAGAATTAGATGCAAACAAGTAAGAAACTGACATGGAGGTGACCATAGAGTCCTCATTCTTTTTGATAGACATTACATTATGTGTGTGTGTGTGTGTGTGTGTGTGTGTGTGTGTGTGTGTGTGTGTATGTATGCTTCAGTAGAAGCATAGTTAAGATTTAAAAGGCTCAAACTAAAAGAGAATGATGTTGAACATTGCAAATAGGGTCCTAAATTAAGTTATTGAAATAAGTATAGAAATAAGAGTAAGACATTCTAGGTAAAAAGTCTGACTTTGCCCCACGGTATAACCCCTGCTTTCACTGTATTTGATGTTGGCATAATTTGTGGAGGGGAAGGGAAAAAACAAATCGTTTAACTAGGGATACAGGTGGACCCATTGCAACAATGAGATGTATAAGTCATTATGTCGAAAACGAACTTTACAACTTTGGTGGGTGGGGGGTGGGGAGGATTGGGTGTGGGGGTGGAGGGGGAGGATGAGAAGGGATGGGAAGGGGAAACAAAGGAGGAGGCTACAATGCTTGATAAGAAATGTACTCATTATCTTGCCTATGTAATTGTAACCCCTCTGTACAGTATGTTCACAATAAAAAAAAATGTGAAAAAAAAGAGTCTTACTTTGCATAACACACAGGTTCTGTCCAGACCCTATAGTATAGAATGTTAAGGTCCGGAGGGTTTTGGAGTTTGTCACTGACTTATTTGCCTACACTATTTTGTTTATTTCAGGGTATGCATTGCTGTCTGCTGAGGTAGAAGAAACAGAAGATGCACAGCAACAAGAAGCTACCCTGCTGACAAAGTGGCAGAGGATCATGGGAATTAACTATGAGATAGTGGTAGGTTTCAGTACCCTCTCTAGCTTTTTGCCTTGTAACTATACCTGAGTAGGAAATTCATGGCAGTGATAATCATCTCAGAAAGTTCCTGAGTATCAGGGCTTTTTCAGAAGACCTTAAAACATTCATGCGGAAGCTGAAATAAATTGAATGCAACTTTAATTACTCATGACACATGGATATTTTAATATTTATGGTAGGAGTTTAAATAATAAATGAAAGAGGGTTTGTTGGTTGTCAAACCTATGATTCATTGAAAGGACTAGAATAGGATGTCAGATTCTACTTAAAAATAAGATGAACTCATCATAACTTATGTCCAGAATTGTAGTGTTCTTCTCCCAACATTTTTTTTATTGTGAAAATACCATACAGAGGGGTTATAATTACATGGGCAAGGTAATGAGTACATTTCTTATCAAGCATTGTTGCCTCCTCCTTTGTTTCTCCTTCCCATCCCTTCCCATCTCCCTTGCCCCCCCTACTCCCCCCTCCCCCCCCCCCCCCCCCCCCCCGCCGCAACAAAGTTGTAAAGTTCATTTTCGACATAACATGTACACCTCATTGTTGCAATGGGTCCACCTGTATCCCTATTTAAACGATTTACTTTTGCCCTTCCCCTCCACAAAGTATACCAACATCAAATACAGTGAAAACAGGGATTATACCGTGGGGGAGGGACATACAAAGCAACAAAGAAATTATCTTATAAATATGTTAGAAACAATAGCAAGCAAGAAAAAAATATTTGAGTCCTTATCTTGGGGTTCATTTTGCTTAACATCAGTTTATCTGATCATTTCTGCTTGTGTCAGACATATACTAGTTATTGCAAATAAGGGAAACCATGGGACTTATGTTTCTTTGGGCCTGGCTTACTTCACTTAATATAATTTTTTCCAAGTCTTTCCATTTCCTAACAAATGGAGCAGTGTCATTCTTTCTGATGGAGGCATAGAATTCTATGCCTCCCAACTTTTTTTTTTAAATCACTGTGTGTTTCCCTTCACTGAAAAAGGAAGGTTCACATTTACTCAGGAGGCTAAGGTCTGAGGAACATGGTTCAAAGCTGGTTTGAGCAGATAAATCTGAAAGGTCTTTCTTTAGCCACAAAAAAGCTAGAAGTTGAGCTATGGCTCAAGTGATAGAGTACCAGCCTTGAGTGAAAAAATTAAGATACAGCCCCAAGGCCCTGAGTTCAAGTCCCAGACCAGCATAAGCACACACATCTACACACAATTTCTGCATGTGTCCTTAACAACAGTTAGGCAATAGTGAATGTTTTCTCTTTATGAATAGTTAATTTGCACATCCAGCCAAGCTGGCATAATCTTCCATTCTAAACAGAGGTATGGAAATAAAACAACAGGTAATAATATATAAATGACTCTTACCGTGCCACTTGCTGCTGTTTTTAATGTCTCATTTACTTTTCGTGACTCTAATTTAGTTTTTAAGAAACTCTCAGTGGGTTACCATTCATGTAAGCATTGAGTGAGATTGTTCTTATCATTTTAGATTGGATCAGTAACAAATCAGAAGTGGTCTAGCTTAGCAGTCATTGCTGTAGCATTTACTTTCGGGTGGGCTTCTATGGCTGGCCAGCACAGCTTCAGCTGTACTTCTTTGGTGGTGATTGACTAAGGAAGAAAGCCCTTGACTGCTATGCAGTCACACATTCAGAGCCAGAACTGAACTTTTAGCTTCCTTGTGTACACACAATCTAAGATGGGGGTCCTCGCCGTAATGTGCCAAGGGGCACAATTGGGCTGTCAGTGAAAAAGAACTAGGTCTTTTCTGTACCCTTGTCAGAGATACTTTAGACATCATATTTTCTTGGTCATCACGCAGCATCAATCACAGAAGGAATGGTGTAGCAGTGAGGACATGAAAGGCTGTTCAGGGGAAATGATGTGTAACTTGGTTTTTCAGCAGCATTAGATTTCAGTTAGATAATTTTGTTTTCTTTCTTGGTATCTGTCTCTGTCCATCTTTCCTTCTCTCTTTTTTCTTGTTTATTTCTTAGTCTTTCCCTCCATCCCTCTTTCCTTCCCTCTCTCCTTTCTTTCTTCTTTCCTTCCTAATTTCCCTCCCTACCTCCTTTTCTTTTTCTCTGTCTCTTTTTCTTTCCCTTCCTTTCCCTTTCCTTTACCCTTTCCCTTTTCCCTTCTCTTATTTTCTGTTACTGAGGCTTGTATTTCAAATTTACTCATTGTTTTGCCCTGGTAGTGTTCTACCACTTAAGCCAAGCTTTCAGTCTGGCTTTTTGGTGGTTAATTGGAGATAGAATCTTGCAGAATTTTCTATGCTGGCTAGCCTTGAGCTATGTAAGATCTTTAGATATCAGGCTCCAGAGTAGTTAGGATGAAAGCATGAACCACCAGTGCCTTGCTTAAAAGACCTCTTTTTGAATGAAACACTTTTTCTCAGGTTTTATTAAAATCTCATTTTCCTTAATTGTAAAATAAAAAGAACAATGAAGGCCACTGTTATAATTCTTTCTGATTTTCATATTGTACTTACTATATTATGTGTGAAAATGAGTTATGTCTTAAAAACCTTCATGTATGTAATACACTATATGTGTAATGGTAGGAATTAGAAACTCACCTCTATGACTTAAACTCATATTTACTTTTATTGCTTTTCTTTTGTGAGGTTGGGGGTCTGACCCCGTGCCTTGAGTATTCTGGGCAAGCACATTGCTACTCAGCTACATCCCCATCCCTAACCCACTTTTAATGGCCATGTTTGTCCCTCAGTATAATTGCAGATCAGGAGCACAGCTTTAGGCCCTCTTCTACCTTCCCAACTTTGGTTAAGGTAACCTCACTGAATGTCAGTTCTGAATTTGGGGAGCAAATTGTACCTTCATAGGAGAAGCCAATGAGATAACCTGTGGGACTGGATCAGAGTCTCAGGCACATAGTAGCAAGTGCATAGTGTCTGTCTTTATGTGTATATTGTGTGTATGTACATATATATATATATATATATATATATACACACACACACACACACACGGGTTTTTTTAGATTTTTATTTTTTTACTTTATTGTAAAGAAGCTGTATGGAGAGGTTACAGTTACATGAGTAAGGCAATGAGTAGATTACTTGTCAATCATTGTTAGCTCTTCCCTGGTTGTTGTCCCACTATCCCTTCCCTCCCCCACCTCCCACACTTTTCCTCGCTCCTCCCCCTGCCCCCCGAAGTTGTAAAGTTCATTTTCAGTATGCTATCCTGTGGGTATCATTGCTGCAATGGCTCATCCTGTGTCCTTGTTTCAGAGTTTTGTTATTCCTCTTTTCCTCCCCAGATTAGACAAATGTGTATACAAGATGCAGGGTACCAAAATCAAATACAGAGACAACAGGGGATATGCCATGGGGGAGAATATACCAAGGAAACAAAAGAAAATCACATGGTACATTTCAAACAATAACAACAAAGACAGACCTCTTGTGTCCATATCTTGGGGTTCATTTCACTTAGCATCATCTATGTAAATAGCTTTTGAGTGTTTCAGCTCTTCTGATAAGATTATCCTATATGTATGCTAATTATTGCAAATAAGGGAAACCATGGGACCTAAGGTAATGAGTATATTTCCTATGGAGCAGTTACCTCCTCTTTTGCCCTCCCCCCCGCCCCCCGCTGCTGCCAAGTTGTAAAGTTTTTTTTCAACATAGTGTCTTGTACTTCTCATTGTTACAATGGGTTACCTGTATTCTTATTTGATCATTTTGTTATTTCCCTTCGTCTCCCCACATTATAAAAATGTATATACAAGATGCAGGGCACCGATATCAAATATAGTGAAAACAGGGGTTATACCATGGGGGAGGAACGTACAAAAGAAACAAAAACATCACATAGTACATTATAAATACAGTAAAAAGCAATAGCAAGAAAGAAAAAAAAAAACACTTGTGTCCCTATCTTGGGTTTCATTTTGCTTAACATCATCTTATATGGTCATATGTACATAGCTTTTGACCTTTTCTGCTTTTCCTAGACATATACTAGTTATTGTATGTAAGGGAAACCATGGGACCTATGTTTATTTGGGCCTGGCTTACTTCACTTAATATAATTTTTTCCAAGTCCTAACATTTCCTAACAAATGGGGCAATGTCATTCTTTCTGATGGAAGCATGTGTGTCTTTTTTAAAACCACCATTTGAGCTTAAGACCTGTGTTAGCTGTGACTGCCTTCTATTTGTTTTCAGCATCAATAGACACCAACATCATTTGGGTTCTTGTTGCTGGCTGCTTCCTATTGGTCTTTGTTGGTTCATAAAACCAGTAGCCACCAATACCCTTTCAAAGTTTTGCTCCTTTATAGTAAACTTTCTGAAGCTTTTGTAAGACAATTGACCAGTTGGGTATGAATGTAAAATGCATGTGTGTATATGAAAGAGCAAAAGGAAGAATAATAGGAATGTGACAACCACTGTTGTTTCAGGTGGCCCGTGTGAGCAAGTTTAGCGAGAGCAGTGGGCTGGGTATAAGTCTAGAGGCAGCGGTGGGACATCATTTCATCAGATCCGTGCTACCTGAGGGGCCCATTGGACACAGTGGGAAGCTCTTCAGTGGGGACGAGCTACTGGAAGTAAGGACTGTGCTTTTCTTTCACCTTGGAGTTAGGCTGTCATAAAACTCCAGGAGGCTGAATGCAGTGAATAACTAACTTAAGTGCTTACTGTAAATTTAGCCCCCAAGACTACTTGAGAGATACTTATAAATGAAAATCCATCCACAGGAGAAATTTCAAATCTATGTTTATTAATCTTCAGACCCAATTCAATACAATATTTTTTTCTGGGGGAGGGGGGTTTCTGGTCGTGGGGCCTAAACTCTGGGCCTGGGTGCTGTCCCTCAGCTCTTCAGCTCAAGGCTAGCACTCTACCACTTGAGCCACAGCGCCACTTCCGGCTTTTTTCTTTTTGCTTACGTGGTGCTGAGGAATCGAACCCAGGACCTCAGGCATGCAAGGCAAGCGCTCTACCACTGAGCCACCTTCCCAGCTCCTCAATACAGTATTTTTGTTGTTTCATTTTTTCCCTTTGCTTTGTATTCAAGTGATGAAAAGTTTCTTTGAAACATTTCAAACATATTTCATTTTTAGAATAAGTAATTTGTTTTTATTTTAAATAGAGAACACAAAGATAAACAGTAAAAAGTCTCCTTCTTATCCACCCACTTCTCATCACTAGGTATCTATCAGTACTTGTTTCTTTGAGATCAGTCAATATTTTCATGTAGAAAAAAGAAAACTTGTACCCCCTCACCCCCCCCTCAGCCCATTTAAAAAACCTTCTAGTGTACAATACATGCCACTTTATTTTATGTGGCAAATTGTGTAAAATGCCTGTTTTTTTTAAATGATATTTTCTCCTTCACCCTTGGGGAATATTTTCATAGCCTGTCTTTTTCTACTTTCCATTTCATTTACAAACATGAATGGAAGCTAGTGCTTTTATAATTATCATCATAGTAACTTTTATGTGTATCTATGAAATATTGTTTTCAGGAGTATACTTGTATGATAAAGTGTTTTCTTACATAGACAGTGTATCTTTTTGTACAGGTGAATGGTGTAACTTTGCTTGGAGAAAATCACCAGGATGTGGTCAATATTTTAAAAGAATTACCTATAGAAGTGACAATGGTGTGCTGCCGTCGAACTGTGCCATCCACCGGCCATTTAGAATTGGATACCCTGGACTTCACTGATACTGAGATAACAGAAAAGGTATCATATTTGCCTAGATGGAGGGAATCTGAATGTACAGTAGGCAGGCCAGATGGTGTTACTTTTCAAAGCCAGTCCTTCTCTTTGATATTTGGTTTCCTTAAATAGCATGTGGCTCACAGACACACCAGGGTGTGATCCAGACATGATACTAGCTGGGTGACCTTGGGCAAATCACATCACCTTTTTGAACTTCAGTTTGCTCTTTTGTAAAATGTAATTCACTCTGCCTGTTTCAGGGTTGTTATGAAGGCTACAAGAATAATATTAGATGATGTTCTATACTATGTTCTTGGATAATTTACTTGAACAATTCCTGCTTAATTTCCTATATTTTCATTTGCAAAAGAGAAAACTTAAACATAAATATCATGTATGGAAAATGATTATTTTTTGTAAAGTACCCAACTCTGTCATTTGAGTACTACTTAGTAAATTGCTAAAATATGGTGGACATTATTTCAGAATATATAGCTTTCAGCTCATTTGCACATTCTGCTTTGATAATAAGTGAAACTTGAGCTCATTGTCCATGTCAAATAATTCTCTGTGACATCCAGAAACTCCCCTTTTCCTGTTTCCTATTCCATTTAGATCAAAGTCAAGCAATATAGCTAATCAGCTCTGTGGAGGATACACTATATTCATATCTTAAGTTAAGATCTGAACTTTGCATAATTTATGGCCTAGTCAAATTTCATTTAAGGTATAATTAGAGATGATGTTGGGGTTTGATACTCAGTGAAATAATTTTGCAAACTTTGAAGAATAAAGTGCATAATTTAATACTCATTTTGGTGATTAGAATAGGGCTGAACAAGAAACATAATTCCAAATTGTGTTTCCAAAGGCTGTTTCTGTATACATCCATGTACATCTTATGTGGTATAAATGTAATAATTACAACAAATCATTTGAAGACATTGATGCCCAATGCAATACAGCAATCAATCTAAACAAAAGCAGTATACAAAATAGAATTTCATCCTAATTAGCATGTCTTCCTTAAATTTGATATATGTCCATATAGATGAATGAAGTTGAATTAACCTATCTACTTTAATTTCTTCTATTGAAAGAATACCATCTTAAATCCTTTCGGTATTTAATTTTCAAAATACTTTTATGAAATAAGTTAACTATAACCCATGTTAAGAATATTGCTCAAAATAACACAGATCAGAAATCATAAGTCCATCTTCAAGCCCAAGCATTCTGATTTCAACTCTAAATACCTTTCTACTGTTACATTAATGTCTAATAGGATAATTGCCATCCTTATTTGCATAGAACATTCAGCCTTTACACAAAAACTTTTCATTTGTTTTTATTTATCATTAGAATTATGTTCATTTGTTCCTTCGTTATTCACGGTGCAAGCACTGAGGCTTAAACTTAGAGATTCCCATTCTCACTTGACTTTTTTGCTCAAGGCTGGTTCTCTACCACTTGAGCCACAGCTCCACTTCTAGCATTTTGCTGATTAATTGGAGATAAGAATCTCACCAACTTTTATGCCTAGGACTGGCTTTGAATGGTGATCCTCAAATTTCAGCTTCCTAAGTAGCTAGAATTACAGGTATGGGGCACCAGCACCAGCACCTGTTTTCTTCCCATTTAATAACTGATATTATTACCTTCCTTCCCTCCCTCCCTTTCTCTCTCCCTTTCTTCTTTCCTTCCTTTCCTTCTTCCCTCCCTCTCTCTTTCTTTCCTTCTGCTTCTGCATCTGCTTCTGCTTCTTGCTTCTTTCTTTTCCTCCTTTTTCTCCTTCTCTTACTTTTGTCTCTATAGATGTGATTCTGACTAGGAAGATATAACATCAAATAATTTATTGTCTATCTTTTGATCTTTTACTTTTATTGCTTATTACAATGTAGGCATTCTTTGCCCTTAACAACTCTCAGGAATAATGCCTTAATTCTTAAAGGTGTCATGATAAGCTGTTGCTCCTTTGCAAGTGTTTTGTTCTGGACACATGCTGGGATTCTCCCTTTTCATTGCAATATTGGTATGTGTGTCTGCTACTCTAGTCCCTCTGAAATAAGAGATGTCTGATCTGTTTTCCAGCCTCATGTAGATCTAGGTGAGCTCATTGGGTCTTCAGAAACAGAGGACCCACTGCTGGTGCTGACTGAAGCCGGTCAGAATGTGGAGGAGGTCCAAGCACCTTTGGCCATGTGGGAGGCTGGTGTTCAGTACATAGAGCTGGAGAAAGGAAGCAGAGGCCTTGGTTTTAGCATTTTAGATTACCAGGTAAATGTATCCTACTTTGAACACTTTTTATAAAAAGATGCCTTATACTAAAAGTACATTGCTGCTACCAGAGAAAAATGAAAATAATACTTTAGTATTTTCATAGACAATTGCTTGTTTCTATTTAGCCTTTCAACATAGTAACATACATAATTCATTAATTATCGTAAGGGGTCTCTTTTAATATTGAACTCAATATAATAATTCTGACACTGAGCTCAATTCTGATATTGAGCTGTTACGTATTTCAGCTGTTGAGAATTTGAGGAACATGAAGATTATGTTTTAGGAATGCCACAATAATACAGTAGTTTTTTTGGGGGGAGAGGGAGAATTTGTATTGTTTTTATTTCCATGTTTTTAATTGAGGCTCATATTGTAATGGTAACTCCAGAGAGTTAGATATTTATTTCTTTTGTGAAGTAAATATTTTAAAATGGAATATATTCTAAATTGTGGTATTCCAGTCATTTTACTAAATTATGAATATATTTAAATTGGTCAAGTGTAACCTCCATCCTTTCCTGCCTGTGTTATGTGTCAAGTAAATGGGAAAATGCTAAAAGCTGCCTGACTGAATGCAGCGGTTACTCCTCATACTGAACAGAAAGCCGTCTCTGATGCCTCCAAGGAGTTGTGTTCTTTGGGCGGGACTTGGGAGCCGTGGCTAAGGTTGAGGCTGCTCTGTAAATGTAAGCACAGATATCCCTGAGTATGTCAGGGCTCTTTCTCTATTTCTCCATTTCGAAGGAGTGGCCCAACCTTCCGTATACTCATGTTTGCAAACATCTATTGAACAAATGCTTTTGTTAATAATAGTTTAAAATGGTTGTAAGATTTAACAACTTACCAAAAATTTTAAATTAAAATTTTAAAGTTAATTATGCAGTTAATCCTGTAGTGTTAGCAAACCAGTGTGCTTTTGTTCTGAGGGTTTTGCATGTACTCTGAAATTATATGGAGATCACCTTTGTCTACATACACTCTGAAATGAAATGAAGATCACCTTTGTCCAGATACTCACAAGAAATGTTTTAAAGACTTTGTTTTTGTTTCTAGATGTGTACATGCATTTGCGCATATGTATATATGCATACATGGATATATGCATACACATCTATAAGTTATTTCATATAGTAAGGGGTTTTATCATGAGTTTTCCATACATGCACATAATGTACCTTGATCATAAGGAATTTTGTATGATGCTTAAAGCAATAACCTGTTAACCATGACAGGAAACAAATTGTGAAAATTGTTATCTGGCCAGGCAATGGCTCATGCCTGTAATTCTAACTATAAAGGAAGCTAAGATCTGAGGATCACAATTCCAAGACAGCCATGGCAAAAATGTCCATGAGTCTCTTATCTCCAATTAAGTACCCAAAGGGGGGGGAAAAAAGGCCAGAAGTGGAGCTGTGGATCAAGTGGTAGATACTAGCTTTGAGCAAGAGTTGCTCAGGGATACTGCCCAGGCCCTGAGTTCAAGCCCAAAGTCCTGCATGTGTACACACACACACACACACACAACACAACATACACAGTTTTCTGTGTAATAATAAACCGAGTTCTTGTTGCATTCCATCAGGACCCAGTTGACCCAGCAAGCACTGTGATTGTCATTCGTTCTCTGGTGCCTGGTGGCATTGCTGAGAAGGACGGGCGCCTTCTTCCTGGAGATCGGCTCATGTTTGTCAATGACATTAGCTTAGAGAACAGCAGTCTGGAAGAAGCTGTGGATGCACTGAAGGGAGCCCCAGCTGGAACTGTGCGGATAGGCGTGGCCAAGCCATTACCTGTGAGACTGTGGATTTTATTGCCTTTTATTTTTGCAAGCTTTCTTTTAGATTTAAATGTTCTCCTAATTGAATTACCACTTTGGGGAATTTTTGTCAACATGGTTATTGGTTCCATGAACATAAATAATTCAATTTTTAGTCCTATTTTCAAGAGAATAAAGGAAAAAACCAGCCCTGATTTTCAGAGATGAATATAGAACTCAGTATTTTGTGGTCCTCGTTTGACCTTATTTTAATAATTAAGTTGTGATCAATGCAGAAATTTTAAAGAAATATGAATTTGTATGTTAAAATACTATTGTAGTTCAATACTGAGATAATATCAGCTGATGGGCATGGTGGCTCACACTTGAATCCCAGCCACTTGGGAGGTAGAGATTAGGGGGATTATGGCTTGAAGCCAGTCCTGGCAGGAAATTAGTGGTACCTCATCTCAACTAAATAAGCTAAGAGTTGGCATTCACCTATGATCTCAGCTATGTGTGCACGTCAAACAAACATAAGGCCTTGACTCAATTTCCAGTACTGAAAAAAAAAAGAGGAAAGGAAAAAAAACTTTATACTTGATCATTTTTGCTTACTGTGAAAAATTTATCCAGAAAGAAAAAGAATAGTATTGTAACTAAGAATATAGTCTTTAATCACAGCGGAATAAATGGGAAAAACTGACAGATTCGTTTACCTTCCTGAATTATGTTGACTTCAACACAATTGTCTTAATTTCTACAGGGCAGGAAATTGGAATTTTGCAAAATGAGTTTATCAGTGTATGGCTCTCTTCCTAGGAGGAAATCACTCCCATGTTGTAATCTTAACACTAGAAACAAGTAATGGATTTATACCACATAAAGCAGTATACTTTACGAAGTATAGTGATCATAGCATGACACTGAGCACTTTGTGATTGGATGTGAGATATTGTCATTATTTGGCAGGTATTTTTTCCAGGCAAAAGTAATATAGCTTTAAATAAAAGGGAAAATTAACTATTTAAGAAAGTATACAGTTGGGCTGGGAAGGTGGCTCAGTGGTAGAGCGCTTGCCTTGCATGCATGAGGCCCTGGGTTCGATTCCTCAGCACATCATAAGCAGAAAAAAAAAAAAAGCTGGAAGTGGTGCTGTGGCTCAAGTGGTAGAGCACTAGCCTTGAGCTGAAGAGCTGAGGGACAGTGCCCAGGCCCAGAGTTCAGGCCCCACGACCAAACCAAAAAAACAAACAAACAAAAAAAGAAAGTATACAGTTACATCTGTATAAACAGCAATTGTGGAATTTTGTGAAGGAATTTTTTTCAAATAGTAAGATTTTTTATTGTGAAAATACTGTACAGAGGGGTTACAATTACATGGGCAAGACAATGAGTACATTTCTCATCAAGCATTGTAGCCTCCTCCTTTGTTTCCCCTTCTTTCATGTGATTGTTTCAAATAGTAAGCTTTTTAAAAATATTTAAATGTTAATGAAAATGATTTTATGTGCCAATTTTATTCCACAAAGCATTCTGTAGTTTTTATTTATGAAAAAGTAAAGCAAGATGGGGGAATACAAAGGGGAATACAAGAATGAAGTTGGATCATGGTGCCTGTTGCTCATGCCTATAAGCCTAGCTACTCAGGAAGCAGAGATCTGAGGATAATGGTTTAAAGCCAGCCCAGGAAGAAAAGTACATGAGACTCCAATTAACCACCCAAAAAACTAGAAGTGGAGCTGTGGCTCAAGTGGTAAAGTACTGGCCTTGAAGGGGGGAAATGTTCAGAAATAGTATCCAGGCCCTGATTCCAAGCCCCAGGATTGGCAAACACACACTCACACCCACACCCACCCACCCACCCACCCCACCCCCCACAATAAATAATAAATAAATAAATAAATAAAAGATAGGCACTGGATGCTGGGGATGCTGAGAACTAGAGGATCATGATTCAAGGCCAGCCTGCACAAAAAAGCTGACAAAACTCTCATCTCATAGTTGAGTGCAGTGGCCTGTTTTTCATACCAGTTGTTCTGGTAAGCTGACATTGGGAGGATCTGCCATCTGGGCAGAAAAGTCTATAAGACTCCATCTCTTTGGAGAAAAGCTGGACATAGTGGCCCATGGCTGTGATTCCAGCCACAAGGGGAAATCTAAAAATAGGTGTGTAGTAGCTTAAGTGTACACCCAGACTACAAGTGAAGCCCTGTCCTTAAAAGTAACCAATGTATGTGGTACATGTCTATCACATGAGCCTAGCAAGTTCCAGACCTTGAGTTCAAACTCCAGTACTAGTAAGTGAATGAATGAATGAAGGCCATCTCTGACTCTGCCTACTTATTTAGATTGGACCATAGGTGTGGTTCTGGTCTTTCTGTTCTACAAAAAGAAATGGCTAACATTTTGTACCGCCCTAAACGTGGAACCATCCATACCAGTCATTTTGAAGCAGAATTGTCGTTTCCTAGCTAGTTCCCAAATAGATTTTCTAAATACAATATTTGACATTTCAAATTTAGTATGCATTAAACATACGATGGCTATTTCTGTCACTTCAAGCACATATTCGACTTACATGTGGGGGGAAACGAAGACAACCTGTTTTCTCTAAATACTTGAATGTACATTACTGATATGGAGGGATGTAGGCCAAGACCGTTATCTAAATACTTTAGGCACATTGCATCAGAGACTAGAATAAATATAACAGACTTCTCAGTCTGTGTGGTCGAGGCTACATTATAATGGCTCAAACAAGTTTATATTCCATGCACTTATAATGTCTTTAGCTTATTTTATCTCTATGAAATAAATTATATATTTTAAAGTAATAGCCTAAGAAGGAATGAAAAGAAATGTATTCTTTTGAATTTGAAGCAGGATGTTTTATTATTTTGCAACTTTGAAACAAATAATAATGACCAGAAAACTATTAGAATAAAATTGCTCATTTTGTAATTTATAAGAAGGGGAAAAATACCTAATAAAAAGGGATTCTCACCTAATGGATGGTAGAGATACCAGAATAAAAAGTTTTCTTTCAAATAAAATTCTTAACACAGGTATTTTTTCATATTTCATACTTAACATCCTATGTAAAAGTCTTAAGTTGTCATTGAAAACTGCCACTTTTCCGTCTCTGTTAATTTTTCATCCGTCTGTCATCTCGTCTCTTTTTCTATTCATCTTCACTATCTTTTCTGTGACCTGGGCCTGGAACATGCTTCTACTGCAGCTTTCTCCAGAAGAAGGTTATGTGTCTGCTAAGGAGGATTCTTTTTTCTACCCACCTCACCCCTGCGAGGAGCCAGGGCGATCTGACAAAGGCCTCTTCAGGGCTGACTTAGCTCTGGTTAGTAATCTCAGTTGACCAAACTCTGCAAAATTCCTTGTATAACTCACTTTGCCTTTCAAAAATAATGTATATATTTGACAATCCTAGTTTTGGAGAGGGGATTCTTTCTGTTAATTGTTTTTGAAATAGTTGTTCAGAAAGTTTTGATATATTTAAGTAAATACAATAATTTTATATCATTGTCTCTAAAATATCTTAAGAAACAATATTCTCTTTTGATTTTACAGGGCTTATTAAATGAATGCCAATTCGAAAAAAGATTATTTCCACTTGGCATGTGATAATAGTAGTATGTAGACTCAGACTTCTCTTTAACCAGCTCTGTAGTCTTGCACTGGTCACTCCCTTTCTCTGGGACCTAGGGTTTCATCTCTAGTAATTGAGAAAATTGACTTAAAGAGAAGCTCCTAAGACTTTAGAGTGCCAGTGTTAGGCATGCATATCATGTTGATGTATTTTTTCATTAATGTTACTTAATATTTTTCTATTGTAATCTGGCATAAGGCATAGTTAATAGTACCTGTTCAGATAGCAAATGGTAAGTTTTTGTCATTTAGAGAGGTAACCTTCACATGCTAACTCCATAGTGAAATTAAACATGTATTTAGAATACATTTTCAGGTCTCTGAAATACATTTTAAGAGAGAGTCACGTTGTACTTTAAGTAGCTTATACACTGTTATAGTGTTTAAATCACAAATAAATACAATATATGGTACCATGCCATCAAGATAACTAGAAAATGCTGGTAATATCACAGAGCAGTTATTTCTTCCCATTCCAAAGTATGGTTATGAGTGAACTGCAAGGAAAGTGTCAAATTTAATGTTTACTGCTTTCCCTTGGGTTTACTACAAAAGATAATAGTTGGATTTGTTGATAAGTGATACAATTATCTCACTCTATTTGACTCCCTTCCCCTTCCTTTCCTTCTTCTCTCCTCCTCCCCCTTTTCCTCCCATCCTCTGCCCTTCTCTCCCTACTGGAGATTTGACCCAGACTCATGCTTGCTGGGCAAGTGCTCTAACACTATACTTTGCCTTTCATTCTATATGAATTTTTAAAGAGAAATTTATAACCTAATACTTTACTATAACCATATTATAATTTAATCCTATTATTTATTAATGCAACTTGAGCATGAAATCATAGTTGTTCTCTTAGGCTTTTATAAATGTGTTGTTTTAAAACCTACGTAAGCCTAATTTAAGCAACTAATTGATCATTGTCTTTTGACTACCAGCTTGCTTTAGCTAAGTATGAAAAGTGATGACGTCATTCAAATTACTCATGAGAACTAGAAAAATAGAAGATTTCCTTAATTTATAAAACTGTTTAAGAATTAAACTAGATCCTTTATTAATTGTTAGCTTCAGCCCTTCAGTTGTCCACCAGCAGCCAGTGTTGTGGAAGGGCAGTCTTTCCTTGTACTGCTGCGGTAGTTAGTGTGATGTGTCAGCAAGTGTGCAGAGGGAGGCCATTCCACAAACAGGACAGACAAAAGAATGATACCACCATGTCTGTTGGTCTCAAATGGATGTTATTTTGTTCCTAGGTGGAGACACCAGAGGGTGAATTAGTAGATGAATCTACTTTTGCATCTCAGTACTCTCTGGATAAGGACAGCGTCTACTCTACTCAAGCCTCTGTTTTGTCTCTTCATGGCAGTGTTTGTAGTGATGGCCTCAACTATGGCCCCTCCCTTCCAGCATCTTCTCCCAAGGTACAAAAAAAAAAAGCCAAACTTTGTGTATAATTTTTCAGAAGTCAGCTTTGTGGGGAGTTGTGGGAATAGCCTATTAGAGATACTGTGCTTTTTTTCTATTTATGGATTCATTATTAGGTGGAAGCATGACTTCATTCTCTGTGTCTTTGATTGCTATGGACTATTTAATTCTGATGTCTGTGAGACACACACACACACACACACACACACACACACACACACACACACACACACACACACACACACACACACACACACACACGCCACAGAAGGATTCAAAGCTTGGATTAATGATTCTCATGTCAAAAAGAAACCATTTTAATAAAATATGTTTCTGATGTATCTGATCTGGAAAAAAATTGCAAGAATAAATTTAAAATTAAGTTTTATGCCACGTTGAAGATATTGCTTGCATTGATTTACCATTTACTAGCTATTAAACTTAATGCTATCTTTTTATACAAATAATGCCAAAGAATGCTTTACATAAAAATCACAGTGAGTGGCAAAGCATGTGTCTCTCAGTGGCTACTGATAGAAACATGAAGAGCTACTGTTTGACATATTTGTGCCATCTATGTTTGAGAAATAGACTGTTGGCATAAAGGCCCTAGTTGCACTCATTTTCTTGGTGTCATACTCAGTATTGCTTGATACGTAATATTTTAAAACCTATCCAGTCTTTTAACTGTAAAATAGTATGCTACTACATGTGTCTGGTTGGATCACTAGTGGGACTGAATGCTTTACCATTTTACCACATGTTTTTTTGCTTTTATCAATGATCTCTCCATGTAGCTGTTTTGACCTAGGGATGTGACTTAGTGGTAGAGTGCTTGCCTGCAAGCATGAAGCTCTGGGTTCAATTCTTCAGTACCACATAAAAACTAATAAAAAATTAGATCTTATCTTTCTGTTCATTTATTGAAGTTGTTTATATTTTCTAGAAATTTATATATAAGTATATAGTACATAATACATATACTATATATTTTAAGGGTATTGTATGTGTGTATTTAGTAAAAAAATTAAAATTTGTGTGTGATACTTCTCAATTTTAGGAGAGAAGTTATCTATGGAAGAAAAAGGAAACATTGAAATGTTTCTGTATCTCTATTAAGTAGAACAGTTGAGGAAAATAAGGAAAATGTTTGTATATTAAATCTAGGCAAAGAGTTCATATTTGGACTTTATTTTTTCTTTATTTTCTACTGATATAAAATATATAGTATAATTACTGATATAGCATTATGATATGGCATTTTCTACATAAATTGAATTCAGTGGAAAGAGGTCTCATTTATGACTGATTTGGAAGGTAAGCTTTCTACAGATCTAGCATAGTTTTCCTCTTTCTCTGATTAACAAATAGTTACTTTGGCCAGAACATTTTCAAAGCATCTTTTATTTTTGAAGTGCACCTGTTATCCTAGCAAATGATGCTGGACAATCTCCTCAAATTGCTTTGCAAGGCATAGTCTTAGTGGAGCAGCTGGTCCTCCCTTAGCACACCTGAGACTATGTCTGGCTGCAACCTATCTGGAATGTGTTCAGCCCTTACTGGCCTCAGGACTGGAAGCTGAGTTCATCTCCTGATGGAATCTTCTAATCCATAGCAGGGCATACTTCATGCCAGTGGGGCAGATTGCATTGTTTGACTTAGTAATTGTTACTTAGAGGGATTACACAATCTGCATGCTGAGAAGCATGTATTTTTCTGGTTATATGTGGCACAACATATTGGCTTGCTGAAGTTTGTTTGCCTCTTTTATTTTTTTCCCCTGAGCAGTTTACTCTTTTGTTGAAGCAAATTTTGTCAAGCTGGCCCAAACACTGAAATATTTAAACTGAAAAGACAAAAAGAAGACATTAATGTCTTACCTACGTTGTGAAACTTAAATGCTTTGTTTTCTTAGAAAGTAGGTCTGTCCTGTGTTATGGTAAATCTCTGCCACTGTGGTGTTTGGTTTTGTTTTTCCTTGGCTACTCTATTTTAATAAGTAGAAAAGTATATTTAAATAAAAATTAGATAATATGTTCCTGTTCATTTACACTAAATTCATCCTGAAACAATGGAGAACTGATTGTTTTTCTTAAAAAATATGAGCTCACTTTAGGACTTTTAAGTTAATAGAATGAAAGCATATATGTGGCAATTTAAGTATATATGGTTGTGTGTGCTAAGTATTGTTGATGAAATGTTTTCCAGACTTTGGACTTTGGTTACCCATGTTATAAGAACTGACAGTGGGGTGGAGTATGGACTCACTCCAGGGAAGCCATGTTTACAGAGTAGTTTTAGACTGAACAGCAGTTAAGCACCGTGTGTGTGTGTGTGTGTGTGTGTGTGTGTGTGTGTGTGTGTGTGTGTGTGTGTGTGTTTGCTTAATTTATCATTTAAGTATTCAATTATACCTACTTCATGACACTTAAATTAATTAGGGACAAATCACCAAAATTAAATAGGACAGGTCATTGGCTCAAGTGGTAAATTACCAGCCTAGAAAGCACCAGTCTCTGAGTTTATACTTCAGTACTGCCATAAATTTACATTTTATTTAGCCAGACATGTTGGTACATACTTGTAATTCTGCCCTCAGGAGACTGATGGAGGAAAATTGCAATTTTGAGGTCAGCATAGGCTATATAGTGAGACTCTGTTTATTTAAAAAAAAAAAAAAGAGGAAAAGTGCATTTTAAAGACAAGTGGCTATAGCCTGTAAGGATTTTCCTTTCTCACTGTTGTTTTAACTTTTGAAGATTTTGGTTGTTTTGGTGGTACTGGAGGTTTAAACTCAGAGCCTTCTCCAGCTTAGCAAGAGACCTATTACTTAAAACATGCTCACCAGCCCTTTTTGCTTTAGTTATGTTCTGAATAGGATCTCTGTCTCTGTCTGTCTGTCTGTCTCTCTCTCTCTCTCTTTAATGGTTTAGCTGTCTGAATTGTGATAGGCACTTTATAACTCCCAGATTTATTGATTGAGATGAAATCTTGCTTACCTTTTGCTCAGCCTGCTTTTAAGTTACAGTTCTCCCAATCTGCCTCATAAGTAGCTGTGAATTGTGCTTGTCCTATAAATCTTTTTATCCTCTTTCCCTGTTACCACTAAACCAATGACCAAATGCAGTGATAATTGTTTTTCAAATTTAAAATGCTTGTAGACTTTTGCTTAAAAGCTAGTATAGTTTCTGAGAAGATGCTTGCTTTATTTTTATTTTTTAAATTTTGACTTAAAAATTCAGCTGATAAAGATCAATAACTGTATATTTAGTCTTTCTTCTATTTCTTCTCCATGCCACTACACCATGTTCCCTTCCATGATCACCCACTTCATTCCTTCACAAGATGAAATCATTACCTCTATCGTGCATATCCTTCATCCCTTAAATATTAGCATAACCAGAAATGCTATTGATTACAGAGCAGCTTGCAGTTGTATTTGTTAAGATCGGAATTTTTTTGTACATCACACACCAAATGCAACCAGTGGATTCTATTATATTTTTTAAAATCTACGTATTCCAACAAATCTCTGCTTAGCATCATTCTTTAGCATAAATATTGCAGCGTTCACATCCAAGTTTAGAATGTTGATTCTGTTTGTTAATGATTTTAGAGTTGAGTAGGATTAAAAACTTTTTTAGTCAGAAAGTTTAAAGTGTTGTAAAAGTCTTTGTGACAGAATTGTTAGCTCAAAGGTAGAAAAGATGTTACCATTCACTACAGTAAGGCAGTGTGTAAGTCAGAAAGCCTGGGAGAATGCCAGTAGGCTGGAGGAGCTCTGCTTTCAGTTTTTTAATTTAAAGTGTGATAGAAATTCTGTGGTAGACTACTTATTGAAGAAAAGCAGGTTGTAGCTGTTTATATAAGAAATTAGCTAGTGTATATAAATTTGTTATACAGATAAATATTATTTTCTATTTTTATTTGAGAATGTGTGTGTATACACTAGGGCAGGCATGGGCACTGTCTCTTCATGTTTTTGCTCAAGGCTAATGATCTGCCACTGGATCCATAGATCCACTTTCAGCTTTTTGGTGGTTAATTGGAAGTAAGAGAATCATGGACTTCCTTACCTGGACTGACTTTGAACGTGATCCTTACCTGTCAGCTCCCTCAATAGCTAGTTTACTGTTTTTAAGTGTACCTTAAATTCTACATATATTTAAGTAAGAACTTTTCTGAACATATTTGACAATTTATCTTCCTTTTCATTTTTTTCTGAGAACAAGAATATATCAAATGGAGGCATACATATTAATAGGAATTTTAGAAGGTCTACAGTTTAGATACCAACTTGCATTGGAAAAATGTAGTTATTTTTGGACATCTTAGGGGAGGAAGAACGGTTTTTCTTCTTGATCTATAAGACTTTTAAAAATAAAACTCCGTTGGTTGCAACCATAAATGATACTGAAGTGGGCGTATGTTGTCTACTGTGTTGATTAGCTGTTTCTTTTCTGTGTGTCTGTGTTAACTCCTTCATGAATAATGCATAGAAATTTCTGTTATACAATTTTCAGTAGACCTCAGCTAACGGATAGATTGACCTCTTTTTATGATGAAAAGCAGTTCTGATTATCTTTCTTTGAGGCATGGATGAGATGATTTTCTGCTAATTATTGTAATTAATTTAGTATACTGAAACTTACCAATCCTTCAGTAAGTACATTGTTATTTTTCATAAGAATAAAATAATCAGGGTTGGGTGAATTGAACTACCAGTTTATTGTTTAGATTGTAGATGTGTGGAAGATGTTACTTTATTATTAGTTGTTCCTGAAAATACTCAGAATGTTAATTGCTTGTATGATGGACCTCTATATCAGTTCTGTGTATCAGGAATATTTGATGATTTCAGAGAAATGTAACTTTGACTTGAGGAAGAGAAGTTTAATAAATTCTGTTGGAGAAGTTAAATTACCCACTTCGAAGAAATAAAAAGGTTGTTAAGACCCAAATCTTATATTAGATCTAAATTCCAGCTGGCTAAAATTGAAAAACAAATTATTTCTAAAAGAGAAGAACAGTACTAGGAACCATGCCATTTACTTTATATAAAAAAAGATTTATGAAGCAATATAAAACCAAGGAATATAGAGAAATGACATTTGATTCTATAAAGCATTTAACTTGTGCATGATATATAATATTACATATATTCATATATGTACTTAAAAGACAGACTGGGAGGGATTGGGAAATTGGCTCAGTGGTAGAGTGCTTGCCTCGCAAACATGAGGCCCTGGGTTTGATTCCTCAGCACCACATAAGCAGAAAAAAAGCCAGAAGTGGTGCTGTGGTTCAAGTGGTAGAGTGCTAGCCTTGAGCTGAAGAGCTGAGGGACAGCACCCAGGTCCAGAGTTCAAGCCCCACAACTGACAAAAAAAAAAAAAAAAAGACAGACTGGGAAAATGTATTTGCAATATAAATGAGAAATACTTTATATTTACAATAGGCCATGACAAGAATAAGCAAAAACTGCCGTATACAGAATTAGAGGAAGCTGACTGGTGGCTAATGTCTGTGATTTAGCTACTCAAGAGGCTGAGAGCTGAGGATCGTGGCTCACTCAGGAGGCTGCGTTCTGAGAATTGTGGTTTGAAGCTGCCCTGGCAGACAAATCCTAGAGATTTTTTTTTATCTCTACCTAGCAAAAACTCAGAAGTGGAGGTGTGGCTCAAGTGGTAGAGCACTAGTCTTGAGTGAAAACTGAGGGATAGTCCCACAGCCCTGAGTTCAAGCCCCAGTACTGGCACACACACTTGTTTCCTCTCTCTCTCTCTCTCTCTCTCTCCTCTCTCTCTGCCTCTCTGTATCTTTCTCTCTCCCTCTCTCTCTTCCTCTCTCTCTCTCTCTCTCCCTCTCTCCCTCTCTGTCTCTCTGTCTCTGTCTCTCTCCCTCTCTCTCTCCCCCTCTCTCTCTGTCCTCCCTTTCTCTCTCCCTCTGTCTCTCTCTGTCTCTCTCTCCCTCTCTCTCTCCCCACTCTCTCTGTCTCTCTCTCTCATACACACACACAATGATATATCTTTTGTAAATAGACCAATGCATTTGTATAGAGCCATAGGATTTTATAAAGTTTCAAGGAATTTTAGAAATTCTCTAATGCATTGGCATAAGAGGTTCTATGACATATTCATGTTAATAGCAGAACCTAGATTTAGTAGTTTAGTATTCTGTTATAACTTGCAGAATATTTCTTCAAATTTTCCCTTTGGTGAATATCTATAAATGTCTATCAAAGTAATTTTCTCATTGGAGGCTCTTGTGAATACAAATCAACTAATGTCATACTTGTATGCTCTCATAATAAATAGGAACTTTTGACTGATTGGAAATGAATTACTGTTTAAGTATGATTCGGAAATATAAGTTATTTGCTTCTATATATAGTTTAAACTGAATAATTTCATTTGTGGATAGAACTTAGTATTGTATAAATTATCTTATTTACAGCCTGTCATCCAAGTACAACTCAATAGAATGTGATATGTAAAAATTTGTAGAAATTTTGTGTTCAAAACATTTGTGAAAATAAAAATATGCAAAAAAAATCTACTAAGTGAAGAATATGTATTTCCTTCTTTTAATTTTTCTTCTTTTTAATTAATGCTGGCATTTGGGCTTCATCTCAAGGGCTTGGTGCTGTCCTTAGCTTCTTTTTGTTCAAGGCTAGCACCCTATCACTTGAGCCACAGCTCTACTTCTGGCGTTTGCTATTTAATTGGAGATAAGAGTCTTATGAACTTTCTGCCTGGGTTGGCTTAGAACTGTGATCCTCAGATGTCAGTCAGCCTTCTGGGTAAGCTAGGACTACAGACATGAACCTGGTTCCTGCTTCCTTAAAGTAATGGAAAATTGTCCTTTTATTTTCTTTTTGCTCATTAAAAAGTGGTTTTATAAAACAAGATGAGGTGATTCTAGTCACAATTTTGATGTTTCTGTTCTTTAACCATCAGGATATTAGTGAAGAATCTGATCCAGCACTTGATCTGCATATGTCCTTGGAAGAGCTTTATGCCCAGAATCTCCTGCAGAGACAGGATGAGAATCCACCTTCAGTGGATCTGAGCATGGGGACTGTTTCTGGCTTCACCATGAATGATTATACCCCTTCAAATGCTATGGAGCAGCAGTATGAATGTGAAAGCAGAATAGCTTGGACTGAGTCTCAGTTACCCAGTGATGTGATGCCATGCACTGACCTCGCTTCTCCTGAGCTACTTGATTCAACTGGAAAGGTAGTATTTTAGATGTAGTTTGTGTGTTATCATGAGTTTTGGCACCAAAGAGTTAGTGTTTTGGCTAAGCTCTCCATTTGGAATGAGTGCTCATCTGACACTGAGACAACCTATGAACTTGTTTTGATTATAGGTGGGTTCTTGCTAAATAAAGCACAACTAATTAGAGTACATGTATAATGTTGAAATCACACTCCAAAGTCTAGTTTTTCTTTCCATGTGACTTGTCTTTCAGGGTTCTGAGTATTTGATTGAACAGCGCTCCCTGGCCTGTAATGCCGAAAGTGTCATACTGCAGAATATGTCCAAAGAATCTTTTGAGAGGACTATTACTATAGCAAAAGGCAATTCTAGTCTAGGTAAGTTTTTCATTTTCTAAATATCTCTACTCCTCAAACCTTGTGCAGGAGAGAGCTTGATCTTGGTAGGGTTTTGTTGTTGTTGTTTTGTTTTGTTTTGTTTTTGCTACAGATCAGAAAACCAATGTTAGAATCTCAATCTCTTTCTGTCTTTCCCTCAGAAATTTTCTTGTAGTTTTTGTGGTTTTTCTATTCATGTATTTGTTATTTTTCTGAAACAGTTAACAGTTTTGTTTATTTCATACTGGCTTAAATCCTTCATTCTCTTAATTATTTCAAAGTATTCAAAAGCCTCATTTACCTTCAAGTAAAAGATATATGAATTGTGTTTGAAATAGCAAATCAGAAAAGGAATTCTTAGAAAATGGAAAGTCATCAATTTGAAATTCTAAATTTTTTGGAAAAGGGAATTATTAGTTTTGTTTTGAATGTTACTAGTTATGCACAAGTCAGTTTGTATTTAGTTTCTTTCATTTACTGGAATAAAGACTAAAGACATCCAGGTGTGCTACCACCAGATATAAATGCCAGTTCCTCAATAGTTCTTTCCAGGTGGCAGGTTTCTAAAGTCCTCTGTTGCTGAGTGTTTTGATTGGTTAATCATCACAAAACCCTCAGAAATGGGCAAAGAAGATTTCCTTTGGAAATAAAACCCTAATTATAATAGCTAAAACTGTTAGGACAGAGTACATTTGTTCTCTCATTGAATATAAATAGTCATGTGATTCAGCCTTGTCCTCATTCCTCTATGTGAATGAGAGATCCTATACTCTGTGTGCTCCAGTACTGCCTGAGACTCCAGTGAGCTCTTTGTCAGAGATATTTCTCCTTCTAGGACAAAATTAATCAGCACCCTTTACACTGATATGGCAGGGCCTTGTTTCTTGGTTAAATCTGAGACTTAGCAGAAGAATCCAGCAGTGCTTATTTGATGAGGAAGACTCCAATCTCTGCCACGTAGATTTTATTCTATATGGGGCTCACTGGGTACTTCCTGCCAAAAGTGGCCAAGTTAAAAGTTATAGCAGGGGATTTCTAAGACTTGTGATATTTCATGGTAGGAAACAAGCCCCAGAACTTTCCATAAATCATTAATTAGGAGACAGGTATTATCAATATGTTACAGTGTCATTTATTTCATCTGTTCAAGTTTCTACAGTGTTTCTACAACTATCTTACTCAGAATACTAACGTTATAGCTGTCCAAAGGCCCAAGTTTAATAGTTTGAGATGTGGTAAACTTTAAGGAGACAAATGCTCTTTTGGGATTACTTCTCAGTACTTTCATATTGTGATGTACATTGTGGAGTTCTGAGACATGATCATAGAATGCAGTTTTATTTAGCCACAGAGCCCATTTTTGTTGTTATTGTTGAACAACTCATAACAGAAAAAGCCTACTTTGAGAAGTCCTATTCTAATTCAGCGACCAAACATACATTGTTCTGTATATTCTGGGCAGTGTACTTCAGTACCATGATATAATCCCTTTGATATAATCCCTTTACTCAGAGAACATGAGTTTAATGAAGTAAGCAAGTGGACATGGAATCCTGAGGCATTAAAATACTATTCGTGCTGTGAGACACATATAGAAAAAAAGGAAGGGCCTCTTGAAGGAAAGAAAAGGAGATGCTTCATAGGCAGATGAGGAACTGGAAAAAGCTGCAGAGCTAAGGCAGAGAGATGAGAACATGTGTCTATGTGATATCTGGCAAAGTAAGCAAGTGGTCAGGGTTATGTGCAGGATGCAAAACTTCTTATCCTCCTAAAAGGACAAAAGTGGGACACAGTCAAGATACGTTTTAGGAAGGCCATTGCAGTGTAGTTTAGAGGCAGTGTGGAAGCAGTAAGAAGCTCTTTTAGGAGCTACAGTTTGATCAGTGTGATCATATAATTTCATTAACTGGCATTGAGAACCTATTTTTAGTATACTGAAGCAATGTTAAATTTTCTCATCTTTTCTTCATCTATTGAGATGATTAGGATTTTCTTGTATATTTTTTGTTAGTAAATTAGATCCATTGATTTTTTTAACATGGTTAAATACACATGACATAAAATTGACCACCTTTACTATTTAAGTATACTCACACTGTTATGTAAACATCACTAGTAATTGATTTCCTAGACTTTTTCTAGCTTTCAGTTTAGGATAGAGGTACATTTTAAATTATAGCCCATGAATTTTCTTTTGTTTTTAGTTTTCAACTATTTTTTATTGAACACTTTATACCAAGTATTTTAAAAGATACTCTGTGTATCTGTCTGTCAGTTAATTTTTTATCCAACCCAACACTAAGGTTAGGCTAGGGATTATTATCTTCAATGTACAGCTCAGCAAACTGAGGACTGAATCAAGTTAAGATAGTTGTTCAGAGTCACACTGATTGGAAATGATGAACAGATATTTGTAAGTAGTCTGTTTTCTATGGAGCATAATTCAGACTATTCTTCTGTACTTCTCCCAAGAAAAATCATGGAGAGGTCTTTGAAGTTTCAACCAAAATCTAGTTAGCAGATATTATGTCCATCCTGTTGAATTCTCCAAATCATTATTTAGTGGAAGGAAAGTGTAAAGTTGGTTATATGGGTGATGTGACCTAATAGCCTTATTTGCTGGTACAGTGGTGAGTTCATTATACAATTAAAAATGAATTCAGAGGTCATGTCAACCATAACTCATAATGACATTTTCATATTGCTTTATTGAGTGCATAGTGCTAATTAAAACAAGACAATAAATTAAATTCCCAGTGAGGATTCCTGAGCTAAATTTTGTTTTGTTGTCATATATTTTGATTTTAACATAGTATAGTTGTTTCAGAAATCCTGGTGGGAAGGCTGGCTATATCTGTAAATTATCACCTATGGAAACACTTAAGAGCTGACCTCTGTGTTCATTACAAAAAACTGAGATGAAGCTGGGTGCCAGTGGCTCACACCTGTAAGCCTAGCTACTCAGAACACTGAGATCTGAGTATCATGGTTCAAAGCCAGGCTGGGCAGTAAAGTCCATGAGACTCTTATCTCCAATTAACCATGAGAAAACTGGAGGTGGCTCTGTGGCTCAAGTGGTAGAGCACCCATCTTGAGCTGAAGAGCTCAGAAATAGTGCCCAGGCCCAGAATTCAAGCTCCACAACCAAAAAAAAAACTGAGATGAAATAATATATATAATTGTTTGTTGTTTTATGGTAAGGGAAAATGTCTTCTTGCTGGTTCTGGTGGCTCATGACTGTAATCCTAGCTACCCAAGAGGCTGAAATCAGAGGATCGTGGTTCAAAGCCAGCCTAGGAGGAAAGTCCATGAAACACTTTTATCTTTAACCACCAAAAAAGCCAAAAGTGGAGGTATGGTTCAAGTAGAAAAGCCTTAGCCTTGAGCAAAAAAATCTCAAGAGACAGTGCCTAGGCCCTATTCAAGTGCCAGGACTCATTCCCTCCTCCACCAAAAGTATCCTGTTAAAACATTTAACAGTAGTATGATTCTAGCAATATTTTAAATATAGAAGATAATGTTTCTTACTAGGAGTCTGAATTTCCTGTAGCCAGGCATAAGGTATTGGGCTAAAGTAATAATTTAGATCATTTTTCAAAAAGTTTATAATACTGTCTGATTTGGTATAATTTATATTAATTGGAAAGATAGTCTTTATTTTTATTACATAGAAAGAAACCTGTATATAAATGTGTGACTTTTATCAAAAAAGATTTTTATAAATACCATGATACTTCTTATTTTGTTTAATTGCATCATTTTTGAAAGAAAATTTGACCATTTCACTTAATTGTATTTACATTATTTTTCCAAAAGCTTTAAACATAATTTTAAACGTTTATATCTTGAAGGAATAAGATGAGTGTAGAGTGGGAAGGGAATTTACTCAGACAGAATATCTTGAGCAGGCCTTATTGAGGAAGTAATATTAAATTAAGAGAGGCAATTAGTTATGTGAGACCTACAAAAAAAGTAACAGTATCAGAGACTCCAAAATGGTGAGGGGCTAGATGGATTACCAGAAGAAGGGTGTTATGGCTGGAATGTAGGAAACCAAAGACTACAAAGGAAGCATGCACTTTGGGAGAGGCAGGTCACCAGTGCCCTCTACACTGTCCAAGCAAATGTGTTGTATGTTAATACAGTAGGGACCACTTGGAGGTTTGTATCCAAAAGAATGATGGGGTGTATTTCATTTTTCTGAATGGTCTCTCTGCTGTAAGGAATACATGAAAGCAATATTGGAAACAGTTGTAAAAAGTTGAGCAAACATTATAGTTCAGTTCAGGATTGGTATTAGAAATGAAGGAAATTAAGTGGATTTAAGATAAATTACAGAGATATAAGTAATATGTGTTGCTGATGCATTAAATAGAAGGATAGAAGAGAGGTAAGACTCCAGAATAACTCCAGCATTTATTTATTTATTTATTTATTTATTTATTTATGGATAAGGGAGAATAGCATGGCAGCATTATTCACCAAGGAGGATAAGAGGTGGTGAAAATTTGAAAGTTCAACTTTATACTCTTTTAAGATTGCATTTCCTATCATGATATGAATTCCAGGAGATATGTCAAGAAGACTGGATGTTCAGTGAGACATTGCCCTCATAGCACTTCAAAGATAAAACAGCAATAGGTTACCTTCAGGCACTATGGTAGTAGTAGAGATTGTAAGACTTGAGTACAGGGGGCTGGGAAGGTGGCTCAGTGGTAGAGCACTTGCCTTGCATGCCAGAGGCCCTGGGTTCGATTCCTCAGCACCACATAAGCAAAAAGAAAAAAGCCGGAAGTGGCGCTGTGGCTCAAGTGGTAGAGTGCTAGCCTTGAGCTGAAGAGCTGAGGGACAGCGCTCAGGCCCAGAGTTCAGGCCCCACGACCAGACACAAAAAGACTTGAGTACAGGAGGACAGGAAGGAGCGAGGGAGGACGGGGAGAGGGTGGGGGGGGGAGGAGGGGTAGGGACAGATGTCATCCTCAGTGGACTGGGCTTGGAAAGAAAGAGCACAAATAAAAGTCATTGCTAGAAAATAAAAAAAGGACTTGTGCTGTTATAAATTCTGTGCAGTGCTTTTTATAGCTTCAGAATAGTATATAGTACCTATTTGAGAACAAACAAATGAGTTAGAAATAAGGCAGTAGCAGGCAAGTTTTTTAACTTGTAGAATTAATTTCCCATTTGTAATCTTGTTTTATTCTCTTAAATATGTAAGGGAGGAATTGTTATTATAACATTGATCTGATAGTGTAATGTCCCTGAGAGAATTTTGTATTTAAAACCAAAATGTAATCTCAACACATCATATGGTCTAAATTATATTCAGTCCACTGTATGGAGATGCTTATTTTATTAAACATAGAGTAGTTTATCTTCAGATAATTTTACAAACTTTTCTCCCCTATACCGTGGTTTGAACTCAGGACCTTACTTTTACTCAGCAGGAACTCTACCACTAGATCCATGTTCCAGTCCTCTTGGCTTTAGTTTATTTTTCAAGAAAGGTTTTGCATTCTCCCCCCCCCCCCCCAGGACCATTCTCAGACTGTGATGCTCAAACCACTGTCTCCCAAGTAACAGATTACAAGCCGATCCACAAGATTCTGCCCTAATTTCACAAGTATTTTAAAACTTACTTTAAAATATTTTGTTGGAAAAACTGTTTTTATTGATGAAACATGTTACTCTTTTTTAGCTGTGAATCTATAGTGATTATTAAAGTGAATTTGAAAATTATGTATAAAACCATATCTATACTCTTTTTATTCCATAGGGATGACAGTAAGTGCTAATAAAGATGGCTTGGGGATGATTGTTCGAAGCATTATTCATGGAGGTGCCATTAGTCGAGATGGCCGGATTGCTATTGGGGACTGCATTTTGTCTATCAATGAAGAATCTACCATCAGTTTAACCAATGCCCAAGCACGAGCCATGTTGAGAAGACATTCTCTCATTGGACCTGATATAAAGTAAGTCTTATTTGAACCCTAGTTTGGCTTAGGAAATGCAGGAGTTTCAGTTAATTAGAATGTTTTTAGGAGATATTCTATTTAATGTGCTTAATAGACTCTTTAAGATTATAACACTACTGAAATTTTGCCAACAGTATTACTTGGCATTTTTATTTTACTTCTCCAATGGTTCCTATACAAACCCTGCCTGTGAGAGATGCTTCAGAGAGATGTGAGAGTAAATTTTTACGGAGCTTCTCATAAAGAAGTGCAGATTAGACTCCCGTTGTCTCCTGATTGTCCTATATAAATTCTAGAATCAAGCCCTTTCTTTATAAGGGCTCACCATGAAAAACATTAAATACTACAGCATGTATCTGATCTTTGTCTTTCTTGAACTATTTCATGACCCAAAGGGATTCACTCATGTATTTAGTATCATTTACTAGAGGTTATATATGTTGGCAGGAAGTGCTTTTAAAATTTTCCATAATCCTATAATGTTCTAAAAACATGTAATATATTGACTTAGTGTTTACCTTGCTAAACATTTTTTGAGTCAGCATGAAAATCAACTTATGACTTCATTGTCACACCTCATCAGTGTGGCTTTTTCCTCTAATATTAATCACTGAATATTTGTGTTTAATGTATAAGGGTTAAAACCATAAAATAAGAGCTCAGGAAAAGATTCTTTACCTTAAACAGATGTAATGATTACCAGTACAAGGGACTTTTCTTTATTAATGTTGGTTTACTGAGGGCATTCTGTTCTACTGGTTCCTTTGCAAAATATGTATTGCTAAAGCTTAGGTAAAAAGACCTATATTTGCAATCTGTTTTCCATTCTTCCATCAATAAAAATTGTAGAAGGGAACATACCATTTTGAGTGATTTCTGCTTTTTATCAAGATTTTTTTTTGGTCAGCTTCACTAATGATCTTTTATGTTTTTTGCTTGCCTCTTTTACTTCTCTTTTTCAGTAAAGCAGTTCATATGACTATTCCTTAATTATCTTCAGTGAAAGTAAACATCATTAAAAATGTCAATCCCTCTGTCACACAAAAGCAGAGATGCTTGAAGTGCTTTCCTCACCACTATGACCATGTTACTTCATTTTGCCTAAAAGAGGAAGTGCTGCAGGAGTTGTAGCACACAGAATAGGTTGGCACATAGTGCAGATACCTAATAACTGCAATTGGATTTGCAGTGGTATGATGTACATGCTGGGCTGTGTGTCTGACACACGTCCCCGGCCCATGTTTTGATATTCTGAGCACTAGCATCAATGCTTGATGCTAGCCTTACTTTTCAGTTCTACTGACTGCTTCAAAGTAAGACCTTTGTGACATCAGTTTGATGTAAGTCATGTGTATAGTCAGTTCTAGAGAAGTTTGGAGACATATTTTTTAAGCCCTGTCTTCCCTAATATTTTCATTCTGTGTATGTATATAGGTCTTCTACCCTTGACTTGCTGATTGAGCAAGTCAAAATACCAATTCCTGTGGGCAACAGCTTTATTTTGACCTTGAAAGGATAACTAGGTGTCTTAAATACTTGCTTTATAATCTCAGGGATCAAAATGTTCCGTGAACTTTTCCATTTAAAACAAACAAAAAAAATCTATAATCTTTCTTCCCCTGGAAATCAACTTATCAGTCAATCTCACACGTATACACATCACACAATCATAACCACAAAATGCATGGATTTCTTCTTAACTGTCCTACTAATGCTCTGATTTAGATGAATAGAATCCACTCATTGAGTAAATAATAGAAAGAAATAAAAGAAAGTAAAGTCATCTTTACATAATCCTTTTCCAGAAAGAGCAGTGTGTTAGACGGTGAAACAAAAATAGGTGCTTAGATTGACTGGGGTTGAGTAGTGGGTTTTCTGTGTTATGCATTTAGTGTTTTGGGTCACATCCATTTCTGTCACTTACCTTTCAAGAAGCAAAAGTTAGAATTACCTTAAAAGCTATATGAGCAATCCTCCTAAAAGGAAAGTATGCTGTTTCATTATTCTGAGTGGAATTGTAACACTGCCTCTGGCCAGTTCAGCTTTTTTATACTACTGCCTTGCACCTAAGCTTGTTCCTCATCACCTTCTTTATTTCTTATTATAAACCTTACTTAATCTGGGGAGGTGGTAGTGAGAGGTCTATGGTAGAGACTTAAAAATAAAAGAATCTGGCTCAGTTACATAACTATTGGCTATGTTTTAAAAAAATGCTTATTGAGACAATGCACTAGCTTTCTTTTTTGCTCTTTACTATAGATAGCTAGGAACTTTGTGTGCATTCATGTATGCCTGGATAGATCATTTGAGTTTCAAGAGTTCAAGAACAGCCAGTTTAAGTTCCAGGTTTCATTATTTTGTATGGAAGCCAGATGTGGAAGCCTCACCAGAATGCATTTTGTTTCACTTCTCCCTCCACCTTGCCAGGAGCTCTTATATTTCTGTAATAATAGCCAGAGTTTTGTGCTTAGCAGCAGCTGCTTATAACATCTGCCAGATAATTACTGAGCTGAATCAGAATTCACCTGCCTTAACCTCAAGTGTGGGATGAATTCCTGATCAAGGAATAAAAGATTGATTGCAGTCCCATTTTTCCATGCTTGTTAATAATCACTGCTATAGACACCAGTAAAGAGCAGATGCTTTTCTGGGGGAGGTGTAGATGAGAGGAGGTGGAAAGCAGGGAGGGCGGGGGAGGAATAACCAGGAGCACCCACTTTTAACTACATATGTATGCATCTCACATTCAGCACAAGACATTGACATTTGTTAACACCATTGTAAAAAGATGCCACGGCGTATGCTTCACATTCTAGATTTTCTGCAGCACCTGCTGACGATCGAGCCCCCTTTTATATGTGAGTATCGGTGATTCAAAAGCTCATTATGGCTGTGTGTTGCAAGTTGTCTGTGAAAACCATTGCGTGTTTTTGTAGTCCCAATGAAAGGATAGATCAAGATATAGATTCAGTGTATACAGCCTTGGCTTTTCCCCCTTCATTTATATAAGAACATAAATTCCAACAGAGCTATGCTGCTGTTCACGTTTTCATGTTGCCATGATGACTAGGAACTCATTTCCAGCCACTAAGCTTTCAAGCACTTCTGTGAGGGAATGATCTTGTCGGCCTGTGCAGGAGCACTCTATATTAATAGCTGTTTCACATTTCGACATCACTGACAGTAGTTGTTTTTCTTCTTCACGTGTAACCAAAGTTGGTTTATGTTAGTTTATGTTTGAGAATTGTGAATTCAATTCTCAAAAAAGCTGTCTCTGTGCATTTATGCGGTTTGTAGCTCAGCTTTGATGTTCTCTGTTGGTGATCTGGTAGTTTTTGTGTGGTCTTGTGGCCCAGCATGTGTTGGAATTGCTCTGCATGTGCTGTTGCATTGTGGGATTATGAGAAGCTTGTTCTGGTGACTTGGTTGTTGACACTGAGCTAAATATCTGTGGAAACTGCCTTCTGTTTTTTATTTTGGTTTTGTTTTTTTGGCAGCACTAGGGTTTGAATTAAGAATTTTGCACTTGCTAGGCAGGTACTTGAGCCAACACTCTAGCCCTGAGCTGTCTTCTTTTGCTCTTTCTCACTAGTAGCTTGGCTACTAGTGGATCAGGAAAATGTTTGTAAAAGCCACTATACCCCAATCTTTGGCAAAAGAAAAATAGCTTTAAGAAAATGCAGAGGAAAATTCACTTCAACATTATTTGAGATACTATTTTATTATTATTGCATTTATGTCCTATATTTGCCTCTTACTTTTGCTGTTTTTTTTTTTCCCTTTTTCTTTGGCTTATTCTCCTTTTTCACTGTTTTTGATTTCTGTACCCTTTGCTTGTATATAAGTTTCCTGTTTTTTCTAAAGGGTTTTTTTTTTAATGAGTTTTCTGGACTCTTCAATAATAATACCAGTTTTATGAAATACAGTGTTTTAAATTTTAGTGTTTTAAATTTCTTTTTATTTTATAAATACGAGCCTTTCCTGATGTAATGCCCTGCATATTTTTGACACATTAATTTTGAAGAGATGACAGCAACTTTTCTGTTCTTTTTTTGTAACCTAAAGGTATTTTATAGATGCATAATCTCAGTAAGGCCAAAGTTAGAATGCAGCTCTTTTGTGTGTGCGTGTGTGTGTGTGTGTGTGTGTGTGTGTGTGTGTGTGTGTGTGTGTGTGTGTGTGTGTGATGGGGCTTGAACTTTGGGCCTGGGCTCTGTTCCTCAGCTCTTCAGCTCAAGGTGGGCACTCTACCACTTGAGCCACAGCGCCACTCCTAGTTAATTGGTGGTTAATTGGAGATAAGAGTCTCACGGACTTTTCTGCCTGGGCTGGCTTTGAACTTGTTTCTCAGATCTCAACCTCCTGAGTAGCTAGGATTACAGGCATGAGCCATTGGTACCTGGCTTAGAATGCAACACTTTTACCCTGCCTTTATCATAAATCTCCAACTCTAAGTATTCTGTTTCACTTTTTAGTCCCTGAGGTAAGTGTGACAAAGATTCACAAGGGTCTGCTTGTTTTGTTGGAATGAGAGGAGTGATCAGGAGCATAGTCTTACATTTGCACAGTGCTGATGCTCAGCTTAATGCGTGCTTCCCACAGGTAAGTATGCCAGTGTTTGAGGGCATGGTGGTACAGCCACAGTGTTTTACTTCCCATCATAACCCCCACTGGGGGTGATAAAGGGGTGAATGCTTTTTATATAGTAAGTAATGTATTCAAAATTATAATCTTCTTGATAAATTATGTCATTATCATTTTTAAAAATTCTTATAGGACAACAATAATCCTCGTGCCCTTTCCCTCCAGTGCAGAAGTTTTGTAGACATTATCTTAGTGGATAAATTATTGATCAGTGCTTTAATAGGCTTTTTGCACTGCCCTTATGTTTTAAATATTTTTTTCTTAGTTACACAATAAGTCATGCTGACTTCAGGTATTAATGAACTAATTGGGGATGTAGAACAGTCTTAACAGTTGTATAGCTAAGCAACATTTAACTTGAATTTTCAGATGATCATTTTCTAAACATGGCTGAATTCCACATCTCACAGCCTTTCTTTCACCTCAAATCTAATCAGTACTTACTTAATTAGTCAATGGCTTTTGAAGTATAAACAGTAGTCTTTTCTTCCAATGGAAAGTGAACATGTCTATAAGAAATGGCTACAAATTAGTTTGACTCTCCTTAAACTTAGGTGGCTTGGCTTCATACTTCAGACCTGACTATTCATAACTTAATAGAGCTAATGTAGTTATTAAGTGTAGTATGTAATTAAGCATTAAGTGTATTATGGAATAATATAATTTGGGAATTCAGTGTTTAATTGAGTTCACCTAATTTGTTTCTACAAGGAAACTCAAATATCTTTGGATAGAAATTAATGTCCTCATTGACATCACTATCAGTAGTAATAGTAGTAGTATCACACTATTATATACAATATTGAATATCAAACCCAGTGCTTCATACATGGCAGGCAGATATACATAACCACGGAAATACATCCCCAGTCCTCTAAAGAGTTGTGGAGCTTTCTAATGTCAAAAATTGACTATTATCATTGATCCTAATATATATACATATATGAATATATCCATATGTATGTGTAGATATGTGGCTTTAGCAGCAATATTTAGGATTTTTAGTTTTAGTGATTTTTTTTGCTTGTGACATTTTTCTGAGCATGCTGATTAAATGAAATATGTGAGAAAGTCTGGACAAAGGTTCAGTATTTTTTTCCATGTTTTGAAATATTTTCCATCAGGCAGATTCTTGTTACCCTTTACTTTATGGATGTGGTTTCTTCCAGAATTACTTACATACCTGCAGAACATTTGGAGGAATTTAGAATAAGCTTGGGACAGCAATCTGGAGGAATAATGGCCCTGGATATTTTTTCTTCATACACTGGAAGGTGAGTGAAACACATAATCTACAACAAATGAATAGTACAGCAAATACTAAATAAGAATTTTGAGCCCATTTTCAAACAGCATAAAAACAACTACATTTTTGAAATACCTTTTCTTCTAAGATTTTAAAACATTCTCCCCTTTTTCTTCAATTACTTAAGCAATTATAATATAGTATGGAAAATTTGGGAAATACATGAACATTGAGGCCAAGAAATTAAAATAATCTCCAATCCTACCATCCAATACAGCACTTCTAAGATTCTTTTTTTTTGGGGGGGTGTCCGGTTGTGGGGCCTGAACTCTGGGCCTGGGCGCTGTCCCTCAGCTCTTCAGCTCAAGGCTAGCGCTCTACCACTTGAGCCACAGTGCCACTTCCAGCTTTTTTCTTTTTGCTTATGTGGTACTGAAGAATCAAACCCAGGGCCTCAGGCATTTAAGGCAAGCGCTCTACCACTGAGCCACCTTCACAGCCCCAACATTCTTAGCTTTAGTAATTTAATCCAGATATATTATTTCATCAATTCCTTGAAGCTTGTTGTCTCAATGATTTTATACAATTTCTTTTCTTATTTTGTAAGGAATTTATGTATTCTTTAATTATCACACAAAGTCAGAAACTTTTTTGTGTGTGCTCATTCTGGGGCTCAAACTCAGGGCTTGGGCTCTGTTCCTGAGTTTCTTTGGGTCAAGCCTAGCACTCTACCATGCCTCTTTGTGGTGGTTTATTGGAGATAAGAGTTTCTCAGACTTACCTGCCTGGGCAGACTTCAAATCGTGATTCTCTGTTTTTAGCCTCCTATGTAGCTAGGATTACAAGCATAAACTATCAGAGACTGGCTGCCCAGAAACATTTTATAGTAAAAATACAGTCTTTTGAGCTGAGCATCTTGGTATAGAAATGTACATAAGCACATTAGGAAATAATGTGTTTACCTTTTTTTTTTTTTTTTAGCTAGTGCTGGAGCTTGAACTCAGGGACTAGGCTCTTTGAACACATTGGTTCAAGGTTGGCACTCTACCACTTGAGCTACAGCTCCACTTCCTGCTTTTTGGTGATTAATTGGAGATAAGAATCTCAAAGACTTTCCTGCCCAGGCCGGCTTCAAACTATGATCCTCAGATTTTAGCATCCCAAATAGATAGAATTACAGGTATAAGCCACATGGGTGCCCAGCTTACGTTAAGGGTTTTAAAGGCTGTTGATATACAATGTATTAAGAACCTTTAAAGAATAAAGGGAATGTTTCTCCTTTCTTAGGACAGGCAGGACTGGGGATGGAAGCTGCTGTTGACTGAGTACAGACCAAGGGGAGAAATAATTTTTTTTTTCTTTTGGTTGGTCGTAGGGCTTGAACTCTGGGCTTGGGCACTATCCCTCAGCTCTTCAGCTCAAGGCGAGCACTCTACTGCTTAAGCCACAGCGTCACTTCTGGTTTTCTAGTGGTTTATTAGAGATAAGAGTCTCATGGACTTTCCTTGCTCGGGCTGGCTTTGAACTATGATCCTCAGATCTCAGCCTCCTGAGTAGCTAGGATTACAGGCGTGAGCCACCAGCGCCTGGCTCAGAAATAGTATTAAATTGCTTTTCTGTCATGAATTCTGTCATTTTATTCTTTCATTTATGGGCCTATTTTTTCAGTTGCACCTGGTAACTGAATATTAAATTTCTCTTCAAGTGTACTGCTGTTGAGAAGATTGACCCTTGTAAGTAATCTGAGGTGTCAGAATAGCTCTATATTTCTAAGAGCATGTCAGAACATCCTAGGACCACATGATGTCCAGTGGCCCTACATGAATCATGAGACTCTATCATGCTTTCCCCTGTACCTGACACGGGATCACAGCATATAGGGAAAGGAAAGTCATGCTATGTGTTTAATAAAGAGAAAGAATGCTATGGTCCTTCAGGCCTCATGAATTTTACGGGAAAATGAGTACCCTGTCCAGAATTAAGTCCCACTGTACTCTAAAATTTCCATCTCAGGCTTAATGACAGGGATTGATTCCCAGGACTTCCTGTCAAAATATCAAAATGGGAGAGCAATCATTGCAACATCCTTCTGAAAGAACCTTTCAAACGACATAATTACAGAATGTACCGTTAATATCTTAATCCTACATTGCAGGGCCTTAACATTCAAGCAATTAGAAAGAAAGCTGTTTTTATCACTGAGCATCCTTCAGCCCAAGAAGGAATTCAGCCTTGATTGCTATTGATGTCCTGATGCTTAAAACAAAGCAGCCTACCTATTATACAAGAGTAGTCTGCAGCAGAGGGATTAAATCATTTTCCAAAGTCCCAAAGCTAGTACATGTTAAAGCCAAACTGAGAATGTAAGCAGTCAGACACTTTATTTCTAAATGTTGGATCCAAAGAAAGAGTTGCACAAGGCCATAAAACATGTGCACAGAAGAGCTCAGGTTTTGTTGTAGAATAGCCTCAATCCCACCCTCCCTGCTACACTACAATGTGTCTTTGTCCCAGTTATTTTACTTCGAGCTTATATGCAGATTTGGAAAGTCAATTATTTTACTTAGCAGGAAATTGTTTGTCAACACAGTAACATAGAGAAAAGAAATCTAATTCTTTCTTGGTTGTTGAGTGCAAGAAGAAAAATAGTTTATTCTGCTCTTAGGATCACTTGACTTTTGATTCCCTGAAACCACACACTAAGATGGACAAAGAATTCTTGGCCCATTAGAGTAGCATATCTGGTCATGGAAAAGATTAAAGATTAGAAAATAATTTGAAGAGACTGGTGTTTGTATATCAGAGGATTTAAATTATTTGTTTTTTCACAGCTAACAGTGCAAGAAGACCATGAGCAATGTGGCCAGGAGTGTTTCTGAATAGCTCCTTGAGTTTAGTCTTTTGATCTCAGTATCTCTTCTAACCATAGTTGTCAGCATATATTTTAGAGACCCCTCCCTTCCTAATTTCTTTTTTTTTTGGGGGGGGGTCTGGTCATGGGGCCTGAACTCTGGGCCTGGGCGCTGTCCTTCAGCTCTTCAGCTTAAAGCTAGCACTGTACCACTTGAGCCACAGAGCCATTTCCGGCTTTTTTTTTTTTTCTGCTCATGTGGTGCTGAGGAATCGAACCCAGGGCCTCGAGCATGCAAGGCAAGCGCTCTACCACTGAGCCACCTTCCCAGCCCCCTTCTAATTTCTTATTACATGTGCCTTTCTAGTCAATTTTTATGTCATTGTCTCTCCAGTTGTTTGTTGAGGTTTAGCCTTTACTTTCATCCCTTTGCCCTAGAACCTTCACCTCTTTGTCTTAGAACCTTCACATGAGGGCTTCTCTTGGACTGTTTTTCTTTCATTTCCTTGATGTAAGTTTTAGACTGTCCATTCTTAGAAATGTATCCAACTGTCTTGCCCTATGGTCAGACTTACTTTTGGGAGCCCAGCCTCATCTAAAACCAAATTTTTCAGCTTGCATAGAAGGTGAGTTTGACACAAAACCAATGAATGAGTTGGGTCTATAGCACATAGAATTCATTGCTACAGTTTTAAAATATCTATTGTTGCAAGGTGAATCATCCCAAAAGCCATATTTTGAAATATGAAATTCTAGAGACTTTATTTTACAGTTAACAGGCTGTAGTCCGCCTGTCATTGTTACAAAGGCCTGCAGCCCCCAAATACATGTAACACAGCTAAACAGGAAAGAAATAACAAAAACAATACCACAAGCCAATTCAGCTTCCATGGAGAGCTGAACCGGAATGCCATGATGACTGGAGATGAGGCAGAAGACAGGACACAGGACACCATCATGGAGACACACGTGGCATGGTGCAATGCTGCCTGGGCTGGTCCAGGTCTAAAAAGGTCGGTGCAGGGGGCAGATCCACAGGAAATTCCCAGTCCCAGACACTGGACTGACAGATTCAGTAACCTATCAGCCAAGTGTCTGCCCCTGCCTCCAGGGATCCGGGCACACCCATCACCCAGGAGGCAGGTGATGGGCAGGGGGTTTCTTCCTTCAGCATGACAAGGTGACAGACCCTGTAAATCTACCATGTGGCCAATATGGTGCCAGCCAGACCTGACCTTCTTACTTCACTATCATTAAGGTCAGATGAGGAAAGTTGTTTTTAAGGAGAACCTAGACATTTATTTGCTCACCAGAAATGCTGTGAATCACGTTTAAGTCAGGTGTATTATTGGGATTATATGACCTCTGACCTACCTCAAAGTAATTTGAGAGAGTGCACTATTCCTGTCAGTGGAGAATGGATATAATTTGAACACATACTTTCTTTAGACTTTATAGTTCCTGTAAGATCAAATATTTAAAATTTAATAATCTTCTCTGCTTTAAAAGAACTTGTGGACATGTTGTTTTGACCAATATTATAATGGATTTTCTTTGCCATTTTAACCATTCTCTATTGCTTTCACAGAGTTATTTATTGATGCAAAGTATAACTTTCAAGAAATAAAAATGTTGGGACCCATCTTAATGTTAGAACCCAGTGAGCCTATGTGACTCCACCCTGGTTAAACAATCATCTTATTGTTTGCAAGTTTAGGAAAAATGTGGATTGCAAGTCTCTGATAACAGAGTATAGAGGCCAGGTGGACACATCCAATCAGTAGCAGCACATATGTAACACCCGCCACCAAGGAATGCAACCCCACCCCCCCCTCACCTCGCCAAACCCATGTGATAGGCTGACCAAAGTGGTAGGCTAGTTTAAACAACTGTTTAGGGATAAGTTGTAACCTCATTGGTCACCTGCGTGACCAAGTAGCCAGACTGTGCAATTTTGTGCGTGTGTTGCAATGCTATTGGCCATCTGTGTGTGGCCAGCCTAACTGCATGGCCTGTTCCCTATAAAAATTAGCCCTTGCAGATGAATGGGGTTCGCTCTCTGCTGAGGCGGCCCTGACTGGTCAGTCTGTTTCTAGATGCTTGGCACAAAATATAGCTTTGTCTGACTTTTACTTTGTTTCAGTCTCGTTCCTTTGATTACAGACCCCAATATTGGGGGGCCACCCCAGTAAAAAATAGTCTTGACAGTTATTATAGTTTAATTTAAAACCAGTGAACAGACAGGACTTTTTTTTTACATAATTAGTATTTGACAAAAATCTAAGTTTGTATGAAAAGTGATTAATAGATGGGGCACACAATTTATTGTAAACTATTTTCTATAAAGAATATTCTGCACCTGGGCCCTCTGGCCCACAATGAAGCTGGACCCTAAGCATTTTCTTCTAAAATGGAAAGAGCAATATGGTTCACCCTTAGGAAGTGAAGATGCTAAATTCCTGGCATACTTGATGATAAATTCTTTCAGAGCAGAGAAAAATGTGCATGCTTATAACCAATATAGTCCTGCTAGCTTTTGGTGCATGGTAGGAATTCAGGAAGTATTTGTTGAATCGTTTTCCCTTAAAATTCCAGCTTTTATTAGCTTCTTCACATTCTTTTCTTTCATTTTTTCCAGGAAATAATTTAGTATCTCTTCTTGCCTTTTTGTCTTGTTGCTCTTCTACGTAATGAAATTTAAGTGCTTGTAAATAGTCTCTCTCTTCCTCTTTTAGTTTCAGGAATGGTTTCTTTCATGGGAAAGGAGTTTTAATTTTGAGAATTTCACATTTAGAATAAACCAAAAGCCTGAGGTTCACATTGTGTTTATAAACCCTGTAACAACTAAGTATAGCATACTGGTCTCTTTTGAAATTCCTTCTGTTTTTCAGCAGAAGAAAATAGGGTGGCATAGCTGTTACGTTGGAAGAAAAGTGTGGGAATAACCCCAGAGTTAAGGTCTTCATGAAGAAAAACTCTTATACCAAGCTCCTCTTTAGGCCTTGCCAAGTCTGTAATATATATCACTGTGACTACATCCCTTCAAGACCCACAAAACAGAAAACGGCTTGGATTCAGAAATTCTTCCATTGTGGGGCAGAAGGGAGGGGTAACAGCAGGGAGAGTGGAATGTCAGGGAAGGGGAGAAGAATGGAAATACATTTGGCCTTAAATTAGCATACATTTTCCCAAAAACCCCACAGTGAAATAAAATTACTGGTCATAGTTAGATTTAGTTTATCAAATTGGTTAGTAAAAGATTTCTTTAAGATCCATTTTGCAAAGACCATCACTTAAGGGAATCAAAGAATTCCTGTTTTAATACTCCTGAGTTAAAATAACTATGTTGCTGCTTATCCAGTACTTCTTTTTTCTTTACTAAAATTACTTTCTACTGTAAGCTTGAATAAAAATCTTCGTTGGTGGTGGCTCAGTGGTCGAGCGCTTGCCTTGCATGCCTGAGGCCCTGGGTTCAATTTCTCAGCACCACATAAGAAAAAAGCCGGAAGTGGCGCTGTGGCTCAAGTGGTAGAGTGCTAGCCTTGAGCTGAAGAGCTGAGGGACAGTGCCCAGGCCCAGAGTTCAGGCCCCACGACCGGACCCAAAAAAAAAAAAAAAATCTTCGTTGGTAACTGTAAAAAAAAAATGTTCTACATTTTTAGCCTAACCAATCACATTAAGTACCTATGAAACAGTATTGCATGGGATACTCATTGTTTAACCCTTTAACCAGAGACATTCCAGAATTACCAGAACGGGAAGAAGGAGAAGGAGAAGAAAGTGAACTTCAGAATGCAGCCTATAGCAATTGGAATCAGCCCAGGCGGTAAGAGATATTTCTGTCTTCTACTCACAAAGTGGATAGATATGTTTAAGGCAGAGGTGTCATTTCAAATGCTATAGCTTGCTCCTTGTGACATGACAAGTTGTTTGATATTCCTAACCTTCCACTTCTTCATGTGTACATAGAGAAAATAATGTGTATTTAACAGGGTGAAAACTAACATATATTTAAGAATCTGGAATACAGTAGAGCCAAAGTAGCTAGTAATACTTTGTAAAGGTGTGTATGTGTACACACATGTTCACATGCCCGTCCTAAAGCTTGAATTCAGGGCCTACGCACTGTCCCTGAGCTATTTTGCTGAAGATTGGTGCTCTTATAATTGAGCCACGGCTCCACTTCCAGCTTTTTCGTGGTTAATTAGAAATAAAAGTTTCATGACCTTTCCTGTCTGTGGTGGTTTCAAACCATGATCCTTAGATCTTAGCCTCTTGAGTAGCTAGAATTACAGGTGTAGGCCACCAATGCCTAGAACTCTCTAAAAAGTATTAGTTTTCTCTTGTATTTGTAGAAATCAGATATTGAAAAAGATATTCTAAATGATTATGTAAGCAGTTCTGTTTTCACAGAGTTAAGCTAAAGCACATTATACTACTATGTTTCACATATAGCAGAAAAGATGACTTTACTTTTCTATTGTCTAATATATAACTGTGCATCACATAGCATGTGAGTATATTTGTGCTGAATAAAATCAACTTGAGTCCCATTTGTTAAGTCCTGATGTAGACTCAGATAGGAATTTGATGATTTTTCTGGATAACAGGGAAGTAATAATGTACTTGGCTATGCAAGATTGAGAGACACATGAAACAAAGAATAATATAAAGCATTTTGAATTAATTAAAAATGTAGCAAGTATTGGACATTCTCTCCAAACAGATCTGAAATTAACTGTTACCACAGTGTTTTGTACTTCATAAGCTTTAATATTTGTTATATAAGAATAAAAAATGCAGGGGTGGGGGGAGGATGGGAAGGGGAAACAAAGGAGGAGGCTACAATGCTTGATAAGAAATGTACTCATTGTCTTGCCCATGTAATTGTAACCTCTCTGTACGATGTTTTCACAATAAAAAAAAGAATAAAAAATGCTCCAGGGATGGAATAAGATGTGATGATTTTCTCTATTCACAAGTAAACTTAAATACATCCATCTATCATATTTTCAAAATATGTCATTTTCAAAGAAACAGCATTTCCACACATTCATTTGTGTGAGTGTGTATGTGTGTGTGTGTGTGTGCTCTCACACCTATCCTGGGGATCTCAGGGCCTAGGCACTGTCCCTTAGCTTTTTCGCTTAAGGCTGATTTACCTCTTGAGGCACAGCTCCACTTTTGGGTTTTTGATAGTTGAAATGATAGAGTCGCACAGACTTTCTGCACTGTCTGGCTTTGAACCACAATCCTCAGATCTCAGTCTTCTAAGTAGTTAATATTACAGGTGTGAGCCACCAGTGCTTGACCAAAATAGGTTTTTAATTTAAATTTCTTCAATAGACATTTGGCTTGCCTCAAAAACAAATTCAGTGCTGTCTTTCTACAATACTTCCAACATTGGGCAAAGAATATAGAAGTGCTAGATCTATGGCAAAAAAAATTATAAGGGGGTGTCTTATTTATTTGTAGATAGAAGTAAAAATAATGTCAATGATATTATTCTGTAGTAGGTTAATATTATAGATAAACTTGAATTTTGCTGGAAAACAATAACACCCTAGGGGGGAGGGAAGATAAGTTGTCCTAATTTTAATAACAATGAAAGGAAAAATACTTTTAAGAAGGCAATATACAAAATGACTAGAGTGAATGAAAATTGTATTTGAAACCCAGTTTTGACTTTGCCTAATTTGCCTAATCTTTTGCTAGGTTTCAGCAACATTTGTAAACTGGTTTAATAACAGACTTCATACTACAGACAGTCTTGGCCTAGTCAGTAATGACATAATATTGATGATTAGTTACTAAGTAAAAAGTTGTTGAGCACAGAAACGATAAAATTTTCTTGCAAGAAAGAACATAATTTAAGGACTGGAAATTTTTTTATATTTTTTTCCTCAGCTTTGATCATCACATTAACTCTGAAAATGAAAACTCCCTTCTGCATAGAAAGTGTTTGAAGTTTTGGTAAATCCTTTTAGACAAGATAAGCTATGTTTACTGATAGATAGAAGCATTTAGTTACTTTGGGGGGAAAGTGTATAGGTTATAAAAAAGGAAATTGACCAGAATAATCAGCATTTTTAGCAAACAGGGACATGTTCCATATCCCTGGAGTTATGATGGGACAGGACATCCACTCATGAAGTTGACACTATTTACTGTGTTGTAGGAAAAGGAATACTTTTTAACAAATCATTAGTTTTACAATTGTAAAATAAGCTAGGCACCTGTGGCTTATGCTTATAATTCTAGCTCTTCAGGAAGCTGAGATCGGGAGGATCACAATCCAAAGCCTGCCAAAGCAGAAAAGTCCCCTAGGCCTTATCTCTACAGTCAGCAAAAAAACCCGACTGGAGATACGGCTTATGGATAGATCACAGCCCAGTAACAAGTGTGAGGCTAAATTCAAGCCCCATATAAATGGATTGTCTATTTTGAATGTGATGTGATGTCCATTTGTAGATTTGGTATCATACATACATATCATTTCCTAGCTTTTTGTTTTTGTTTTTGCCAGTTGTGACACTTAAATTCAGGGCCTGGTCACTGTCCCTGAGCTTCTTTTGCTCAAGGCTAGCACTCTATTATTTGAGCCACAGAACCATTTTGGCTTTTTCTGAGTAGTTTATTGGGGACAAGAGTCTCACAGACTTTTCTGTCTGGGCTGGATTGGAACTGCCATCCTCAGTTCTTAGCCTTCTGAAGTAGCTAGAATAATGGTTTTTATTGCTATTAGAATTCTAAGTAGTGATAATGTCTATTACTTTATTCTTATGTATGTAAATTTGTCTTAATTCTATATCCAGAAGTGAAATGCCAGCCCAAAGATATATATATATTCTTTTTTTCCATTAGAACTTAGCCAGACCCTGGTGGCTCATGCCTGTAATACTAGATGAGGGTCTCAGGAAGCTGAGACCTGAGAATTTTGGTTTGAAGGCAACCTGGGAAAGAAAGTCTATTAGACTCTTATCTCCTGTTAGTTACCCAAAAAGCTGGAAGAGGAGCTGTAGCTCAAGTAGTGGAGCACTAACCTTGAGTACAAAAGCTCAGGGACAGAGCCCAGACTCTGAGTTCAAACCCTTGTTTTGGTACAAAAAATAAGTTGTCAAAATTCTCTTGAAGATGGCTATACTAATTCAAATTTCTATTTCCAGTATATGAGTTCCTTTTCCCTTGCACCCTAACAAGTCACATAATTGTTTTTTTTAAAGAGTATTTTGTCAATGGTTGGAAAATGACACCTTGTCTTAGTAATTATGAAAAGATTGATGGGTTGGTGGGATACATACTTGCTCATTGGTCATGTGAATTAACTTGGTATTTTCTCCTATTACTGCAGAAATTGCTATCACCATCACTGTCATCATCAGAGAATTATTGATTACTTGTTATATGTCAAAACTTTTAACATTTAATATGTTTTAGCTAATGTAATACACAATGGCTCAACAATGTAGAGCCTTCATTTCACAACTGAGAAAAGTAAGACAGAGAGATTTGGTAAGTTGCTTGATGTTACCTGCTTAAGTAGCAGAAGAACAAAGTTTGAATTGAAAACTCAGCTAACATGACAGGCAGAACAAACTGACCTGAGCATGTTCTATAACATGTTTCATTCATAGGTCTTCTTTTTCATTCCCAGGGATATTTACCATGCTGTGTCCGCTGAAAAATTAACCAGGCTCATGAACACTGTGCATTTTGGCAGCTCTGTCTTTGTCTTCTCTATGTGTTAAAGGTCCAAAGTTTTGATGCAGTATATTTAAATTTTGCCAAGCACACAAGATTATATAGTTGTATCTATTATCCCCGTATTACTTAATCTGTGATTCTTGCATTCCTTTTTAAATGGAATTAGTAAGCCAGGCACTGGTGGCTCATTCCTATAATCTTAGTTATTCAGGAGACCAAAATCTGAGTATCATGGTTCAAAGCCAATCCAGACAGGAAGGTTTGTGAGACTCTTCTCTTCAATAAAATACTGAGAAAAGGACAGAAGTGGCTTGTGGCTTAACTGTTACAGTGCTAGCCTTGAGCACAAAGAGGCTCAGGGACTGTGCCCTGGTCCTGACTTCAAGTCCCATGACTGGCAATAAATAAATATATAACATGAAATGGAATTAGTAAACAGTATCTGCTATGTAGGGTAGTGGTGAGAAAGAAATGTACACATATGTAACTTGAAGAATAAGACTGAACTATGAAAACCCCTTTGTAAATTTTTGCTGCTATTTGTTATTTTTGCATTATTTCAGAAGCCATATGATCTATTTCTAATTTAAACTAACCACAAGTTGCACCAGGAACATTTTCTTTTATTTTTTTCTCGTTTTTTTTTTCTTCTTCAGAGAGATGACTTAGAGTCCTGCCTATGCATTTAAATTTTAAAATATGTACATACAATGCTAAAATGACTTCTGTACTTCATCAGTTTACTTTAGGAACTGCTTTAAGAAACAGAAATTCTTCCTTGAGTGAGAGATCTGATAAATAGAATTGTAACTACTTCATTCACAAAGATTTGTAAGATCAAGGACCATTGTAAGGGTCTTTCAAATTACATAGGTAAGATTTCTAGGATTATAGATTTTCAGTTCAGAAAAAAAAGTGGTAACCAAAGGATAAGTGTATAATTCAAATAGTTCCCTATCTTCCCTCTTGTTTATGAAAATCTTTAATCCCAGCCTTCCTTTCTGGAACTTATGCTGCAGGAATCCTTGCTTTAGCCTTTTCTATTCTCTGGGAGCACCACAATATCTTCTGCCACAAAACAGAGCTTTGCTCTGTTTGCTTGATTTCCACCCTATCTCCCCCCCCCCCCCCCCCACACACACACATTCTAAGCTACTTCCTCATCTTGGCCAAGTACCTCACGGCAAATCATATTACAAGATACGTGCTTTAAATCCATCCTTAACTCTTAGCTTTTGTATGTCACCTCATCTGTTTATTTTGTGGGTAGAAGGAATGCATTCAAGGCAAGGAAGCAGATAGGAATTGGCGAACTCTCCAATGTGGAGCGTATGAGATTGGTAAGGAGCTGTAAGAAGATGATGTGGTACCTAGAGTGGACAAAGCACAGTTTAGGATGTTGAAGGAAGTTTTGGAGGAATCAGATTGTGTAGGATTTTGTCAGCCACTACCTTCATGCCCTGATTGTTAATGACCAGGTCTGCTTTGGCAAGAAAGACTCCTCCAGAGACAAGCTTCTGACACAGTGTGTGCAGGAGTGTTCTTTCCCTGGATTTGGCTGCTAAGCTTAGAAGCTACCATCTGTTCAGTGGTAGCTGAATTTCCTGATTACTTGATGTCTGTAGTATTAGAGTTACTAAAAAAAAAATGATACTTTTGCATTGGTCTGTGCCTTAGCTTGGAAAGTGAGTCCAGTATTATAACAAATCAGTTTCACAAATGTATGCATATTCATCGGATCCTACAAAATACATAATTAGTAAAGTATTTTAAGATACCTTTTACTACTCAAATGCCATTGTGTTTAAAATATTTATTATCATTATTTGAAACTATTTTAATCCCTTATCAGGTATTTGATTACCAAATATCATTTTCCTCCTATGGGTTTTGGTTTTACTGGGTTGAGCATGATGTATGAAAGGTTTTCATTTGATAAAGCCGAGTGTCTATTTTTTTTCTTTCAGTGCTTTTCTTTTGTGTTTTCTTCTGAGAGTTTAAAATTTTATTATTTATAGGGTTGAACTTTGGAGAGAACCAAGCAAGTCCTTGGGCATCAGCATTGTTGGTGGACGAGGTATGGGGAGTCGTCTAAGCAATGGAGAAGTTATGAGAGGCATTTTCATCAAACATGTTCTTGAGGATAGTCCAGCTGGCAAAAATGGAACCTTGAAACCTGGAGACAGAATAGTAGAGGTAACCACCAGTGAGCTTTCTGAGCTTTCTTCACCTCTCACCTTTTTGATGAAGCCAACTGAGACTTTCTGAAAATGTGTGTAAATTAAGTAAATAGAGACCAACAAATTATTCGTTCTGGATATATGTTCATTGAACTTGAGCAAAGATGTCCTTGTAAACTTTTCCAATAATGGGCTAGACATGAATACTGACTTTCGTTTTATTAAAGAGTTAGAAGCCATTCTTAGTATATACTGAAAAAGTATCGTTATGCTATCCTATTAGGGTCCAGAAGGAAGTTCTCAACTAAATGCATATAATTCTTTTCGCGATAATGGTGTTCTATGACAAGATGCACTGATTTATTTTGTTTCCTAAAATTGTGTACACTCTAAGCTTACTTGGTAATTAGAAATGACAAAGGAATAAGAAATTCCAGTTTCCTAATAGGGTTAGCATTTGACCCTTTAAACTATTTGTGTGTGTTTATGTGAGTGTTTGTGTGTGTGTGTGTGTGTGTGTGTGTGCGCGCGCGCGCGTGTGTGTGTGTGTGTGTGTGTGTGTGTGTGTAATCATGTATATAGTGTCTAAACTGAGCTGATCATCATCCAAGCAAGCCCAGTTCAATAGAAAGTTACAAAATAACTTTCATTTTCAGTATATTTATTTAAGAATTACTAACAAATGAGCACTATTTCTTGGCTTTGAGCTACTGTTATGTCTATTGCAAAATTCCTTTGCAAAACTAACCTAATCCTTATCTAATTTTCTTGGATATCACATTTTTTGTTGTTTTTAAGTTCAGGATTCCTTGTACAGAGAGAAAATATACAACAAACAAATAACCCAGCTACTTTCCAAATCATGATATAATGAAGTAGAAGAAAACACAGAGCCTTGCATAACTACAGTGCAGCTAAGAAGTTCCTTTAGATATTCTCTTTAATGATTCTGATTTATTAGTGAAAAAGAGCAACTGAACAGTGAAAAGTGAAGCAGAAACAGAGGCCTTGTTCCAGTCAGTTGTTATTCCAATTGATTACCAGGGACAGAAATCAGTGTCCAAAGTAACAGAGTATCCATTGGATAGACAGATTAAAAGTTTTCACCCTCATAATTATTCTTAATTATCTATTTTTGAAGCAGAATTTCTAGGATCCAAAACTCCTGAACCACAAATTGTTCTTCGTTCTAAAGCTTCTTTAAATGTTAAGATAAGGCCTTCCATTGCAGGTGGATGGAATGGACCTCAGAGATGCAAGCCACGAGCAAGCTGTGGAAGCCATTCGGAAAGCAGGCAGCCCTGTAGTCTTTATGGTACAGAGCATTATAAACAGACCGAGGGTAAGCAAACACAAAGGGCAAGGTAGGCGTATCTAAACAGTACTCAACTTGGAGTCTAATGAAGCAAGGGCCAAGTTGTCTGTATGAACAGATGGTGATTCTTGGAACAGTTAATGATAAGTTTCTTTTGCTGTTTTTCCCCCAACATTTAGGTATTTTATAAACTCCTACCACCCTATTAATAAAGAGTTGAAGTCTGTTGAAAACACATAAAAGTAGAATTTATGGGTGGCCATAGGTGTCTAGGTAGTTAATTCCTAGTATTCTTTATATTCACAAGTTATAGAAGTTGATGAAAGGACTCTCAGTTTGCTATTCCGATGAATAGCTCCTGATCCTATAGTGGAATCCCTTAGAAGGAAGAAAAATGATATTTTCTTTGAGTTTATGTAGTCCCATAATCTGATCTTTGAGGCATTTGTGCATCCCACTGACTGAATATTAGGTTTCCATAAGGTGGGCTTTGTTTATTTACAAGTGATTTTATAATTGCTGTTTCCCAGCATGATCACTGCATAGCTCATCACAGTACAACTCCTAGTAGACAGAAATCTAGTCACCCACTTTACCTTCAGTCATCACAGATAAAATAACTTTAAAAAGTATTTTAGAAGCTATATGCTTATAATTTCAGCATTTGGGAAGAAAAATGTCAACATATGTCAACATACCTAAAACTTGAAACTTGATTTTTATGTATGTGATTTTGTATATAAAGTGCATTGAATTTTAACTTGAAAGATTAAAAATTTAAGATATTCACATACAAATGATAGAAGAGAGCAAACAGTTTTGTTTATGGGATCAGAAAAAGTAGCATCCATTTTCTATGGTGTGAAGTAGAAAGCAGCTAGATTCATCTTACTGAGACTTCCCTTTGTTGTTAAAACAGGTGTGTAACTGTGGTCTGAGTTCAGGAAGGGATTTAGTAGTTCTTAATATATGAAGTTATCATCACATCTGTAGTTTTTAATCATTTAGATATTTATTGTTAGGTAATAATTATCCAATCAGATAGAAAATCTGCCACATGGTAGGGCTACATCATGCTTCATCTTTATAAATTCTGTTCAGTTTGTTAAGTAAGTACAAATCTTTTTACATTTGTTTCCATGTGTTGTGTTAAACATAGACTTGGCATGATATTATTAGTGACTGGCTATTTTATTCCTTTTTCGTCCTAATTTCTAACTCATATTATTTAGGACAATGAAATTCTAAACTGCTGAACAGTGATTCTTAATATTTCTTTAAAAACATAAACTACAAACATTTTATTCAATGCCAGTTACATTTTGTAATGACATGGAATAATACTGTTTCAGACACCTGGAAAATATTCACATTTTATTATATGAGGTATAATGAGACCTAATTAGATAGCAGTTATTTCTGGATAAATCTTTCTTATGATGTGTTTAGTCAAGTAGTACACATTTTGCTTTGGGAAATTGGAGTTCATTTTATACTTAATATATGATATACTTCCTTTCTAGTTACTTTTCTGTGGAAATATCTCTAGTAATCTAAAAAAAAAGTGAAAAAATAAAGTCACAAGTCCCAGTTGTAACTGTTTTATTTGAGGATGGAGGTTAAAGCTTCCTGGAAATATATGTAGGTGACAAGCAATTGACTTTAAGTTGCTAAGAGTTTGAACTAGAATTTGAACATCCGAGACTCTCTTGTTTGTCTGAAGAGTAGTCCCACTTATGTAGACCTCCCTTAATTAATAATCTTACTTCTCTCATCAGGCTTTGAGACTAAACATTGATTCTTTTCAGCAAAAAAAAATCTTTCTCTTGATCTTTCCCTAATAATATAGTGATCTACCATTTCACCTGCTATGCGCAGGCTGAACCTTTCACTCTGCTCTCAGCACCACACTCTAATTCTGTAAGATCTGCAAAAGTACAACAACTGCAAAATCAAGAAACTAGAGTTCTCTTGAAACTGTTTCTTGCTGTCAGAGTTTTGTTTTCTTTTTTTTTCTACAGAGAGGGCACTTGAAAACTAAAAATAACTATGGATGAAGATCAGACGTAATCCCTGCCCTCCAGATCATTGAATTATTTTGCCTAGCATCGTTTCTCATTCTTGCCCAGTCGTTAGTTCGATTTTAATATGTGATGATGTTCCTTGGAGTCTGTGATCGCCTTTTTTGTAAAGGAGGGGTTGACATTTTACTCTGAAAAGCAGGGAGAAAAAGTTGAGATGAACAGAAATGTCATTGTGCTGTAACTTTCCCCCATCTTGCCTCTGTAGGAAAAACATTTCAGGGAAAGCAGATTGAAAGGGTAATGTGGCATAAGCTTTGGTATAGGCACACTGAGAAAGTCTTTCTAGAGGGTTCCCCCATAGAGGGTGGTATCATGTGACTACCTCTGTACATCCTAAGCCTGCCAGTGGGACGTTTTTGTTCAGAAAAATGATACCAACATTTAATTGGAGCCAAAATGAATTTTAAATGTCTGCAATTTTCCTTGAAACATATAGTCAATAAAAGAAAAAAAGATAGCAGGCATAAAAAGAAAGGAAAAGAATTTATTGTGCAGAGGAAATTACTTTTCACTTCTTTTGAACCATGAAAATGCTAAATTCTGTCTGGCAGGCACCATTCTATCCTTAATGTGTATATCTAACTCCTAACAGTCCTGGCTGAGGACACACTGTAGGCAAGCCACAGAGGCTGTAAGACACTCTGTAAGGCAGGATTTCAAATAGTACTTAAAGCCCATCAATTTTCTAATAATATGGGAAACTTTATACAAGTTTTTAAAACATTTATCTCCATAATCCTTACTCTGCAAAAAAAAAAAAAAGCACAGAAATACAAAATGCCATTGTATGGTAGTTCATTTCTTCATGTCTTTAAATTTTAAAATAGCACTACTCCAAATCAGTCTTAATATCTGTCAGAGTATGAAACTTTTCCTTAGTGGGAAACAAGATCAAGGAACACTAAAGGTTACTCAGACGGGCAGATTAAATGTTTGATTTGTATGTTGGAACAGATAGACTATTGAAAACTATCATTAACTTTTAAGTGTAAATTTAAAAAAAGACTTAGATTTTTTGTTTTAAAGCATGTTTTCTTATACCATGCAGCATAAACATAAAATGTATGCATGTCCATCTATGACAGTGAAGCCATTTAAGGAAAATAAGGAAATTTGGGGTTAGTTTGACAGTCGGGCCTCTTTGTAGTTTGGAGACTGATTAGACTCAAGCTATTAGATACAAAGTATATCAGTATTTAAGAAAATGCCATGAATGATTAGATACAGACCCTGGAGTTCTGAATAAGTAGGTTTATTCTAAAAGTTGAGTTGTTTGAAATTCATTTCTCCTGCGATCAGCACCTCTTGTGTTTCCTTTTAGAAATCCCCTTTGCCTACCTTGCCGCACAACCTTTACCCTAAGTACAACTTCAGCAGCACTAACCCATTTGCTGACTCTCTCCAGTTCACCGCTGACAAGGTTGGATGATGTCTGTTGTTTTACCACCATTGCCTGTTCAGATGTTTTGTTCTTTGTTACTGCTGTGCCTTTGTCCCAGCCTTTGTTTTCTGTTTACCGAGTTTGGCCAGAACAAAACAAAACATAAAAACAAACAACTGTGTGTTTGGAAAAGGCATGCCAGTGCTTTCATAACCATATATTCCTAACAGAGGATATTTTTATAGCTGAAATTAAATTGCCCTTCTGAAGAAGAGACTCATCATAAGTCCAGTGTCTTCCTTGCTTTTACATTTGTGTTACTTACCTTTTTGTTTAGTTGCCATACAGCTAAACTACTTTCATACTAATTTCCTTCAAACGTTGTATTGGCTTAAACATTTTCAGACTTTTCTACAAGATGGTTACAAAAGTTCCCCCATAAGTTAATGACAGTGTAAATAATTATGTATATGTACATGCAGGAGTCTTGTAAATATTCATATACTTTGCTTAAATAAACTCCTGAATTAATCAACTGTTTCAGTACTCATAAATCTATCTTGAATAGTCTCATATTAATTCTAAAACTGAGATTGAAACAAAATAAGAACTTACTATAATTTGGTCATGGAAAGAAGGAAAGTTACCAGAAATTTCTTTTAGGAGCATTGTATGAATATGCAGGTTTTCATGTGATTGTAATATGGATAATAATGATGCCATATCTGAAGGAATATGTTTTTCTATTACCGTAGGGATTACAGAATTCCAGTACATTTATCTTCCATTGTTCCCCAACTAACCCTTTTGCTCCCACACCATTTAAGGTTTGCCTAAATAAAATTTTCACGTGTGTTTTATGGTACATGTATGTTATCCTTTGTGTGTACATACATGGCATGAAGTGATTGCAAGTGCACTTTGCATTTTGCCAAAAATAGGCTAAATGAGCATTGCTAAAGACCTATATTTTAATTAATCCCCATTTTTAAAATTGTCATTAACAAGCTAGCCCTGTGATCTTAGTAAAATGAAGATGTCAGGGACAGTAAAACAAAAGACCTAGTTATCCTTCAAGCTAGTTTTGATGAACCAGTTAGAGTACAATTTTAGTTTTATTCATGATGTAAACATCTGTCTGTAATCCTGGACAGTTTTTATGTAAACAGTTTTGTTTCTTTGTTCTTAAGGAAAACAACAGTCTAAAATATTATGTAGCAAGATCCATGGAATGTGTATCCATGGATTTGTTAAATTATGAGATATTTAAATTAGATTTTTTTGCCCCATGCCTGCTAAATACACTTTCTGTTGCATAATATATTTATTTTTATTTTTATTTTTTAGTTGATCATGGGGCTTGAACTCTGGGTCTGGGCACTGTCTCTGAACAATTCAGCTCAAGGCTAGTGTTCTACCACTTGAGCCACAGTGCCACTTCCAGCTTTTTCTGCTTATGTGGTGCCAAGGAATCGAACCCAGGGCCTTATGAATGCGAGGCAAGCACTCTACCACTGAGCCACCTTCCAGCCTCATAACGTATTTTTTAAGCCAGAAAAATTCTAAAATATATAGCTCCTTTCTCTTTAATGTGATTTCTGAGTATAGATAGGATCAAGTGAGGCATTTTTTATTTTTGTACATTATTAATTTGAGAAGATTTGGCACAGCATTTAGGAAGATCACAGATTTCATTTGAACTAGCAACTCTTATCTGCTTGGCCAATGATGTATAAACTGGACAATTTTGTACAGCAGATTCTGTAACCTAAATTCAAAGGTCCTTAAACCTCAATCAACCAGTCCTTTGCTTTTACAGAAGAAAGTGTACTTTTAAAACTTTTAAAATCACCAAAGAAAAATCATAGGCGATACTGTGTAGTTTTAATGTTAAATATGTATTTTTGGTATTCTGATTTTTGACAGCAGTTAATAATTCCTAATTTGCAATATTGCTAATATTTCTAATTTGCAAGCATGACTATAGTTTAATGTTTTCTTATTAGAAGTTTTTTTTAAAATTAAATCATAAATATTTCTGGGAGTACCCATAAAAAATCAAGTTATTTGAGAGAGATTTTATAAAGGAAAAATGTTCAAGGGTGTTGGAGGTATGGTTCAGGTGGTAGAGCACCAGCCAATGAACAAAAACAGATACTGAGTCCGAGTCTTAGTTTCAGAAAAATAAAATAGAGTAGAAAAATGTAGACTTAATTCATGAGTCCCTCAAGTCTATATTTCATACCAAAGCTCACCGTTTCGCTGGGTGTCCCAACCTTGGGTCAGCTACTGTCTTACTATGGAAATTGGAAGAGACAGTGTGGTGTAATGCAAAGTGCATTGGAAGAAGAATTAAGCAGAAAGAAACCGACTACAACTGTGTGACTTTGAACAGAATCTTTCACTTGTGGCCCGGAGTTGAGAAAGCTTATTTATCTGCAAAATGAGTGAAATGAACTAGGTGACTTAAGGACCTTTTCAGTCTCAACATTCGTAACATATAATATCTCATACAAGAACTGAAATGATACAAAATATGTACCTACATTTTTCTTTTAAAAGACCAAAGTGCTTAAGTCACAATCATGTTTTAATTTTGTATGAAATATCTTCCCATGGATTTTTTTTCACTCATCTTGTGAGCTACTTTGGCAAGCAAAAGGTTTTGTCCTTAAAATCATAGTCCTCAGATGAGTTTGTGTGCTCTGTGCTAATAGTCTGCTATTAGCAGACAAGCATGGGTAATGCTATTGTTGTGTGGATTTATTGAGAGTCATTTGGAGAGAGGATTCAGGTAATAATAAAAAGTTCCTTATGCTTAACTTTACTAAAAAACTCTGAAGACAACTTCCCTGTGACTTTTCATTTTTGTTTATTGGCAAGCTTTTCTAAACCCTTAAAATCTTACATACATCTTTGCATATTTATAACTTTTGAAGGAAATCTTTTATCCAATAGAGGAAATTTGTACAATTTTCTATCTTGGATTCTTTAAGTCTTCAAATCAAAGTACTCATTGGCTTATAATAGAAAAGTTTATAACCACTTATAGCCATTTAATAAATTGTACTCTGATACCATTTTGTGTATTTAAACTTTACCTGAATCCTTTTGTATGATTTGATAGATTTTTTTTTAAAGCTAATTTTGGTTTGACATATTTTTAACTTCTTCTCTTAAAGTTTTTTTTTTCCTTAGAGTGCACATACCCACTGGCTTTCTTCTTGTTTCTACAGGCACCCAGTCAGTCAGAGCCAGAGCCAGAGCAAGAGCCAGAGCCAGAGCAAGCTCCATTGTGTGGTAGGCCTTCACCATCTCCTTCAGCATTGGCAGAAATGGATAGTGATCACACACAGTCAGCTGCAACCACAGTCTCAGAAGATGTGGACCAGGAGGATGAGTTTGGTTACAGCTGGAGTACGTTGTCTTTTTGTGATGCCTTTACTTGTACGAGTTATTCTCAAGGCCTGTGCCTTGTGTGAATAAGTGTTTCAGCTCTAGTAATTCAAACTGAAATTCTATGTGGAACAAAGTGCTGTTTCTTTTCCTTGGATGTAATGAACATTCTCGAGACGTGAAATCATTTCCTTCCTTTCTTTAATTACGTTTTCCTATTAATGCTTCTTTGCCCTTCATATAAAAATCATCCAGAATCTGGTGTTGGATCAGACTCTGCCTCCTTTTAAGCATTGCCCCTTTCTAAACCTCAGTCTCTAACTGTAACATGTGTAGACTATGGATGTTACATGTTGAACTTCTGGTATTTCCTGTACTAGGATGGCAACCTAGGATAATTATTGAGATAAAAACTTTTAGACATTTGGCTAGTTGTTTACCTGCTTCTAAGTTTTAACCCTGTGGTTATCTCTCTTTTTAAAATACAGTTCTTTCTTCAACTTGTTGACATTAAATTAGATGGTGTCTGAGGTCAGGAGAAGTATGCTAAGCATAATGCCTAATGCACAGGAATCATTCAAAGGCAACCTGTGTTAGAATCCATGAGGTGTCTGTTTTCTAAGGAAATAGGGTATTTTATAGGTAAATGTTAAATATGTACCCAAGACTTACAAATATCATGGGGTTAAAAAGTTTCATCATAAGCCGGGCGCTGGTGGCTCAAGCCTGTAATCCTAGCTACTCAGGAGGCTGAGATCTGAGGATCGCGGTTCAAAGCCAGCCCGGGCAGGAGAGACCGTGAGACTCCTATCTCCAATAAACCACCAGAAAACCGGAAGTGGCGCTGTAGCTCAAGTGGTAGAGCGCTCGCCTTGAGCTGAAGAGCTGAGGGACAGCACCCAGGCCCAGAGTTCAAGCCCCACGACCAACAAAAAAAAAAAAAAAAAAAGTTTCATCATAACTGTCTGCCAGTGGCTCATGCCTGTAATCCTAACTCAGGAGACTGAGACCTGAGATCAAGGTTCAAAGCCAACCTGGGCAGTAAGACTCTTATCTCTAAACTATCAAAAAAAGTCAGAAGTGGAGCTGTGGCTCAAGTGGTAGAAAACTAGCCTTGAGCAAAAGCAGCTCAGGAACAGCACTCTTGCTCTGAGTTCAAGCCCAATACTGGCACACACAAAGAAAGTTTCATCATAAAAAATAACTATTTCCTTTAAGAAAGCTATAATATACATTGTTAGCTAGGTGCCAGTGGCTCATACCTGTAATCCTAGCTACTCAGGGGACTGAAATCTGAGGATCACAGTTTGAAGCCAGCCCCAGCAAGAAAGTCTGTGATACTCTGATCTCCAATTAATTGTAGAAAAAGGTAGACATGGCACTGTGGCTCAAGTGGTAGAAGACTAGCCTTGAGCAAAACGAGCACAGAGACAACACCCAGGACCAGAGTTCAAACTCAGGGACCAGGAAAAAAAAAATTGTTTTGAAAGCACCGTTGTCTGAAAGTTGTATTCTTAGATTCTAGGAGTCAGCCAGTGATGTTTATTTAGTGATGTATGTAAAACTCTCAATGTAGAATGTAGGCTGTTAGTTTTATAGCAATTTTTAAAGATGATTTATCAGGGTTATAGTTTTCTCAGAGTGTTATCAGTAGCATTAGAGTTTATTTCTATCTAATCAAAATGCCAGAGTATGCTGAAAGAAAACTGTGAGCCAGAATGTTTCAGTTTTCTGTTATCAAGCCACACTAAATGGCTCATAACAAATACTACTAATCTGACAAGATGGGGTGATTGTTTGGCAGGGCTCCACTGCCAATCAGGCTTTCTGTACTACTAGTACAAAGAAATTCCTTAACATTTGATTACCCCAAGAAACCAGTCTGTACTACTGGCTTTTAACTGCCCCAAAGTCATTTTGGAACAAATAATATCCTTTTGAGTTAAAACTAAATAACTTTCCATTGTAAAGCATTTGGTTGTGAATTAACTTTAAGTATGTTGCCATTTGTTATGTGTAGAGACTATCAGAGAGCGTTATGGAACCCTAGCAGGAGAGCTCCATATGATTGAACTGGAAAAAGGTCGTAGCGGTTTGGGTTTAAGTCTTGCTGGAAATAAAGATCGAACCAGAATGAGTGTTTTTATTGTGGGGATTGACCCAAATGGAGCAGCAGGGAGAGACGGACGATTGCAGGTTGCAGATGAGCTTCTGGAGGTGAGTTTTTGTGGGTAATTTGAATTTCCTTTTGCTGTATCAAGGCAATAGAATCTCTGCTTCCCAGAAAAATCAACGAGATTTCATATGGTGACTGAGAAACTATCACTTGCCTCATAAAACAGATTCACTGCAGCAGATTTGGCTATCAGCCAAATGTCTACTAAGTAGAATCTATGTTACCATTAATTTCCATTAAGTTAAGACTGTGTAGCAACAGAAACATTTGCTCTAAGACAGTAATATAAAGCACTCTACCACATGAGCCCCAGCCCTGCTCTATTTTTTATTTTTTTTTGATGGAGTCCTCACCTTCCTGCTTTTTCTTTTCTTTTTTTTGCCCCTGATGGTATGCGGTTTTAAACTCAAGTCCTCCTGCTTGCTAGGCACTCTACCACATAAGCCATAGCCCTAGCCCTTTTCGATTTCAGTAATTTTTTTGATTCTCATCTTTTTTCCAAGAGCTATGCTTATATATATAAATATATCTATTCATACATATACTTATATATGAATATTTGTTTAAATATATAACTTTAAACACACACACATATATAAAGTTAGCTCTGGTTAAAAAGATGAGACTCAAAAATACTTATATACGTGTATATGTGTATATATGTACATGTGTGTATAGAGAGAGAATATCAGAAACTACTATGGAACCCTAATAGGAGACCTTCATATGAATCAACTAGAAAAACAGTCACCCTACTAAACTTCCTATATAACTGGGATTATAAGTCTGTGCCACTGTGCTCAGCCTTTTCTATGTTAACTGTCAAAAGTTGCATTTAGGACTGGGATGCAGCTCAGAGGCAAAGCACTTGCCTAGCTGATACGAAGTCCTGGGTTTGATCCACAGTACCAAAAAAGAAAAGACAAGAAAAAAGTTGTGTTTATATTCTAGGGAGAAAAATACAAGAGTCTAAAGATAAAATAAATGTTTATTTTGTTAGGATGATAAATGAAGAATTTCAGCTCACCAAATAATTTTTTTTTGTATGAATTACTCTGTAATTATTTATTAGGTCAAGTTGTTTGACCATGCTGTTCATGTCTTCTTTTTAATATATATTTTTATTGTAAAGATACTGTACAAAGGTGTTAAAGCTACATGAGCAAAGTACAGTCCTTTCCCTCCCCACTTCCCCAACTCCTGCCTCTCCCCAAGTTGTAAAGTTTGCTTTCAACATAGTGTCTTGTACGTCTCATTATTACAATGGGTCAACCTGTATCCTTGTTTCAGCATTTTGTTATTTCCCTTCCCCTCCCCAAATTATAAAAATGTATATACAAGATGCAGGGCAATGGAATCACATATAGTGAAAACAGGGATTATACCATGGAGAAGAACATACAAAAGAAACAAAAAAATCACACAGAACATTATAAGTACATTAAAAACAACAGCAACAAAGATAAAACTACTTATGTCGCTATCTTAGGGTTCATTTCCTTTAGCATCATCTTATATGGTCATATGTATTTAGTTTTTGACCTTTTCTGCTTGTCCTAGACATATTCTAGTTATTGCAAATAAGGGAAACCATGGGACTTATGTTTCTTTGGGCCTGGCTTACTTCACTTAATATAATTTTTTCCAAGTCTTTCCATTTCCTAACAATTGGGATGATGTCATTCTTTCTGATGGAGCCATAGAATTCATATATATATATACACATACACACATATACATATATGTATGCATATGTGTATATATGTATATATACATGTATATATGTATATATATCATATATATGATATATATATCAATTAATCTCCTGAACCAACTGTGTTGGTTCCATATCTTAGCTATGGTGAATAATGCTACCATAAACATAGTTGTACTGGTAGCTTTAGTATGGCCTTGTTTGTGATTGGGTAAATGCCCAAAAGTGGGATTGCTGGGTCGTAGAGTCTTTTGAGGAACCTCCATACTGCTTTCCAAAGTGGTTGAACAAGTTTACACTCACACCAACAATGCAGTAGGGTTCTATTTGGGCCACATCCCCTCCAGCATCTGTTGTTATTAGATTTCTTGATTATAACCATTCTAACTGGGGTGAGGTGGAATCTCAGTGTTGTTTTGATTTGCATTTCTTTTATGGCCAGAGTAGTTGAGCATTTCTTCATGTATCTATTGGATATTCCTATTTCCTCTTCAGAGAAGTTTCTCTTTAAGTCTTTAGCCCACTTATTAATTGGACAGTTGTTTCTTTAAGGATTTGTTGTTGGAGGATTTATTTTTTTGAGTTCTAAGTATATTTTAGATATGAGGCTCTTGTCCATTGTATGGCTAGTAAAGATCTTCTCCCAAACTGTGGATTTTCTGTTGATCTTGCTAGCTATGTCCTTTGCCATGCAGAAGCTCTGCAGTTTCATGCAATCCAATTTGTCCAAACTTTCTTTGATTTGTTGTTTCTGGGTCTGTATTAAGAAAATTTCAGCCTGTGCCAAGGAGACCTAAGGTTTATCCTATTCCTTCCTGTAATATTTTCAGAGTGTCTGCTTTGACTTTAAGGTCTTTGATCTATTTGGAGTTGATTCTGGTGCAGGGTGATATACAAGGATCTAGCTTTAGTTTTCTACAGGTGATTAACCAATTTTCCCAGAACCATTTACTGAAGAGGCTGTCTTTCTTCCATTCTATTTTTTAGCTCCCTTATCAAAAATTAGGTGGTTATAGGTCTGTAGCTTCATTTCTGGGTTTTCAATTCTATTCCATTGATCTTCAGGTTGGTTCTTATGCTAGTACCAAGCTGTTTTGATTACTACTGCTTTGTAGTAGAGTTTGAAATTTGGTATTGATCTTCCTCCAGCACTGTTCTTTCTGCTAACGATTGTTTTTTGCTATTTGGGGTCTTATTGTTCCATATGTATTTTTGGATTGCTTCTTCTATTTCATTGAAGAATGAGGTTGGGATATTGATGGGTTAGATAGCCTTTGGCAGTATTACCATTTTCACTATGTTAATCCTCCCAATCCAGGAGCATAGGAGGTTTTTCCACTTCCTTAGTTCTGCTTTAATTTTCTTTTTCAAGTTTTAAAAGTTTTCATCATAGAGGTCCTTCACTTCTTTAGTTAACTCCTAGGTATTTTATTTTTTGTGGGGCTATTACAAAAGGAGTTGCTTTCCTGATTTCAGCTGTGCTCTTCTTGTTATTGGCATACAGAAGAGTGCTGCTGCTTTGTCAAAGTTTCAGATCAGCTCCAGGAACTTGGGAGTGGAATCCATGCGGTTCTTTACATACATAATCATGTCATCTGCAAAGAGGGAGGTTTTACTTCATGTTTCCCTATTTGGATCCCCTTTATATTTGCTTCTTGTCTTATTGCTCTAGCTAGACATTCTAATACTAAATTGAAGAGAAGTGGAGAGAGTGGACATCCTTGTCTTGTTCCTGAATTTAGAGGAAATGGATTTTGTTTTTTGCACTAAGTATAATGGTGGCTGTAAGTTTGTCATATACAGCCTTTATTATATTGAGGAATGTTCCGTGGATTCCTACTTTTACCAGAGCTTTCATCACAAAGGGGTGTTGGATCTTGTCAAATGCTTTTTCTGTATCTATTGAGATACTCATGTGGTTCTTATCCGTGCTCTTGTGATGTGGTGTATTATATTAATTGATTTGTGTATATTGAACCATCTTTACATCCTTGAAATGAATCCTGTTTGATCATGGTGTATGATTGTTTTTATGAGTTGTTGAAGTTGATTGGACAAAATTTTGTTGAGAAGTTTTGCATTGATGTTCATCAAAGAAATGGGCTTATAGTTCTCTTTCTTTGATGAGTCCCTGCCTGGTTTTGGGATGAGGGTTATGATGGCTTTATAGAAAGAGTTTGGTAGTGAACTTTCACTTTCAATTTCATTGAAGAGTTGGAGAAGTATTGGTGTGAGTTCTGCTCTGAAGGTCTTATAGAATTCAGCTGTAACCCATCCTGGGCTTTTCTTGAGTGAGAGGTCTCTTATTGCTGTTACTATTTCAATGTTTGATATGGGTCTCTTAAGTTGGTTTAAATCATCTTGGTTTAGTTTGAGCATGTCAGAATTTGCTAGAAATTCATCCATTTCTTCCAGATTCTCAAACTTATTAGCATAAAGGTTTGAGAAGTATTCTGAATCTTGGTTGTTTCTGTGGTGATGTTTCCATTCTCATCGCTGAGTTTATTTATTTGGGTGTGTTCTCTTCTTTTTCTAATAAGATTTGCTAAGGGTCTGTCAATTTTGTTAATTTTTTCAAAGACCCAACTCTTTGTTTTGTTGATTCTTCCTATTTTTTTTGGATTCTAGTTCATTTAATTATGATTCAATTTTAATTATTTGTTTCTGTCTACTGGATTGTGGTTTAGCTTTTTGCTCTTTTTCAGGTGCCTTGTGAAATTGTTTGTTTCAGATTTCTCCAATTTGTTGATGTATGAACTCAGAGCTATAAACTTGCTTCTGAGTACTACTTTTGCTGTGTTCCAGAGGAGCTGGTAATTTGTGTGTTCATTTTTGTTAAAAAGCATGAACACTTGAATTTCCTTTCTAATCTCTTCCATGACCCAGTGTGTTGTTCAGCCTCCATGTGTTACAGGATTTTCTTTGGTGTCATTCCTTTGTGGTCTGAGAGAATGCAGGGCATAATTTCAATGTTTCTGAATTTGGACAAATTTGCTTTGTGACCTACAATGTGGTCTATGTTGGAGAATGTTCCATTGCTGAGAAGAATGTATATTCTGATGCTGCTGGGTGAAATATTCAGTCTTTTACGTCTAGTTGATCTATGCAGTTGTTTAGGCTCTAGGTTTCTCTGGGTTGATCTATCCAGCAGGGATAGTAGTATGTAAAGTTCCCAACAATTAATGTCTTGGGATTTGTGTGAGATTTAAGGGAAAGTAGTGTTTTCTGGATAAATTTGAGTTCTCCATTACTCGATGAATAAATATTTAGAATTGTAATATCCTCCTGAAGAAAAGATCTCTTAATTAGTATGTAATGACCTTCTTTTTCTCTTCTCCGTAATTTTAATTTGAAATCTATTTTATCTGGTGTTAGGATTGCAACTCCTGCCTGTTTCTGGGGGCTGTTTGCTTGGAGATTTTATTTCAGCCTTTCACTTTCAGAATATGTTTCTGGTTTTTTTTGTTTTCGTTTTTTTGTGGGCAAGGTGTGTCTCTTGAAGGCAGCATATAGAAGGATCTAGCTTTTTGATCAAACTAGACAATCTGTGTCATTTAATTGGAGAATTAAGTCCATTAATGTTGCAAGTTAGGACTGAGAAGTGTTTCATAATTCCTGCCATATTATTTACCTTCTTGGGGACTATGCCAGCGGCTTCTTCCTATGATTCTTGGATGTTCTATTTGGGGGCTGTTTCATGGCCTTTATCATGCTCTTGTTGATTTTCTATGTGTAGGACATCTTTAAGTATCTTTTGTAGTGCTGGTTTGGTGGAGATACATTGTTTCAATACATGGAAGGTTTTTAATTGTCCTTCTGTTATGAAGGAGAGTTTAGCTGGATATAGTATTCTTGGTTGATAGTTGTTTGTCTTTAGGGTGTGTCATACATCCTTCCAGGTGCTTCTTGCTTTCATCGTCTCTGCTGAGTAATCTGAAGTTATTCTGATTAGTTTCCCTTCACAGGTGAAGGGATCTTTTCTCCCTGGCAGCTTTAAAGATCCTTTCTTTGATCTTTATTGATCCTATGTGGATTACAGTGTGGTGGTGGGATGTCCTGTTCTACTCTGGTCTATTTGGGGTTCTAAAGGTTTCTTGTATTTGAATTGGCCTATCTTTTTGCATGTTTGGGAAGTTCTCTGCTAGGATCTTGTTAAATAAATTCCCTAGACCTTTAACTTCTGTCTCGAGGCCCTCCTCTACACCCATTAGCCTTAAATTAGACCTACTGATGGTGTCTTCTATATGTTGAGTAGATCTATCATATTTCTTGGATTTGTCTTGAATACTTGTCTGTTCTTTCTCTATAATGTCTAGGTGGTCTTCAATCCCAGAGATTCAGTCTTCAGTCCCAGAGATTTGATCTTCTGCATGGTCTAACCCACTGTCAAGACTTTCTACTTTGTTTTTTATTTCCTTTCCTTCTAATTGGTCAGATTTGATGGCTTCAAATTCTTTCTTGGAGCTTTGTTTGAGATCTTGTATAGAATTCTTTGCTTCTTTAATTTGGTTTTCAGTGTTCATTCTCAAATCCCTTAGTTGATTGGTTATAGTTTCATTGGACTCCCTTTCTGTCAGTTAGGCTTCATTCAGCATTCCCTTTGTGGCCTCCATGGATTCCTTCAGCTTTAATCTTTGTTTATTCTCATCCCGCTCACGCAATTCCTCTATTAATTTTTGAATAGCCTCCTCATGCTTGCAAAAGTCCTGTATTCATCTTTGGTTAGCCTCGTTATGCTCACACATTTCCCTATCATGCTCATACAGAATCCTTTGCAGGCTTTCAATCCGTTCATTCAGCATGTTTGCCAGTAGTGGTTTTACAGTGTTTTGGGAACTCTCATCTGGATTATTCATTAACTGCTGTTGCCTGATGAGCAGGACTTGAGATACCTAGACTTGTCATTTTTCTTGTGCTTCTCTGGTTTGTTCTGCCCATTTGAGTATGAAAGCAAAAGTAATTCAGTGCTAGAACACTTTTATGGCAAGCATCAACCAGAGCCTTGTAGTTGCACAGATTGTTAGACGCAGTCAAAATGAGTACAGATACAATCTAGTTCAACAGATACAATCTAGTTCAACAACAAACAACTAGGGATCATTGGACTAAGAAAATGAAAGAAGGAGTCAGCAGACCAGGAATTAATAGGTTTAGGGAGAATTGTGAGGAGAAAATAAGGTTAGAGGAATGTGGGGAGGGTAAGGGAGAGAGGGTAGATAACTAAGACCTAAATTCAGAGAGAGGAAAAGGAGAGAAGGAAAGGAGAAGAGAGACAAAGAAAAAGGAAAAAGGAAAAATAAAAAATTTAAAAATGAAACACTTAAAAATTATATAAGTATAAAGAAATAATACAATTGAAAGAGTTTAAGGCTGAGAGTTTGTGAATTGAGTATTTGATATCTGAATTAAGTAGGCACACAATGAAGGATGAGATCTAATAATCAAAGACAGGTATATATTTGTTGATGAACAGAATAGCAATTAAGTAAAGTACACGAAGGGAAAAGAATAAAAACAGAATTAAAAAAAAACAAAACCAAAATAAAAAAGATGAAAAAATAGAAAAGAATTTTTAATATGTTTTTTATTGTGGAAATACTGTACAGAGGGCTTACAGTTACATGAGTAAGGTAATGAGTACATTTCGTATAGAGCATTGTTACCTCCTCCTTTGTTTTTCCCCTACCATCCCTTCCCTCCCCACCTCTACAACTCCTCCCTCCCCTTCCCCCTATCCCCCAAAAAAGTTGTAAAGTTTGTTTTCAACATAGTGTCCTGTACATCTCATTGTTACTGTGGATCCACCTGTATCCTTATTTTAGCATTTTGTTATTTCCCTTCCTCTCCCCAAATTAGAAAAATGTATATTCAAGATGCAGGAAATAGTAAAGAATTTAAAAAAAATTTTAATTATGTAGAAAAAAGTTCTTCAATTTTTTGGGGGGGTGAGGGAGAGGTAGAGGGATCTTGTGTCTCCCTTGTGTCTGTAACCAGTCTCTTAGTGGAGTCTCTGGTTTGCTTGTGGTGTTTGGTTTTCCTGTGGCTTGATTGGTTGCTTAAATCAGTTTGTTTGAGCAGGCTGAAGGAAGCTCTGCATTACCAGAGACTTTATGACCCTCCTCCTAGACTACTTCAGTGGGAGGGTGATCTGCTTTGAGTATCACAAAAGAGCGAGATGGCTGTTTCCTCTAGCTTGGAGTTGCTGTGATAGGGCTAGGTTGTGTGTGGGGTTGAGGCCTGTCATCAGTCAGTAGCTTATCCCTGAGAGGCTAGCTCCTGAGGCACTCACACAGCCTAGCCTGAAGCCATTCTCAGGATTTTTGTGTACTGAGTTTCCAGTTGTTTTTCTTTTAACCTCCTGCAGCTGGGGCTACTGCTTTTGCTCCAGAGGGGTTGGGCAGCCTCTGGCTCTGTTTTCCCAGTGGAGCTGCCCTGGGTAGAACTAGATGTGCCTGGGAAGGGTAACTTTCCCCAGCGGTGGAGCTGACTCCTCAGGTCAGGTTCCTTTGACCTGTTGAATGGCTCCTATTGTCTTCTTCCAAGGCCTGAGTTACATGCTTGCTGCTCTGGCCCAGTCTTTGTCAGTATCAAAGATGAAGTTCTCCGGTCATGAGGGAGGGCTACCTTTCCACCACTGCTCTTAGAAGAAGGTGAGGATGTCTTGTATGTACTCACACCTTACCCTTGGTTTCTGGGCCATCCATGGTCTGCGACTATCTGTGGTCAGCAGGATGAAGATTTCTGCTCTTTGTCAGTTCTTGCTGGTGGTCAGTAGAATCTGCTCACACACCATTGCTGGTGCCTTTGTCCCAAGCTCTTTCTGTTGATATGATGGCCATGGCATCAGCTGCCACTGTGGACACTGATGAATGCTCAGATCTGTCTCTTTAACCAAGCTGCCTTAATTTTTCCTCTCTGGTCAAACTCTCTGTACTATGATGGCACCCTTGGTATGACTCTCTAGCCTTAAACTTTTCATTAGAACACTATGCAAGAGCTTGTTTAGCCCCCAGCTTCACCATATGATTCTTATTTCTCACAGATCAATGGCCAAATTTTATATGGAAGAAGTCATCAGAATGCTTCATCAATCATCAAATGTGCTCCTTCTAAAGTAAAAATAATTTTTATAAGGTGAGCAGTTTCTTTTAGTGTTTTTTAAATACATTTTTTTATTGTAAAGATACTGTACAGAGAGATTACAGTTACCTGAGCAAGGTAATTTGTCCATTTTCTATTGAGCATTGTTACTCTCTCCTTTGTTTTCCCCTACCATCCCTCCCCCCCCCTCCCAACACTCCGCCCCCACCCCTGGCAAAGTTGTAAAGTTTATTTTGAACATAGTGACATGTACATCTTGTTGTTACAATGGGTCATCCTGTATCCTTATTACAGCATTTTGTTATTTCCCTTTTCCTCCCCAAATTAGAAAAATGTATATACAAGATGCAGGATAGTCTTTTGTTGTTATGCCAAAGAAATCTAAATTCGAGTTCTTCTGAATGAAAACAAAACATATATATGAGTATGGCAACTTCAAGGCTTAGGGGGTTAGAGGATTTTTCAAAATAATCTTTCTGACTTTTGAAGTAATAGAATATAAGTAATACCCTTAGGATATGATAGATTGATTTTTTTTCTTCTAGAAATAAAGATGCTGTGAGTCAGATGGCTGTATGTCCTGGAAGTACAGTAGAAACTCTGTCTTCTGCCTCAGAGAATCTTCAAAGCAAGGAGGCATTTGTAAGTTCTGTTTTATCTTTGGGAAGATTAGATCAATACTTTCTTTTTCTAACTTAGATAACCATTATAGTGTACTTGTAGGGATATCCAAGGTAGATGAGTTATAACTGATGCTCAAAGAGTTGCCATGACCACTCATAGACAAAGCACATGACTATGTGATGATTTCCTGCAAAATGTGCATGGACAACAATGAGAATAGGGAAGGAGTAGCAATTCTGCTTTTAGGGAGAGTGAGAAAACTTCATAGAGAAGCTCCAACTATATGTTGAAGATGTAGAGAGAGGCAGTATGGACAGAGAGGGAGTTTGAATGGCATAGAAACTCTGGCTAATGCAGGAGTTGAAAATTGCAGAGCATTACTGATCAAGGTACAGGGTAAGGTACAGGGAAAAGATGGAAAAGTGTTGCTGAGAAGCAAAAGAATCAAATTATCCAAAACACTATGATAGGCTACCATATGCTGACTTTGAGGCATTCAATGAATTCAATGAATGAGTATTGTATTTTTTAAAATGAAGGCTACCATATGCTGACTTTGAGGCATTCAATGAATGAATGAATGAGAATTGTATTTTTTAAAATGAAGGCTGGGGTCATGGCTATAGGGGTAGAGCACCTGTCTAGCAAGCTCAAGTACCCTGAGTTCAAGTATTAGTACTTCTAAAACCAAAAGACTTCTGGGGCAATAGCATAGAGAAAAATTAGAAATTATAAGGGGGATAAATTAGTGGAAGTTAAAGAGAATGGAGTAATTCAGGAGAAATGCAGTGAGATCTGAAAGGCAGTGAGGGCCTAAATTAAATCATCAAGTGCAGAAATCCTCCCTATTAATAGCATTGCCTTTCCAGGTAAATATTCTTCAGAAAATATATCTGAATAACCTGACTCTTTGGGCTGGCGTATGCTAGTGATTAAAATAGAGAAATAGAAAGCTTCCAGATATTGGACATGATGATGTGATAGATGGCTATCTTCACTATATTGTAAATACAGAAAAGAACAAATATTTACAAAATTATACCACATTCTAGTGGGACAGCTTAAAAATGAAGTGAAGTGTCTGTTGGAGTCTTTAAAAATGTTCATCAGCACATGTAGTCTGGATTTTAGAGACATTTCCATAGATGCAGATTTGTCATTTTTTGGCCATGGGGGCTAGGCTAAAGCATGGGCATATAAAGCTCCTCCTATAGAGGAGAGCCAAGGGAAGATTTTTGTAGTATGAACACAAGCAGGAAGGCTAAAAATAGAGGCCAGAGGTGAGGTAGAAGAAGCAGGAAGGTATGCTGCACAGCCACTGGGGAGAGCACATTTGAGAGATTTCCTGTCTTGAGATGCAGTAGAGAAGTCCAGTGTGAAACTGGTGAAAGAGAGACCCCTGGGACTTGGAAACTGAGAGATTGTTGGGAAATCTCTCAAGAGATTTTCGGGGGAAGCAAATGATGGACAAGAAATTAAAGAGAGCACAGAGAATGTAAAGAGGGTGGTGATAGTGGTTGGTTTTAATTTAGGAAAGTTTTAGGTACTTGAATAAGATGTATAAAAAGAGGCAGTGGATAGTGAAGAGATTACAATTAAGAGGAGCATGATGATTATTATCAAGGAAAGTGTTGACACAAAAGTCCTCTTCCCTGAATTAATACATAAGCAGAGGCTTATTTATACATAAAATAGATACTCAAAGCACTGCCTCATTCTAACTGCCTCTGATGTTGACCGAGTCACATTACTTAAGATGGGTAAAGGAGGAACTTTCATTTTCATATTAGTTTTAGTAGTTACTGTATACATTGAGAAAATGTAATGTTTTAATAATTTTCAGGCAAAGAATTTAATAATTTGTAAATTCCCTTGATAACAAACACAGGAGAAATAATGAGTGGTGCCTTTGCCGGTACCACAAATTTCGGTAAGATTCCTTTTAGGTAGCTATGCTGTTGATCTATTCCATTTGGAGTAAATTCAGATTGACTTCTAAGCCCCTTGGATGCTCCTGGTGATTCTGTGCAATTGCCATCCAGTCATACCTTCACAGTATTTTAAGAGAACATGATGTTCATAAACACCAGGGCTATTAAACTAGCCATACTGACTTATAAATAATATTAAGTAGCTCTTATTTTTAACAAACAAAAGTATCTATAACCTTTTTTGCCATTTCTTTTCTGTCAGGTGGAACCAAATGTTACTACTTCTGATGCAACTGTGGACTTCAGTTTATTCAAAAATGTGCACCATCTAGAGCTTCCCAAGGTAAATCTGCATTGCATGAAGATGAAATTAAGTGAACACCCTCCTACACTGGTCCAGTTATCTGGTTCTCGGAATGTGGTCTGTCTACCAGTAGCAGCATCACCTGGGATCTTGTTAGAAATGCAAATGCCTGGATCCACTCAGGTCTTCCTGCTAAATGAGGAAATCCAGATTTTAATAAACCTACTATGATTCTAGAGCACAGTAAAATTTGAGAAACTTTGTGCTTATTGATACTTGAATAGGGCCCCAGCTTTTCCAACTGTTATTATTATTCCAAACTTTGAAATCCACTGTCTCTTTTAAGTTCATTTACCAAGCCCTTGCTAGGGGGGAAATTAAAAGAAAGATATGATACTTAGTCTTTTTCTCTTATAAAACAAAAAGCTTGTACAGTTATCTAGAAGCTCTGTTGATAGGCATTCTGAGATGTTTGTTTTGGAAAGATCTGCACATTAGGATGACTTGCTGAACAGAAACCTATACATGCTTTTAGCTGCTTCAGGCTTGTGATAGAAAGCAAGTGAACATGGGTGAAGCATATCCATCCACATGCTTTTTTAAACTTTCAAGAGAGAGTTCAGGAGAATGTTTACAACAAATACTGCTAGAAGAACTGGAGTAGTCCATATACCACTTTGTAGCCATGAGGCATGGTAGTGTGATGCTCAGACCCTGGGCTCCAGTACCATCCTGTCTAGCTTGAATGCTTGCTTAATCAGGTATGTTCTTAGGACATTGTGTAAACTTTTTGTGTATGTATAGAGTGTCTGGTAAGAACCAGGCATATGTGTATAAGTATTGCCTTATCATTATAAAAATTAAGAAAGAATAAACTGGCAAAGAGATGTATTATGGCTGCTTCTTTTTAAAAATTATTAACTTTAAGTAGTTGTACAAAGGAGGTACCATTTAATAAAGCAGTTTATGAGTACAATGCATCTTGATTTGTGTCACCCCCTTCAAACATTCTCACTCCCCTTTAACACATCTCTTACTGTTTCAACTTTATAATATATACAATGAATTCTTGACTGTATTCTCCCGATTCCCTGCTTCATTCCTATACTCCTCTCCCCTTGGCCCTACCCACTCCCTTTGCATATACCCCTTTCATGGTGCTGATTTTGTTAGACTTTGACCTGTCTTTCTAAAAAATTATACTATATGAGCTCTGTTCTCCATAGAGTCATTTATATTTCAGTTAATTCATTTGTAACCACTTGCATACCACCCAACATGTGTACTTAGAGATTTACAGGTACATTCTACCTACCACAGATGAGGGAAACCATGCAACCTTTGTTTCTGGTTCTGGCTTACTTCACTTAGTATAATTTTCTCCAAGTGCTTCTATTTCCTTATGAAAGGTACATATCATTCTTTCTAATGATGAGTAAGATTCCATTTGTGTGTGTGTGTATATGTGTGTGTGTGTGCGCACATATATCATATTTTTATGATCCGTTCATCCATTGAGAGCCATCTGGGTTGATTCCATATCTTGGCTATGGTGAATAGTACTGCATTGAAAATAGTTTCGTTGGTGTGTTTACTGTAACCTTGTTTATGTTCTATTGGATAAATGCCCAGGATTATTGCTGCTTCTTGACAATGGTTATATCCGGTATTTTCTCTTTTGATAATAGGTCACCTGACTGAAGTGTTGCATACATGTTCCTATTAAACGTTTCTTAGAATTTATCACTGCGATAGACCCAAGATCATCCAGAATCCCTTCTGAATCTTGAGTGATCTCAGATAAATCACTTAGTCTCTGTCGTTAGCATTTTTCTGGTTTGTTCATGGATGTCTAATATGTAAGCTTCTCTTTCTAAGTTAGTTGTCTATTCAAAATCCAGGTCTTGGGGCTGGGAAGGTGGCTCAGTGGTAGAGCACTTGTCTTGCATGCATGAGGCCCTGGGTTCGATTCCTCAGCAAAATAAGCAAAATCCAAGACTTTGGAGACCCTTAATGTATTACCCACAACAGTCTTTAAAGGTAGTTTATTCCTGGGCACAATAGTGTCTTCAAGAACTAGTTCTTTCTTTCTACACAGCCATGCATAGTGTCAGCTTGATGCCAATACGGTTCTTCCACATGGTTTTAGAAGGGCTGCTAATTATAGTTTGGGCCATGTGCTACTCTTTTGCATATGATTGGGAGAGGGGGGAATGAAAACGGCTGTCGCAGTGTTCTGAGCAAAAGTCTGAAGATTTGTCCTAATTGAACCAGTCCAACTCATATGCCTGCTCCTTAACCAGAGACTATGGCTATGGGAATAAAATTTATAGACTTAAGTTATTTAAACCCCATCCTTGGAGATCCTTATCCTTTGCTATGTAACACATTACCACACATTTAACAAACTTAAAATAACAGGCATTTATTGTGTTACAGTTTCTGTGAGGCAGGAATTTAGGATACCTCAGCCAAGTGGTCTAGCTCAGAATATTCTATGTGATTGCTGACAGATTGCCAGTGTGGGCTGCAAATGACTGAAGGTTGAGTAGAGCTGACCAATGATCCAAAAGGTGACTTACTAGAATGCTGTTGACAAGAGGCCTTATTGCTTCTTTTATGGGGCTGCCTGAAAATCTTCAGGACATGGCATCTGACTTCCCCCTGAACGAGTGATTGCAGCAAAGCAGCAAGGCCTGATATCTTTTGGGATCTAGCTATAAAATTTCACATCATCACTTCTTCTTTATTGTGTTTACTAGAAGAAGTCAACAAGTCCAGCCCATATGCTTAGTCTCAGGATCTTACGGCAAAGAACATCAAAGAATATCTACTCAAATTTTAAAGTCACCACCAAAAAATGTTGGGAGGGGAGAGGGAGAGAATAAAGACTGGAGATGAAGAGAAAGGACAGAAGGATGGTTAGGAAACAGTTATAAGAGTGGCCGGACAGTTTTTTGAAATTCTTCTAGATTATAGAAAAAGATAAGGTCAGCATGGGTATCGTATAAACAGAAAGTACTGTTTTAATGAAATATTTTTCTGGCTAAGTGGCAAATATTAGTATTATAATTGCTTTTTGTTTTAATTTTTGTTTCTTTTTCAGAGCTAGGGACCAAAGTCTGAGCCTTGCACTTACCAGACAAGTTCTCCTCCAGTGAGCTAAATCCCCATCCTCCACTTTTTAAATTTTATATATAAAAAATTTGTTTAAGTGACATATCCAAATTTAAGCAGCTAGATTAAAGGTAGACTAAAGGCTACTGATCATCTGAAGCAAAGTGGTAGAGGTAGATCACAGTGACAGTCTGAAACTTATTGGACATCAGTAATCTGTCTCAAAAGCTATAGGGTCAACCCTCTTCAAAATGATGGTGAAATCTTGTATCAGTGTCAGTCATGGCCATTAATGTCTCTAATGGAAGGTTGGCTCTTCAGTCTGTATTTCTGAAAAACCATGGCAAGTTTCCCTTTTCTCTGTCTCACTTTTCCTAAATTTTCCATGGATGAAAGCTATAATGCAAAAATGTTCTGGCTAGAATGAAAATTCCAAACTCTATCATAATTTTATTAAAGTAAACATTAAAGAAAGGTACAAGGCAGTATTATTGAACATTTGGTTTTGATTTTTTTAATGTGGAAAATATAGACTAAGTAGGTACAGCTCTCCAGCCTTGGCAGATGTTCAGGGCTTGTCTTTGGCTCAGATGCATTTTCATTCTACAGCAAGGCAAGACTATGTTCTCTGGAGAATCACTCCGTGCTCTGCTCCAGTAAAGGTAGAACATGCAGCCACCACTGCATCTGCCTTCCAGAAAGAAGGGTGGCAGATAAGAATGAAGGAGCTAGATAAGGTTGTTATTTGTAAGTTTTAGGCCAGAGAAAGGAGTGTGGAACCCTTTGCTTGGTTTTGAGTGACTTATTCAGTAAGCCAGTTACACAAGAATAGACTTGTAAGTGTTGAATGTTTTGGTTGAATTATTAAATGCATTTAAGCTCTCTGCTTATTTTGCTGAAGTTACTAAAGATATAAGATAGATGTAAGAAGTAAATTCACTTGACTTTTTGTGGGAGGAAAATTTTTCTTATTAGAAATTTTGAGAATTTGCTAAAGAAAAGGAAAAGGATAAATGTATAATAATAGGCTTCAAAGTTTTGCATTTTCTTTTTGTTTTTTAATAAGTTTTTATTGTGAAAATATTGTACAGGGGGTTGCAGTTATATGAGCAAGGTAATAAGTACATTTCCTATGGAGCATTGTTGCCTCCTCCTTTGTTTTTTCCCTACCATCCCTTCTCTCCCACCTCCTCAACTACATTCCCCACTCCCACCCCTCCCGCCTAAATTGTAAAGTTCATTTTTCAACATAGTGTCTTCTACATCTCATTGTTGCAATGGGTCAGCCTGTATCCCTACTTAAACATTTTGTTTTTTCCCTTCCCCTCCCCAAATTATGCCATCAAATACAGTAGAAACAGGGTTTATACCTGTTATACCATGGGGGAGGGGCATACAAAGCAACAAAAAATCACATGTTACCTTATAAATACATTAGAAACAATAGCAAGGAAGAAAAAACCACTTGGGGTTCATTTCACTTCCTTCATCTTATCTGGTCGTATGTATATGGCTTTTGACCTTTTCTACTTGTCCCAGACATATACTAGTTATTGCAAATAAAGGAAACCATGGGACCTATGTTTCTTTGGGCCTAGCTTACTTCACTTAGTATAATTTTTTCCAAGTCTTTTTTTTTTCTTTTTATGCTGGAACTCAGGCCTGTGCACTATGCACATTGAGCTCATTTGCTTAAGGGTAGGACTCCAACACTTAAACCACAGCTCTGCTTTCAACTTTTTTGTCTGTAGGTAAAGGTAAGTGTCTTGAAGACTTTCCTTCCCAAGCTAGCTTTTAATAGAACTTTGATCCTCAGATCTCAGCCTTCTGAGTAACTAAGATTACAGGCATGAGCCACCATCACCTGCCTTTCATTGCTTTTATAGCCCTTCTGTAAGGATACTATAGCTATATACCATTGGATAAAATCCATCTATTTCAAACTTTCTGATCTTATTTTTACCTCTCTAGGATCAAGGGGGTTTGGGCATTGCTATCAGTGAAGAAGATACCTGCAGTGGAGTCATCATAAAGAGTTTAACGGAGCATGGGGTAGCAGCCAAGGTAAGGCTTTACCTTCTTTGCTGTCCTAAGAAATAAAAGTGAGAATTACTCCTGGAAAACCACTCACATTCTTCTACATTTCTATTTAGGATGGACGACTCAAAATTGGAGATCAGATCTTGGCTGTGGATGATGAAATTGTTGTTGGCTATCCTGTTGAAAAGGTACTTTTTCACAATAAAGAAAATATCTTGGTGCAAGTCTGTGTGGGGGGAGAGCAGCAGAAAATTAGGGCTGGGTAGCTGTACTAGATTTATTCTTCAGAAAAAGAAGAGATTATTCGTATGGTCTCCAATTTTTGTTTTCTATGTTCCAATCAAGGTGATGTTAATATATAGCTATTGCCTGGTAAGTTATTTAGAATTCCCTGGGTGCTTTGATAAATGTTGATTTCATTTTCTTTAGGAAATCTTGAAACTCCTAAACAATGGCTCATTTCATGTTAGGACCAAAAGAATATTGTTTCCTTACAAATGTTTACTCCCATAAATATCTACTATACATATTACTTTGTATGCAGGTTCTAAGATTTAGCCTATAAATGTCTAGAATTTATTGGTGACAGTCTTCTCTTTGTACTTATGTTTTCAAAATTGACCCTAACAACTTATTTGGAGTGTAACTTGGCACAATTCATATATAATTGTCAAGGGTAAAAAAAGGGTTTCTTTTCCTTTAGGGGCTAGGCTAGTAAGTAACTGTATTTCAGTTTCTACATAGGCCAGTAAGAAACCTAACAGTGATTTTAAAAATAAATCCGTTTTGGTTACTGTATTAGTGGGATTCTGAGACCCATAAATCTGTTTTTTGTTTTCCATTTGCCTTGATTTCTCTGTTAGTTTTCCTACCTTGCTTTTAATATATGCATTTCTGTGTTTCTATTTTATTAAAAATGTGTAAGCTGCTTCAAATGCTCTGTAGATTCAGAAGTGGGGAAAATTTCCTCATGTATCTAAGGTCATAGGGAATCCAGATAAATGGACAACAGTGCTTAAGAAATAAAAAAGGTTGAAAATGCTATAGTTATATAAAGAAAAACTCTGGACAGAACTCAACTTAGAGTAGAAATTACACATTGCCTTAATCTAGGCATTTGGAGATACTAGAGAAAAACTACTTTCTTGGTCTCTTGCATTCAGAAAAGGAAATCATTGTATCTTCCCTCAGTGATTAATGGGATAGATTCTAGCAATACTGATGACATAAATTTGTGTGAGTCCACTGATGTGCCCTTGATTTTGTTTCTCCTTCACACCACTACTCTGCCAGTTTATTAGCCTTCTGAAGATAGCAAAGACAACAGTAAAACTGACAGTTTGTGCTGAGAATCCAGATTCCCAAGCAGCTGGTGCAGCCAATGGAGAAAAAAAGATCAGCTCCAAGCCTCCTGCAGTCCCACAGTCTGGTGCCTCTGAACTGGAACAGGAGCCCATGCGAAGTAAGGGCCAGAGTCTTGAGAGTCCTGTACATATACATATGGCACACTCAGCAGAAGGTCCTTTCTTGCAAATCAACTGCCTGCCTGTGGCTCAATGTGTCTAAAAAGGTCTTAGGGAGCCCTTTGGTGAGATGGTTCAAAGAAATGGGTTCCTGAAGTGTACATTCTGGATGGATATCTGTGTGGTATGAGTTAACTAACCATGGCACCTTAGGAAATCCATCTTCCCACTGTAGTCTTAGCTTCTTTCTTGCTTATCTCTTTGCTCTCCAGAAATCTCTTGCTGATGAATTTAAAATACCATTTTGTAGCTTTTCCTTTTATAACAGGAAAGTAACTTCTTTAAACCTCAGTTTTCTTATTTGTATAATGGACATACAGTAACCTTGTGTCACAGATAGACCCAACCAGGCCTGTGACACAAGAAACTTAAAAAAAAAAAAAAAAGAGCGTTAATCATTGCCACATGTATGCTAGATATATGTGGCTGGGGTGTTCTACAATATCATTTCAAATTAGGTGAAATAAATATATGTAGTCTGACTTCATTTTATTATTAACCTCACAGATTATGAGGAAATGGTTCAATTTAGTTATTTTTGTTAAAGAAGTTGTATTAGTGAGTAATAAAATAAATTTCAAGGTCTATAGCATTAGGGTGTGTGTGTGTGTGTGTGTGTGTGTGTGTGTGTGTGTGTGTGTGTGTGTCCTGGGGCTTCAGCTCAAGGATTGGGTGCTGTCCCCGAGATTTTTTGTTGCTTAAAGTTGGTGCTCTACCACTTGAGCCACAACTCTACTTCCAGCTCTTTGGTTATTAATTGGAGATAAGGGTCCATGGACTTTGCTGCATGGCTGGCTTCACACTTCGATTCTCAGATGTCAGCTTTCTGAGTAGCTAGAATTACACTAGAGAGTCACTGGTGTCTGGCTGTAGTCATATTTTTTTTTATTTTTTAAAAATTACTTAAAACTGGATTTTTCTGCAACACGGAGTAAGGGAAGTCTGTCTTGAGGTACAAATTGAAATATTTAGTTTTTTTGACAAGTTTAAGAGGAACTACTAATTTCAAACATTTATAATATTGTACAGAAAAGTCTTAAAAGTAATGCATCACTGATTAAAATAATCCTTTATGCAGAAAGTCTGCATAATTCGTTGAAATGTTAAAAAGAGTTTATGGAAATTTTCTTGTTTTTATTAGTCTCTAAATAGCATTGGCTATAAACATGAAATGTTGAATGGAAACTTAATATAAAAGAAAATATCATACACCTGTCTCTGCTATTTTAGAAGCAAGAAATAGTCTGTTTCTGGTTTTCTAAAAGGAGAGCATCTTTTCCAAGGCATACGCTACTCAACAAGTGTCCTAGCTTTCCCCAAATATGCTGTTTTCTGTGTACTTTTTGTTGTACTATAAAACATATGATACTATAAGAAGACTCTCATGAAATAAAGTGTGGAATTATGTTCTTGTTTTTTTAAGTCTAGTCTTAATATCTATTCTTATAGTCTCAGCTCTGAGCTATGCATCAAAATTTTATATCAGAGTTTATAAAACATCAAGTAAGACACAAAGGGTAAAGCTACAAATGTCATGTGTATATGTGTGTTTGTGTGTATGTGTGTGTACAGATATACTCAGAATTGATTACCTGAGAAGAGATTAAAGTGAGAGGAAGAAACTAAAAACAAAGTTCTTCAAAGCAAGCACAATGACAAGAATTACTGATATGCTTTATATTTTATGGTTTTTCACTGAATGTGCTTCTAACTGTGCAACATATGTCTGTTCTGAGGTTTACAAATGTTTATTTCATAGGAAGTATGTTTGGATCCAGTGAAATGTAGACTATCGCATTAAAACTAGGTGTGTAATTCAACCCTCTGTTCTTCTTTCATATCCTATCTTTTATCTTTAGCAATTAAAAAGGTGCAGAATAACATAGAAAAATGACTATACAAGTAATGTTATACCCTGCACCACATTGAATTTGATCATACTTCTTTGTTGGTAGTCGGGCTTGAATCCTGGGTCAGGTCTTCCGCACAAGGCTAGTGCTGTACCACTTGAGCAACTTCTGGCTTTTTCTGTTTAAGTGGTACTGAGGAATCAAACCCAGGGCCTCATGCATGCAAGGCAGGCACTCTAACACTGATCCACCTTCCCAGCCCCAAATTTGGTCATACTTCTTTTATAAATATAAAATAACTGAACAATAGAATGCAAATAGAAATATTTCTTCATCCCCAGTTCATCTCTTAAAGACAACCTGTGTGGTGAATTTGACACATACACCTTCTAATCAATTGTCATTTGTATTTTTTTTAAGGTTCCAGCAGGTCATCAACACCAGCGATCTTTGCTTCTGATCCTGCAACCTGCCCCATTATCCCTGGCTGTGAAACAACAATTGAGATTTCCAAAGGGCGCACGGGTCTGGGCCTAAGCATTGTTGGGGGATCTGACACATTGCTGGTGAGTACCCACCCAGAAGTACTTTCTCTTGTTGGGCAGCCTTCAGGAAACAGTGACTGGGGGTTTTCAGATGATTTTATTAAATAAAATATAAAAACTGATGAACATGTATCATTTGTTGTTATTTTAATTTATATGGAAACTATTTACATTGGTGATTCAGATGATTACTTTCCGTAATCCATACCAACTCAAAAAAGATAGTATTATCCAGGTGATATGATCTTTAGTTTTCACAATGTTTCTGTCAGTTCCCTGGTTATTGATATATTTTGATTCCCATTTTGTGTATCAGGTTGGGTTACCCATATAGAGAATGAGAAACTGCATACTTTGTAGACAAGATTTTCTAAATGTCACCAATACCTATAAAAACCATTTTCCTTTGGGGATAGAATGGTGATGTCTTGATGTACATAGGACTTGTAAATTTTGTAAAATTGTCATGAAACTTTCCTGTCATTAGAAAAATAGAAGCTTCTTTGAGACAATTAATGAAAATTCTAATCTTACATATTTCCTTAAATTATGTGGCTTGCATACAACTCAACATGTGTAACTCTTATGGATGTAGACAGTTTGGATTGCCTTTTCCATACTGTTGCTATGGAGAACGAGACCAAGCATGGGATAAGACATGGGTATGTTGTGTTTCGGTTCTTAGGGTGCCATTATTATCCATGAAGTTTATGAAGAAGGTGCAGCATGTAAGGATGGAAGACTTTGGGCTGGAGATCAGATTTTAGAGGTACAGAATACTTGTTATTGACCTACAAAAATAATGGAGAGACAATGGGAATGTGTGTCTTCTTGGTTTTTTTGTTTCCCTCCCTCCATCTCTCCCTTCCTTCCTCCCTCCCTCCCCACCTCTATCATCCTTTTTTCCAACTTGCTCACCTGGTCCCTTACCATCAGAGTCCTCTTTCTGTACAGGTGAATGGAATTGACTTGAGAAAGGCCACACATGATGAAGCAATCAATGTCCTGAGACAGACACCACAAAGAGTGCGGCTAACCCTCTATCGAGATGAAACCCCATACAAAGAGGAGGATGTGTGCGATGCCCTTACCATTGAGCTACAGAAGAAGCCTGGAAAAGGCCTGGGATTGAGTATTGTTGGTAAAAGGTATGACCAGAGAAGACCTTAGTGTGTGAAATCTTTATGGATGACTTACGTTAATAGCAGTTAATAGCTGGTATTGATTCACTCACTGAGGGGATAAGAAAAGACACTATTTTTGAACTTTCTAAGAATTTGAGAGATTTTTGAAGGTCTTCAATGATAAATCCATTTGAAAATTTCTGAGTGCCTCCTGTGTGCCAAAAAATACATTAGATTCTGAGCAACAAAGTTTAATAAGTGATACCTGAACTAAAAACAAAAAAAATCACATTCTGATGAATGGGAATTAAATATAGACTTATAACAACTCAATCTGCTGATAACTAACTGAAATAAACTTTAGAGGAGCCACAAAGTGTAGGAGAAAGTACCAAGTGATCCTATTTTAGGGAAAATGTCCAAGAAAAAAAGTGCCTGAGTTGAGGCTGAACACAATAAATTGATAGTTGCTCTATTAAAGGAGATGGGGTCAACATAAAGTTGGGTGATGGTATGTATAAACGCAGTATGTACTTGTTTAAATAGTTAAATTCCTTGAAGAATGTTTATATGTAAGTAATACTAGCAAATACTAAGTTTCATAATCCTTTTTTTTGTGGTACCATAAGCCCATCATGATGATCATATACCAGATAATCAAATGAAGTCAGCACTCAATAAAAAATAACTCAGGTCTGTGATGGCCCTAAGTTAATACCTGTATTCTTTAGGCGTCAATCACAATTTTCAAAGCAGAATATTTTTCTACTTGGTCAAAAATATATGAAGTTGGGAAGTATATGTTAGAATACCTTTTGGAATTAAACACTATAGCATGACCAAACCGGCACATGATTACCTAGTTCTGCAACAACATTTCTCCTGCAACAACTAACAGACTTTTTTAAAGACAAATACTAACTTTTCATTAAAGCACAGAACTAATGTAGCATTGAATCACAATGGGAATTTGTCAGAAAAATTAGGCATTCCAATTTGGAATATGGTATTTGTATTCTGACTCTTCTGAAATGTGATGCACTTAAAATGTTTGTTTTCTCATAATGGGTGAGTTAATCATGGTACTATAAAAACTCTCAATAAACACATTTATAAGATCATTTCTTTGTTGCTTTGTATGTCCCTCCGCCACAGTATAACCCCTGCTTTCACTGTATTTGATGTTGTTGTAATTTGTGGAGGGGAAGGGAAAAAACAAATCGTTTAAATAGGGATACAGGTGGACCCATTGCAACAATGAGATGTACAAGTCGTTATGTCAAAAACGAACTTTACAACTTTGGGTGGGGAGGAGGGTTGGGGGGGGGGGGGTAGGAGGAGGATGGGAAGGGAAGGGGAAACAAAGGAGGAGCCTACAATGCTTAGTAAGAAATGTACTCATTATCTTGCCCATGTAATTGTAACCCCTCTGTACAGTATTTTCACAATAAAAATAAAATAAAATGAAAGGGCTGGGAAGGTGGCTCAGTGGTAGAGCTCTTGCCTTGCATGCCTGAGACCCTGGGTTCGATTCCTCAGCACCACATAAGCAAAAAGAAAAAAGCCGGAAGTGGCGCTGTGGCTCAAGTGGTAGAGTGCTAGCCTTGAGCTGAAGAGCTGAGGGACAGTGCCCAGGCCCAGAGTTCAGGCCCCACGACCGGACCTCCCCCCCAAAAATAATAAATAAAATAAAATAAAAACTCCAAATAAAAATCCCTGTTTGTCTGAGGAGAACAACATGTAAAGACTGTCTAATCAACACCTTTATTCCAAACATGGGCAAGCCCAGGATCAGATGGTGTAATATGCCTTGTTTGCATGTATGTCCTTGTCAAGAATAGGTGATACAATTCATCTATTCACAGTTATTGCTATGTCTTTATAGGGGGGAGACAGGGTTGTTCGTTTTCAGTTTATGAAAAGATATAAATAACGTTAGTGTTTGTTTATTTTAAATAAATCTGTGAAAGTTAACTGTAAGGTTATAGTTCTGGTTTGAGATGCCTATCTGCTATTTATTTTTGATCATATAAATGATGGTCTACATAACCACAGGCCAATATTCTTTTCTGTCCTTATTGTGGTATGAAAACAACAAATTTCGTACCAGTGATTGACTTGAAGTTACCATTTGCTAGCCATACAGCCCATATACTGTGGTTAGAACTGGCCACTTCTGCTCACAGTGTATTTAATGAAGAAGTATTCTTAGGAAAGATCTTTTCCATCTGTTAAAGGCCATAGACATAAGCCTACACTTTATTATAAAGTATAGTCTTACGTTGCCGAAACATTGCTCAAAACAATAATAACTATTGGAAAAACACATCAGTTTTTCATTATAAGAGGTTAGCTTTTATTAAATAAGCATTTCATGAAAGCTGAGAGAAAATGATCATGTTGAAACTTAAAATTGTTTTCAGAAATGACACTGGGGTGTTTGTGTCCGACATTGTCAAAGGAGGAATTGCAGATGCTGATGGAAGACTGATGCAGGGAGACCAGATACTGACTGTGAATGGAGAAGATGTCCGTAATGCCACTCAGGAAGCCGTTGCTGCTTTGCTGAAGGTAAAAATAAAATGCCAAAAACTATGTACTGGGAATAGGGCTCAAATGGTAGAGCCCTTGTCTGTCATGCATGAGATTCTGGGCTTAAACCTCAGTATAAGAGGGGAAGGAGTGGTGGAAGTGGGGTCTCTGGAAGGAAAGAAGGAGGGTGGGTAGGCAAACAGGAAGGAAGGAAGGAAGGAAGGAAATTTTATGGAAGAAGAAATTTATTATTTATTTATTTATAATTTATTATTGAGCTACGATTTCAATCTATTTAAAGAGTCATCACCAAGTGTATTTATGGTACCATATTTTAATGACTAAATTCTAAATAGTAAATGTTTATACTAGTGGTAGTAGGAATTATAAACTGAGTATCTGAAGTACTAGCACATCTTTTATCTTTAAGATAAACATTGTGTGTATCTTCCCTTGAAAGAAAAACATATTCAGGGGCTGGGAAGGTGGCTCAGTTGTAGAGTGCTTGCCTTGCATGCTTGAGGCCCTGGGTTCGATTCCTCAGCACCACATAAGCAAAAAGAAAAAAGCCGGAAGTGGCGCTGTGGCTCAAGTAGTAGAGCACTAGCCTTGAGCTGAAGAGTTGAGGGACAGCTCCCAGGCCCAGAGTTCAGGCCTCACGACCGGACCCAAAAAAAAAAAAAAGAAAAGAAAAGAAAAACATATTCAAACCACAAAAATCTCACTATGTTCTTCCATATTTAATACTGGATTTATTTTTTGGACCTCGTTTAGATGAAGACTCACCTTGAGCATGACTGCTTTTTGAAATAGGACTAAGCAAAAATTCTCAATCTGGGAAGGTGATAGGAAGCAGGAAGGGCACCTGTGAAGATCATGTTTTCTGGACTTTCCTGTGTCAGCCCCTTCCTTAACTACCACCTAGTACAGCAGAGTTAACACCTTTGTGAGTGATGACGAATAATATGTAAATAATGTAATAGAATGATTTTATGTTTTATGATCCATAGAATGTTTACTCCCTCCCATAGCCCTACAGGTCTTTCTGAGCTTATGTAAGTTTTATACCATGAAATGTATTTCCAAAAAATAAATAATAAAGCCACCAACTCTGAAGGATAGAGATAAGTTATAAAGTACAAAATAGTCACCTAACTACAGAAAACCTGGGATTATAGACATATTTATTTCTTATTAGGGAATGCCCAGTTTCTAGACAGATTTACCTTACTCTAAGTGAATGCATGCATACACACAAACATTTCACACACACATAGACACATACTTTAATTAGGCAATGCTGTGTACTTGTGGTTTTAGCTTACCATTTTTGGACATGAAAAATTGTAGTTTGATATTGACTAAAACACCTTCAACCTCAGCTAATGCCTGTGTCCTAGATACTGGTTAACAGGAGCTCATGTGTTGGTTCTTTAGCAGTGATCAAGCTGTTAGTGTGTGATGTTAGAGGGAGTCTCTTAGTGGTTGGTTTCATGAGGTTAAGTTCCACATTACATTCTTGTTATTAACTCTATGGTTAGGAAAGGACCTGACATATGAATACATGTGTAGATTTACTTATTAATACATCATACATTTGCCAGTCATTCTTAAAGATGCCAGGTGCCAAAGTAATCAGAATTCTTTATGGAGGAATAACTTCCTTTTGGATATAAAACCAATTGTTAGCTGTATAAGATTGATATTATATTAAAGAACTGGAGAAGAAAGTATTAAGATAGATAATTTTAAGTCAGTTAATCCAACCATTTTAAAAACCAGTTTGGCAGTAGATTAGAATCTTAGGTATTTGTGGTTGCATGTTTGGTTTTTCTCTTTTTTTTTCTTGTTTTGGCTTAGTAAATCTCCAGTTAAAAATTGTACATAAAGCCAGGCACTGGTGGCACACTCCTGTAATCCTAGGTACTCAGGATGTTGAGATCTGAGAATCACAGTTGGAAACCCAGCCTGGACAGAACAGTCCCCATGGGATTCCTATTTCCAGTTAATCACTCAAAAACCAGAAGTGGCACTGTGGTTCCAATGGTGGAGCACTAGCCTTGAACACGAAGAGGCTCAGGAACGGCCCTGAATTCAGGTCCCACAACCAAGAAAAAAAGAAACAGTTGTGCATAGTACCACAAGAGTGCTGGTAGGTCACACCTGTAATCTTAGCCATTCAGGAGTCTGAAATTCCTGAAGGTTCTAATTTAACCAGCTCAGACAGAAAAGTGTGAGAATACAGTTCCAAAGCAACAAGCAAAAGTGGAATTGTGGCCCAAGTGATAGGACTATCTGAATGAGCATAGCAACTGAGGAAGTTTGAGGTCCTAGTTTAAACTCTAGTACTGGCAAAAAAAAAAGGGGGGGAGGCATAACTAAACCTTGGCATACTTAATTTATGCACATATTTTTCATTGAAGGGTTATTTGCAATAATAGGAGAATTCAAAGCAATTGACAGACTCATAAACTTTGGTGTATATATTTTTTGGGGGGATGAGGTCCGGTCGTGGGGCCTGAACTCTGGGCCTGTGTGCTGGCCCTCAGCTCTTCAGCTCAAGGCTAGTGCTCTACCACTTGAGCCATAGCACCACTTCTGGATTTTTTTAAAATTTTCTGCTTATGTGGTGCTGAGGAATCGAACCCAGGGCCTCATGCATGCAAGGCAAGTGCTCTACCACTGAGCCACCTTCCCAACCCTTTGGTGTATATTTTAATGTGGCCTGACAAACATGTAGCTGCTTAGAATGATGTTCATAACAAGTACTAACATGAAAAAAATAGATTATCATTGGGGAAGATGTGACAAAAACTTTCATTTACTGTGTCAAACTGCTACATAAAATAAAATCTTAAAATTTTGTCACAATTATGAGGCCATTGTTGCAATTATCCTCCATTTCTATACTTCATTTCATTTTAATTGTTTTGATAATAGTGAATGACTTTTATCCTGGTAATATTACCTTACATGGTTCTTTTCCCCTTAGAACATTAAAAGCAATGAGTTGTAACTATATGAAAACAATCAGTGGTGAGTAATATGTGGACTGGTTAGCCTCTCTCTTATACAAGTTGAAAACATGGCCAGGTCCAAGAAGAGTTTAGGTTTAGGGCCACTAATACCAGGAACCAACAAAACAAAATCCCATATCAGTCAAGTATTGGCCTTTAGAATTTGTTTCATGTCCAACACAGTTCAATACTATACTTCCCTTTAGATGTACAGTACTTCCCTCTATTAGATCAGCTTAGTAATGCAAGAGCCTGATGTGTATCTTACTATTACTCTGCCCTGCATAATATTTACATATCACAACATCCTATATTGCTTACATTTTTTTTTTTTTTGTCAGTCGAGGGCTTGAGCTCTGGGCTTGAGCGCTGGCCCTGCGCTCTTCAGCTCAAGGCAAGCGCTCTACTGCTTGAGCCACAGCACCACTTCTGGTTTTCTGGTGGTTTATTGGAGATAAGAGTCTCACAGACTTCCCTGCCCAGGCTGGCTTTGAACCACAATCCTCAGATCTCAGCCTCCTGAGTAGTTAGGATTACAGGCATGAGCTACCAGCACCTGGCTTATTGCTTACATTTGAAAATATTAAGAATAACAAATGTATGAAGGCTGGACATCATTATGTTACCCAATTAGTAAATCATAGACTAAATTTAAACAAGTGAGTCTGACTGTAAAAGCTCAAGATCTCAAATACTGCACCATGCTACTTTCAGTTTTTGGCTACATGGAATTTCTTGCCTACCTGTGTTAAAGGATTTTAGTGAAATTGTACTGATATTATTTTGTATATTTAGCAGTATTTAACTACTGTGTAGAAGTTTGCCAAGCTACAATATGGCAACAGAGGCTTTGCCCAGTTATCCAAGTACTTCATCTAATAAAGACAAAACAAATTGTGATGGTGCTTTTATTGTTTTTATTTATTTTTAAACCCTGAGTTATTCAGTTCATTCAGCCTTTGTAAGTGCATTTCATAACAGATTGTTCCATTCTCAATTTCTCTTTACCTTGGTAGAAATAATTTCTAGAAATTATTGAGATACTCATACAGACACAGAGATTGCTTATTATTACTTTTAAAGTTCTTTAGAAAGCCATTTTCCACAAAGGATCAAAGGTATCCTTTACTACAGAAATTCCAAAAGAAAGATGCCTTAAAAAGCTTAGCCTATTCCTAGCTACTCAGAAGGCTAAGATGAGAATCATGGCTGAAAGCCAAGCCAGGCAGACAAATCCATGAAACTCTTATCTCCAACTAACTACCAAAAATCCAGAAGTGAAGCTGTGGCTAAAGTAGTAGAGCACCAGATTTCAGTGAAGAAAACAAGGGAGAGTGCTTGGCCCCAAACTGGCACAGACTTACACAAATAATAGCTCAGACTCAAAGAGTTGAATGTTTTCTTAAAGGTGATTATGAATTTTATTCAAACATTTGTGTAAAACAACCACTCCACAGTGTTCCTTAGGCACAGTGACCCTGGAAGTTGGTAGAATGAAAGCTGGCCCATTTCATTCAGAGAGGAGGCCTTCTCAAAGTAGCCAGGTGAGTAGCTATTATTAACTTGTTTCATTATCACCATCTGTTTCTTGTTACCTAATTCTGAAGTTTCTATGTTTTAATATTTACATGATTTGTTTAAATTTAGAGATTCGCTTGAATGAAATTGTGAAAAGTCCCCTAAATTTTAAGTAGGTTATAACCAACTTCATTTAGTTTCAATTTACTTATGACATTGGAAAAATTGTTTCTTAACAAGAAAAACAAAACCAGTGACAAGTAAACTTAAATTGGACTTCAAATTATCCAGTGCCACTGTTGTGAAGCAGTGTTTCTGTCTAGACACAATAATACAATTGGAAATTCAGATATAAATGATACTTAGGGGGAATTATCTTCCAACTTTTCTGAAAGAATTTTATGTTTGTAGGTGAGTGAAGGCAGCCTGTCATCTTTCACTGTTCCTCTGCCTGGAATAAGTACATCAGAGACACCAGAAGGTAGCTCAAAGAAGAATGCATGTAAGCTTGCTACACTATTTTTCAAGATTGCATCGGTATTTTCAGTATGCCTTAGTTGTCTGAATTTTGGCTGTCAACAGGATTCCTCCAACACACACACACACACACACACACACACACACACACACACACACACACCTCTCTCTCTCTCTCTCTCTTTCTCTCTCTCTCTCTCTCTTGCTCTCTCTCACTCTCTCTCTCTCTCTCTCTTCTCCATGTCCTAATTTACTAGGTATAAAAGCTTGTATTCACCAAAAATCTGAGCAATCTAAAGTTGTGCCTACAAACATTATCATCAAGTTTCTGTCATATTTTTCTTACCAAGCAAATTGATTTATTTTATTACTTTTCTTTGTTTAGTGTAATTGCCAATAAATCAAAAAATGCCATTAGTTGAAAATTTGAGAAAATGAATGCATCCTCTTGTGTTTTAATTACATGAAACCAAGATGCAGAAGGTGTTTTGGCTTAGTTGCATAGTTTTAGAGATGTTCAAATAGAAGAAGCTAACCATATGGCAGTTTTTGCAGTGTGACTAATATTGCAGAAACTTAGGCACTGACGTCTATGGGTTGTTTCAATGCATCCATGACTTTATTCCTCTCAGCTGCACCCATATCTTCCCATTCAGAGCACATTCTGTCCTTGACTCATTCTAAGTAGATTATAAAGTTATATAATCAATGCTTAAAATGAGAAGAAATGAGATTGCCTGTACATCTAGAGAAGTACGTGACAAAGATCTAATCATGTGTATTGTTGGTAACAATTCTTCCTTTTAAAAATAAAAACAGAAGATGGTATATGTTTAATCCCATCTACCTCCATGTATTTACTAACATTTTAATGATAAAAATGCTTTCATAATTATATTTTATCTTCTTTGCCTTTACAGCAGCATCTGAAATACAGGGGTTAAGAACAGTTGAAATAAAAAAGGTAAGGTGGTATCTTCCATGACATCTTGTTTTGTATTTTCCTATTAACAATCTTACTGTTTTATAGTACTCATCTGAAAAACTACATATGCCAATTATATACTGTGGAAATTGTACAATGTAATCTTTGCTGAATTTCCTAGGCATGATACCACATTTGAAAGCTCACTTTGTGTGTATGTATATAGATATAGATATATAAAACATATATACACAAGGAATATATATATATATTATACATTCAGTGATTTATATAATGTATATTATATATTACCAAAAATAATATTAAATGCACTTGAACTAATTCCCTTGCCTTTCACGTCTCATATTGGTCAATAAGCTTTGACTTCAACATGCATTTTCCAGTTCTTCTCAAACAATTCCACGAAAGCCATGTACAAGGGGGAAACTGAAAGAGGCTATGAGTTACTGAGCCTTTACTGTGTCCTGAGCAATCTTCCAGAGACTGCACATTATGATGCACTGATCAGGTCACTGCAGCTCTCTCAGATGCTCTTTTACCTCTGTTTTATAAAGGAGAAACAGTAGCTGATGGGGAAGAGTGGATATTTGTAGGTGGAGCGTCTGGAGTTGAGCACAGGCTTCTCTGATTCTCAAACAGGGGGTCTTTCTCACTTCACAAGTTCATTTTCTTTTCATCAGCCCCACAGTATGATTGCTTTTTCTTGTGTCCTGATTGTTTTTGCTTCCTGAACAGATATTTACCTTCCTAAATCATACAAAGAACCTGTGTCAAATAAAAAAAAATTTCTTTTATAAATTAGTTACGGTGTTTTTAGCTGCATTTTCTACTCTCCCATCTAGAAGATCAGAATGGATGATGGATTATTGTGCCAAAGAGTAAACAAAATGTCAGTTAAAAATACCACTTTGACCAAAATCTATGTTTTTCATGCAGGGGCCTACTGATTCACTGGGGATCAGCATTGCTGGAGGAGTGGGCAGCCCTCTAGGGGATGTTCCAATATTTATTGCAATGATGCACCCAAACGGTGTGGCAGCTCAGACGCAAAAGCTCAGAGTAAGTTTTACCAATAATCATGGTAGCCTAACAAATGGAGTGAACTTGGTTTTCTAAACCCTTTCACTCTGGAAAACTTGCTGCAAGGCAGTTTTAAATTTGAATATCTCTTTTTATGTCAGCTAATTAAGACACACCAGGACTTGCTTTAAGTAAAGGATAAAGAATATTAAGAAAAAAAGAAGAGAAAATGGTGTTTAATGCAAATTTGAAAGTAAATGAAATGAGGAAGTTTGTAATTGATTCAGTATATTTTTGTTATATGCTTAAAATTCATTGGAGCCACTAGGGGAGTAGGGAAAGAGAAAGTGATACAGAAGGTTATTCTAATTAAAATGTAATTATATACAAGTCTGCAATTGAAAAAAAATCTGTGAAACCAGTTTAATGAAAATAAAGTATTTCAGACAACTCGATGAAGTGAAACTTTTTCATTGGCTTAAATTCTGACTTTATTAAGTTGAAAAGTATCATTTATTTTCATTTGATTACAAATGCTGTCGAAGTTTAATGTAAATATGACTCCGAATCTTGTAAAACTACTCAAAACTTGCTTCAAGGCAGAGATTCCACATAGCTGGAGTAATATGATGGAACTCATGCTAATGCTAACTGCCCAGCTTCAGTCATATAAGCATTGTTTTAAACTACCCAATCTTCTTAAAGTAAAATCCCCACAGCCTTCTACCTCAAGTGAGGTCTCCAAACATGACTATTTTACTTTAAATGTCCTCTAGGTTGAATATGAGTCAGTGTCTTTTGATTTCTAAATTTATGGCTGACTCTTAAAAACTGATTGAACACATGCCCCAGGGGTCAACACACTTTTCTTTAAGGACAGATAGTGTCTGGCTCCGTGGGACAACCATATACTCTGTTAGTCTGTTGCAACTGCTCAGCTTTGACTTGTGAAATAGACAAATAAACACAGCTGTCTTCCAAGCAGGCTTCTATTAACCAAAGAAGGCAGTAGGCCAGATTTTACCTATGTATCTTAACTTGCCAGCCCCTAACTTATGGTCACATCTAACAATTATAGTGACAATATGCAGGTAAATTCTGCTTTCCAAATAACACTGATATTTTATTATTTTAATAGAAAATGGTAACTTACCTAGGAGAGACTGAAAGATAATTTTACCCTCTCCCATCCTGAAAACTAGAAATCTTTTATGCACCACTTCTTTTTTGTAGCTCTCTCTTAGACTTCTTTGTCTTCGGAGTTGCTGGTGGCAGTTGAAATGTGTTGTGAGCAGTAGAGAAGGAAATGCCACTCTGGTGTCAGAGTCCCACTCTGAGTTAGCAGATGCCTATTTCTCTCTCTCTCTCTCTCTCTCTCTCTCTCTCTCTCTCTCTCTCTCTCTCTCTCTCTCTCTCTCTATCTCTCTTACAGGTTGGTGATCGGATTGTCACTATATGTGGGACATCCACAGAAGGAATGACTCACACTCAAGCAGTCAGTTTGCTGAAAAATGCCTCAGGCTCCATTGAAGTACAGGTACAGTTTTAATCCCAAGCACTGTTCAGAATACAGGTTACTTGAGGATACATGAGCTTTGATCTTCAAGCAGTAAAACATATTCAGTCTCCTGCTATTATTTATTGAATAGATTCCTTGAGCATAAATGATTAGAGCTACAAAAATATGTATGATACATGTTCAGTAACATTTTTATCCTGATGTATTTACTGTTTCATCCATTTTTATGTCTAAAGGGGAGAAACATAGGCCTTAGCAGTGAATGATTAACTGCTGCAATTGTAAAGATTGTGAATGAGTAGCTTATAATTAAAGATCTTTAAAATAAAGTAATTGCACAGGAGACCATGTTTTAAATCCATCTAAGAACCCTGTAGAATTGGATTAAAATATGTTTACTGTCTGCACAGTTACGCACCCTCTGAAGCTTGTGAAATTTCTTTCTCAAAAGTTATATTTTAATCATTCCTGGTATTAAGTAGACAGGTAAATACACATCTTAGTTCAAATACTGTTTTGGAGAGAATGGCTGGCATCGCCCTAGCCATATGCACATGAGGTTTTTCCTTTACCCTTTCCCTATGTGCAGGTGGTTGCTGGAGGCGATGTGAGCGTGGTCACAGGGCATCAGCAGGAGCCTGTCAATTCAAGTCTTTCTTTCACTGGACTCACGTCAAGCAGTATATTTCAGGATGATTTAGGGTGAGCTCAGATTTTATGATCAGTATATTATCATCTATTATTTCTGAGTCACATCTTCCTGACTGACAGTTGCATTCTAGCACTCATATGAAGGTAAAACAATAGGAGATGAAGTATGAAATATAAAAGCCAAGAGCTTGTAACTGTCTGATAACCATAACATGGATTTAGCTAATCCAAAATTCATACTCTCCTTCCCACATTCACAGCTCTGGTTTTTGGAGAGAGCATTTTACCCTCACACCACCCTGTGTGACATAGAATAACTCAAATTCATACTTTAATTTTTTCCCAGCATTGTAATTAAATTATTCATTTAATGAAATGTTATCCTTTTGATTGGAAGTATTCATTATATGGATAACAACCCTGAGTATAAAAAGCATTAGAAAATAAGAAGAATGAAGAGAAGCATATCAGAATTTTATAATTTGATGAAGCTTTTACTATGCTTGCCATTGATTTTTCTCTCTGACCTTGGGATGCTTGCATTTATGACTTTTTTTGTTATAGTCTTCTGAACTTTAGCCCTCTTTAAATAAACTGGGTAAAGAAAGATCTTTTTGGGCCATGAGAAATATGCTGTATGTTAGTTTAAGGCAACTAAAAATGAGTAATGTAATTACTAAGTAAGATCATATTAGATTATGTAAATTTCAAATACTGACAATTTAAGCAGCACCCAATTACCCATAATATACTCCTTAGCAGTAATGTAGAGATGTCTGCTAGCTCTAGGGAGATGTCAGATACTGTGCAATTCACAGGTTCATTTATATGTGTGCATATATGTGTGGGTATATGTAAATATATACATATATGGGATTATAATATACTTTGATTTCCAAACCTCTTTTTACCTACCCTTTCTTCTAGACCTCCGCAGTGTAAATCTATTAGCCTAGACCGAGGACCAGATGGCTTAGGCTTCAGCATAGTAGGAGGATATGGCAGCCCTCATGGAGACTTACCCATTTATGTTAAAACTGTGTTTGCAAAGGTGAGCTTGCAAATTTTAACCGTTATCTTCCCTGTTAAACATTCATTAACAGTGGTCAGCAGCTGGCTTGTTAGTTTATGCCTGATGTAATGCCAGTTGATCTTTTGCTTTCTAAACTCCCTGCAGGATCAAGTCATTGAATATTTATGTCTAGTTTGAGGTTTAGTTATGTTTAAAAGAAAATAGACTCAAATTGAAGCTCCATAGACACTTCTAGCAACATGTGTAAAAGTATTAATGAACTGAAATAGTAAAATCTGTTCTTTCATTTTGTTAACAAGTTGTACATGATTGTCTTTTGGAAAATAGAACTTTTAAAATATGTACATTGTAAAGCAATAGCATTTTGTTTCTTCTACATTTTCTGTGAGTATGAACTAGTCAAGAGAAGCTGGACATTGTGGCTCACGCCTATAATCCTAGCTACTCAGAGGCTGAGATCAGAAAGATGGCCATTCAAGGCTCTCACAGGCTGGAAAGAATAATTTACAAGAATATATTTCAGCATAGTAATCTGGGTGTTGATAGTGTGCATCTCAGCTACAGTGAGAAATGTGGATTGTAGTCCAGGCCAGCTTGGACAAGAAAATAAAAATAACAGGTTCAAAAAGGGCCCGTGGCATGCTCATTGGTAGAGAACCTGCCTAACAAGACCTTGGTATGGTACAAGAAGTAAAAAAAAAAAAAACATATATACACATACATAACTACATAGTTAATACATGTGTATATACAGATAGACATAAATAAACAGGAAAACATACAACAAAAGGGCCCATCAGCTGCACTGGACATAGATGAAAATTAACTAAACAACCCAAAGACAGTGATGAGAAGAGAGGAATGAGAAGGAAAGAGGGAACAGCTTACACTAAGCAAAAGGAAAATAAAATATCACCTGACATGGAAGAAATAATTGTAGTGTCAAAGCTCATAGAATTCACAAACGGTATGGACCATGATAAAGACAATTTGCCTTGTGAAGGTTAAAATGTGTTTGTGACTTTAACTATCACTATTCCACAATACTGTGAAATATGTGAAATTTATGTAATCAACTAATTTTAATTGAAAACAAAAGTGAGAGAAGGGGTGGTTAGGAGCAATGGGTGACAATGTTATCACTTTGTATTCATATGCTGTTTTGTAGAATGGGAACTTCTTTGTACAACCACATAAACATAATAGAAAAATTTTAAAAATATAAAAATACATAAAATGCAGAACATTTATTTTATAAGTTTCATTTCATTGGATATAGGAGAAAAATACTAATAAATATAGTATCCAGAAGCTCTATAATCTATAATATATCAGCTATTTTCAAGAGATTTCATGCCAAAATAAACATTTATATATACTTATAATCATCTAGTTATATAGTAACTTAATCCATCATAAGAATGTTTAGAATTTTTTAAAAATGTTTAGAATAAAGTTATAATAACACTAAAGATGTTACTAAAATAATCTCAACCCATGTAAATAATATGCTGCTGACATGTATTTTAGGAGCTACAAAATTGAACAATATTTCCTGCAGAAGAAAATCTAGAATCTCAGAATTTTGTAGTATCAGAAAACAAACTTAGCCAGGTACTAGTGGCTCATGCTTGTAATCCTAGTCACTCAATAGGCTGAGAGCTGAGGACCACAGTTCAAAGCCAGCCTAAGCAAGAAAGTCTGTGAGACTCTTATTTCCAATAAACTACTCAAAAAAGCTGGAAGTGGTGCTGTGGCTCAAATGATAAAGCACTAGCCTTGAGCAAAAAAAGCTCTGGGACAGAGTCCAGGCCCAGAGGTCAAGCCCCGGATAAGCAAAAAACAACAACAATAACAAAAAAAAAACCCAACACTTTATGTCAAACCTGGTTAAAGATTCAAAACATTAATACTGTGCAAACAAATCAATAATTTGAATTTTTTAATCAGTAGAAGTTTCATTCTATTATCCTGGAAAAAAATAGTTCTGTTTTCAACCAATTTAAAGTGTTAATGCTTAAATCAAGCTGGCTGTAGGCTTAATTTATGAAAATTTTAACAAGCTATTGGAATGTCAAAAATGCAAGCAGCATTTGCCGGTAGTAAGAGTCAAGCAGTTCTTTTCCTCAGCCTAGGAACAGTTTATTTAAGGAATGGTAGTTAGAACATATTTTAGGAATTGCATTATTATAGACTACTCATTAATTTTTCTGTATTCTTAATCCTATATTTAATTGCATAATTATCTTCTGTAAGTATGCCTTAAGAGAGTAAAGTCTGTGTTTAGTCTTCGTGTCCATAGAAATACGCAGTAACTGGTTTGGGTATTCACTTTGCTTAGAGCTACACCTCCAGCCCCAGTGATGGGTTTGGAAAGTCATCTCTTGTGTCTTATCCTGGCCTGGTTGACATTCACCATGGCTTCATGTTTCTGTAAACCTTTGAGGGTTGTAACCCTCATGCTTTGTCTTAGGAAACTGCTTTTGTTCATACTTAATCATTTGTCTTTCTGTAAGTCTTCTTTACAAGGTAGAAAATCTGGATGCTATGAAATCATTCCTGTTAGGAAATTCTTAAATATTCTGTATTAATTTGAGTTTCTACCAACTAATGTTTTAATCCTCCCCAATCCAGCTAATATGCTGACTGCTTAATTATCTCCCAAATCGAAATCTCTGCTTAAAACCATTTAGGAGCCAGGCACAGGCAGCTCCCTGTAATTCTATTTACTTAAGAGGCTGAGATCTGAAGGTTGTGGTTTGAAACCAACCCAGGAAGCAGGGTCTATGAGACTTTTGCCTCCAATAACCAGCAAAAAGCTGAAAGTGGAGCTGTAGCTCAAGTGGTAGAAGCACCAACCTCAAATGCAAAAGCTAAGGGACAACACCCAGGCCCTGAGTTCAAATTCCAGTCCTGGCACCAAAATAATAAATAAACAAACAAACAAAAGTAAGGCTTCCTTTATGCATGTTCATTATTGCTTAGTAGCTGTGGAGTACCAGAATGTTAGATATGCGTGAAGGCAATTTACATATATATATATTTTGTGTGTGTGTGTGTGTGTGTGTGTGTTAAGTGTAGCTGTAATTCTGCATACAAGTCTGTTTTATAATTGCAGGGAGCAGCCTCTGAAGATGGCCGTCTAAAAAGAGGTGATCAGATCATTGCTGTCAATGGGCAGAGTCTAGAAGGGGTAACCCATGAAGAAGCTGTGGCCGTCCTTAAACGGACAAAGGGCACTGTCACATTGATGGTACTTTCCTGAATTGACTACCAGAACTGAACCAATCCAACACCTCTGTCACCTCCCACTGTAAGGGGACTGGTGCTGGTCTTGTGGATGATATTTCTTATGCTCTAGTCATGGGCCTTCAAAATAGTAGAGGAAAAAAAATAATAAGGTTGTTTTCCAAGTATGGAAATAGTTACTCCACTGAAAACTCAAAGTCATTTTTCTTTTCTCCTTGCTTCCTGTGAAGCTAAGCTCAAAGAAAGGAATTGTTGCATAGGTTTTCCATTAAAGCTACTGCTTTGTATTTACATGTACAGAAATTATTGTGTGCTCATCTTGGTAGTAGAGAGAGAAAAGGTAATTCTAAAGCTAGCTAAGAGAAGTGGCTATTCAGATGAGAAATGAAAACAATGGGGAAAATGTTGGGTAGTTTTATAAAAATGCCTCAATTTGGCAATCCAACTATCTTCCCTACTGCAAACTTTAAAAATCATATTCAAAAATTCAAATGCCCTTTTATCAGCTTTAAGTATTGCCTGTTACAAAAAAATTACTTCTCCCTACTTCTCACACACTTCTTTTCTGCTAAAATTAGTTTCTATGATTGAAGGACTGGTGAATATATGAACTTTTCCTAATTTTGTCTAGAAAAAAATATTTAATTTACAAGTGGATGTTTATTTTTGTTTTTTAACCTGTTATAAAGTATTTTCATACTGCTGTAAGTAAATGAAGATGCTACTCCATGTTGACAATGGGTTTTCTAGAAAGTAAGAATGCTAAACATGGAGGAACATGGGAGCCAAGATCTTGGAGTGCTGATGTTAACAACTGAGATAACCCTGAAAATGTGTTTATATGTTGTGTAATTGTTTTTCAATTAGTATTGATCTTAATGACAGACGAAAAAACAATGTGTTAGTTATTACTTTGGTTGTATGTGATTAGTGAGTTGATAGAAAAATGAACCGAATTAACATAACTTCATTTGATTGCCTTATATTAACGTTTATAATACAATAGTTTAAGACTAAGAGAGACAGATGGAGCTGTTTATTGAGACAACTGGCAAGATATTATCATGTGTTCATTCCCATTTTAGAGCGTGAAACTCCTACATTAGAATATATAAAGTTGCTTTAAATATTATCTATATTTGTAACAGAAGTAGTGTACAGATATTTTATTACAGCATTTTTGTGTAAATGCAGAATTAAAGTCAATAAATAAGTTTCAGTGCACACAAATTGGAGCCTTTTTTATTCCTTCCATTTTTGCTTGGGGAAAAGCTTTATAATATTGTTCAATGTTTTTTGTTTAAAATTGCTTTTCATCGTATCTAACCGTAGATGAAATTAGAAGAATTTGGGGTTATTCGAAAAAGCTCAATTTTTTTCCCTTCCACAGAGTTTTCTAACAGCAAAAATTTAGACACCTCCTGTAAAATAATGGAAGATTATATTGTAGGAGACACATAGTATATTTTTCTGTGTTGCTATTAATGCAGTAATAATCAAATCATTCTGAGACTGGTAAGGAGCTAAAGTAAATCAGATGGAAAAAGCATAATAAGTATATCACTCCCCATATGAACAGATATGAATACCTATCATAGTATATAATATATATTAATGTATTCATATGTGATACTTATCAAAGTTACCATATATGTGATGTATCCTGTATACATAAATGTGAATATATGTGATATATATGAATATGATTATATATGTGACATATTCATATATATGACAATCTCAATACTGCTTAAAGGAAGCCAACCAATCAAATTAACGTTATCACTCCACATGTGTGGCACAAATACATATACATGATATATACATATAAATATGTGATATATGTATCTGAATATAGGATATATGTATATGAATATGTGGCATACATGAATATATGATATATTTATGTTCATATATTCATATATATGACATTCCATCAATATTATTTGGGGGAAAGTCAACCAAACTAAGGTTTCACTATATATGAGAATACCCCAATAAGTAGCCATCCTTGTTTAATAGTGGTCTCCTAAAATTCATGCGTACCTGGAATCACAGAATGTGCCATTTGTGAATAGGATATTTGCAGGATATATATTAGTTAAGATTGTATTAGGTTCACATGGATTCTGTCCTGTAACTGGTTTCCTCATAAGAAACAATTGAGATATGGAGCCCAAGGAGAGTTCACATGAATTGTAGAGTAAGAACAAGTCAAAGTAAACCATACTGTAGAAGCAGGTTTTCCCTAGGCCCTTTTCAGATTTCTGCTTCCAGAACTGTGAAGGAATACATTTCTGTTCTTTTAAGTCACTAGTTGGTGATACCTTGTTTCAGAAAGACAGTGGGTTGCTCCAAAATTCAATACAATGGTTCCATTAAATATTACAGATTTCTGATACTGTTTCTCAACACTTCAAAAGGATAGCGATAATGAAGTGTTTTATTTCAGCACTTACTGATTCATAGCAACAGGAGTAGTAAGGAAAGTAGCAAATCTGCCACTCATGAAAGCCACAAGCCTGTAATCCCAGCTACTCAGGAGGTAAAGGAGGAGGATCAGCAGCTGGCCCCTAATGGCACACACCTATAATCCTAACTATTCAGGATCTGGGACCTGAAGGATCACAATTCAAAGTCAGCCTCGTCAGAAAAGTCTATGAGACTCTTATCTCCAATTAACCAGCAAAAGTATGGACTAGAGGTGTGGCTCAGCTAGTATTTTATTGTCTGAATGCCATGTAATAATGTGCCACTCCTCTGGGATCTCAGACAGCATGAAGGGGAGATGAAGGGGTGCTTTGGGGAAGATAAGAGTAGCTTTCAGAAACTTTCCTTTGGGGTTGTAGGAATGTTGAAACCGTCATCATCTGCTTTCAGCAGCCATGTATGTTGTTGCAGGTGCTTGACAGATATAGTGGAATGTATTTGATTTGTGCAAAGATGTTTCTCAACTCTGTCTCCTAGGAATTAATGTTTTAACTTCCCTCCCCTTTAAATGAAGCTATTTATGAGGCTGAGTGGACCTCCATGACCTCAAGATGAAAAATAATTGTTGCTATCAAGAAAATTTCTGAATAATGGAGTGTGAAAACTAGACAGGAAAGGTGTTTTTGAAGTGATTTTTGTTTACTTTACATCTCAGTTTCTTATCCCTCAAAATACAAATACTCCACTTCAAAGTGTTTATTAGTATGATCATTTTCATTGTCATCCAACTACTGTAAGTTCAGTAGCAGCGCTAAAAGGAATTCTGTCAAGAATGCAAATCTCAGAATTATCCCACTGAACAGATTGAAAGTTTTCAAAAGTGTGGTACTATCAGAAGACAATCTTAGACTCCTTCTAGGAACAAACTTTAACTTACTCTTTTTCTTTGCTTTCTTTTTTTTTTTTTTTTGCTGGTAGTGGGGCCTGAACTCTGGGCCTGGGTGCTGTCCCTCAGCTCTTCAGCTCAAGGCTAATACTCTACCACTTGAGCCACAGTGTGACTTCTGGCTTTTTCTGCTTATGTGGTGCTGAGGAATCGAATCCAGGGCCTCATGCATGCAAGGCAAGCACTCTACCACTGAGCCACCTTCCCAGCCCTCAACTTGTTCTTAATGTTGGTTGTTTCATGAGAAGACTATGTTGCTTGTGAATACTTGGTGATATTTTCCATCCCTTCATCTTTACATGGATATGGAAACATAGTCATCCCTGAAAACATTTATTTTGTTTTATAAAAATTCTAATTTCTTTTGTCCCTAAATATACCTTGAAATACCTGGCATTCAGTGCTCTACTTCCCTAAACTTATTTAGCCTAAAGGTATTTTATTTCAGGGTCAAACTTGAAAGGTTTGATTTGGAAAGCAAAAAGGGTTGATGTAGAAAATCAATGAAGTATTAGTATTAATGTTTTTATACCATGCACAGAATAAGTTAAGAAGGTGATTATAATTAGACTTATGTAATCCTTGCAGATAGAGCAATATAAGCAATATTTTCAGTAGTCTCACACGTCATTTTTAAGCAATCTTTTTTTCCTTGTAACTTTGTTACAAGTCGGTTCATACTAAATGTTCTGAAATTCCAATTGTTTTGCTTACAGTCTTCATGATATTTACCATATAACCATATTTACCATATAACCATGCTACTACTAACTACTTTTCTTTAAATAGTCTGATCTTTTAATTTAAATGTAAAGGGAAAATTGCATCTCACTACTTTACATGGAAAATTAATACTATTTACCATCAATACAAATAACTCTGAAAAATGCTCATAAAGCAAAACCTCATAAATTTCACCAAGATACTGTTGGCTGCCAAGAGTAATGATTTGAGGCCTGCTGTATTTGTCACAAAGGGACAGTGGCGAATTGTCAGTGTGGTGCTATCAACTCAACGGAGACTTTCCTAGACTCAAAGGAACTGAAAGACATTTTCTCATTATGTTGACTCAGTATTTGTTAGTGTCTTGCCAGGGCTGTCCAAAATGATGATCTTATGCTGTGCTTTCTCTCTGGAAAAAATCTGTTCTATTAAATTCAAAATGGTTTTGTCTATAGTACTCATAAACAAAAGCCACCCAGTCAACTCCTTCCTAGGATTAAAAGTGACAATGGAAGTTAGTAAAGATTTTCTTTATAATATATGGCTTTTGGTAGCATCATTATATCCAATGTTATAGTTTTGGCAATCTGAGTTTGAAATGAAGAACAAATGACATAAATTAATGGAGTAAAATTAATGTTGCGGTAATATTAAATAAAGGTAATGCATCTTGCACCTGGAGGTCTGTACAGATGGCAGGCATGCCTAATTATGCACCCTGCTGCCTTTAAGGGTACCGATAAAATCTCTCAACTGAGTATAAAATATGTTCATTTGCTGGCTCCAGAAAAGTTTGAATAAGGTGACCAAGACACACAAAATACACTCTTGCATTCTTATTTTTATAGGAAAAAATTACAGTTTTATAATTTAAACAAAATAAACCTGATTTTTAAACCAAATCACGATTACCATCATGGGTCTTGTCCTTTCCGTAAATGTTGAGTCCCATTAGAAAAAGTAAGGAAATGCATAAATGTAAATACTTTTCATTCATTTTCACTATGCATCAGTTTAAAAAGCATTTGCCAGTATAGCCTTTCTCTACATATTACATTGGTCAATTATTGCTAAAATGTTTTAAAACTCAGTTCTTTAAGAAGTAACTTCTCTATGAAATATAATGGTATAATTAAGTGTATAGATAATGTATAATTAAGTGTATAGATAATGTTTTGCTACATGATTTTCAGAAGGGAAACAGCTTTTATAAATTTGCTGTGAGTTCTCTTCATCTAAGGAATACGGAAACCATTTTGATGCAGGTAGACATCTATACAGTTAAAGAGCAACTTACCACTTCTGCCTTGTGCTTCAGAGTGATTTTTTTAGTGCTTTTTATTTTATTTATTGTATTTTGTATTTTATTGTATTACTTTACCTTATTTTTTCTGCCAGTATTGGAGCTTGAATTCAGGGCCTGGTTACTGTTCCTTAACTTTTTCGTTCAATTCTGGCACTCTGCCACTTGAGCTACCGCTCCACTGCCTGGTTTATGTTAACTGGAGATAAGTGTCTTGTAGGCTTTTCTGCCCAAGCTGGTTTTGAACCATATTCCTCAGGTCTCAATCTCCTGTGTAGTACCCAGACAGTTGTTTTTTGTTTGTGTGTTTGGTTTAGTATTTGTTATACATACCTAATGTTTTTCTTATAATTAGATATATGTGTTACTTACATTTTCAAGACACAGGATAAGTGTTAAGATTTGACTTTACATGTCCTTCAAAGGTCATGTGCTAAGTGAAGCCTGGGTCACTAGTTTCTGGCACTCCTGGGATTGACCATCTTCATTATTTTGTGACGGCAGGGGAAAGCTGGCTAATACAACAAGTAAGTTAGGATTCCATCAAAGTTTCCATCCTGATAAGATACTAGATGTTTCTGAAAAATGGTTTTGGCTTGTTTTTAACAAGTGGCTTTTAGATTCAGGAACATTGTTAAGCAAAATGAGCCCCAAGATAGGGACACAAATATCTTTTTTCTTTTTTTGTATTCTTTCTAACGTATTTATAATGTACCATGTGATTTTTTTTGTTTGTTTCTTTGGTATGTTCCTCCCCCATGGTATAACCCCTGTTTTCACTGTATTTGATGTCGGTGCCCTGCATCTTGTATATACACTTCTCT